TCTGAAATCGTAGACATCTGGATGCTTGTAATGAGTCTCAGAATGCTGACAGAGATAAATTAATCCCCCTTTAGTGGCTCTTATCACTCTTCCAAAGAAATCATTATTGGTGAGTTCAGGGCTTAATGTTCCATGTGAGGCTGTTTATAGATTGTTTATGAGAAGCCAGAGAAGTGTCACAAGTGTTTGTTAGCTCAAGGCTGCAGTACCAGTTCAGATGTATAACAAATTCCAACTTACCACAGATTTCTACTTAAAAACTCAGGAAGCCTTAATGGAGATGCTACATTCCAGCATATTGATCTTCCTCTACTCCACTGGTTCTCAACCTTCCTAATGCCACAACCCCTAAATAGAGTTCCTCATGTTGTGGTGACCCTCAACCATAACATTCTGAACTCTACTAACGATGGAATTCAACCAAACTTTGCACACAGAACTCCCGTGACCAAGAGAAAATACGGGAAGGGTTTGGTAGGCATTGACCTCGAGTTTTGGAGTTGTAGTTCACCTACATCCAGAGAGCACTGTGGACTCAAACAATGAGGGATCTCGACCAAACTTGGCACAAAAACTCAATATGCCCAAATGTGAACACTGTTGGAGTTTGGGGGAAATAGACCTTGACATTTGGGAGTTGTAGATGCTGAGATTTAAAGTTTACCTACAATCAAAGAGCATTCTGAACCCCACCAATGATAGAATTTGCCAAACTTCCCACACAGAACCCCCATGACCAACAGAAAATACTGTGTTTTCTGATGGTCTTTGGCCACCCCTCTGACACCCTCACATGACCCCCCTCCCAGGAGTCCCGACCTCAGGTTGAGAAACACTGCTCTACTCCTAGTCTTTGGTACATATTGTTCCTGTGCTCACACCACAAACACAGCTACAGACAGAGGGAAATATATCTGATTATCTTCAGCTTGCTTGAAACGCCGTTTATCTCTGGATCATAAAAACATTAAAAGTTAAAGCACAATGAGATTTAAACACAATGCTAAAATAGGATGCTAAGTGTGTTCATAAATGAGAACCTTTGAAGTTTCTTGAGGAGGAAAAAGAACCTCGGGCTGTTTTCAGATATACATAGTTGTTTTACCTAAGGCCAAATCAGATGTGTGGAAGTTCAATTAACATACACTTGTCTATTCTGCTTTGAAGGGAGAGTGGGGATGTGGTTAACTTGTTTCAAAACCAAAATGAGTATGCAGAGGAGAGAAGCAAAAGCTTACTGTACCTCCTCACCCTGATGTAATGTGCCCTGCTGTTTTTAATCCACGTTTACCTATCTGCTCACTTTATGTTGGAGCGTTTCTATTAGAATATCGAAGCTGGGCTAGAGGGGAGAAACCTAAACAACAAAGTGTGGCAGGAAAAGATTAGGGAAGGTTCTTCACCACCCACCCCCTTCATTTAGTATAAAAGTTAACCACCTTGCCCTGCTTTAGAACCATTTATTATTTATTATTTGTTTATTTTATCCCGCTTTTCTCTCATGGGTGGGATTCAAAACAGTGTACATGGCTAAAACAGCAAAATGACATAGCATAAAATTCAACAAAAACAGCATAAACCATAGGAAACCAATAACACATGATATATATCAAAATTAGACAGATTAATACATCAGACCACTAAGATTATTCATAAAACAATTGCATTAAGCAACTAGATAGCTCCATTCCTTCAACTATATAAAAGTGTTGCCAGATCTAGCATAGCTACAAAGAATGTATATTGTCAGAGCTGTCCGACCATTGCCTATTCAAGGTCATCAGGAAAAGCCTGGTCTTATAAAACGGTTTTAATTTACGATCGAAAGGCCAGTAGGGAGGGGGCCAATCGTACCCCTCTAAGGAGGGAGTTCCAGAACCATGGGGCCACCACTGAGAAGGCCCTCTCTCTCATTCCCACCAAGCGCCCTTGTGACAGTGGTGGCACCGAGAGAAGGGCCTCTCCTAGTGATCTCAGGGCTCATGCAGGTTTGTAGGAGTAGATGCGGCCCCTCAAGTAGGCTGTGCTCAAACTGTTTACAGCTTTATAGGCTAAAGCCAGCACCTTGAAATACGGCCAGAAACAAACTGGGAGCCAATGTAACTGCTTCAGCAGCACAGTAGTTCTTTCCCTGTATCCCACCCCTGTCCAAAGTCTGGCTTCAATTAGTCCAAAGGTCAATTAGACCTTTGGACTAATTGAAGTTTCTGGATGCTCTTCTGTGGCAGCCCCACATAGCCAAACAGGGCAAGTGCATGCTCATTTGTCCCTTTGGCATTTAGTCTTCAGTTATATGGATGGTCCCCTAGCATTTGCTTATCGCACTCTTTGGACACCAAGTTACCTGTTAGTCCAGATGTAGTTAAACAAAGAAATCTGGAATAGGGCCATACATAGTCAGATTTATATCCACTTACACAGAGATTAATAGGCCAGTCTTTATTTGAATTACCTTCTCCAGTCTCCCTTAACGACCCTCATTTCCTTTCCCCATGGTGTTATTCTCTTAGCAACTAGTAAACTGTGCAGTTTATCATGGGAATAAGGCAAAACGAACACTATCTTCTTCAGCAACTACTAAAGAAAATCATGTTTCAGATGAAATACTCCTCGCCCACACCAATTAAAAGAGCTATTTTCCAAGACTGAAATTTCATTTTGCATAATTTGTAAAAATGATCATTTCCCCGTGGATCTTTCAAATTACTCAAACAGGTTTTTTCCTCTTAATAACCAAGCAAATTACACACAATTAAGCATGTTCTATGGGAGTTCTTGATGAGGGTGAGAAGATGGATTTTCTTCTGGTAATCAAAGTGACCGTTAATCGCCTGTAGCTAGGACACCTGGAAACTTTAATCTGAACTGCTTCCTCTGGTTCGGCTCTAAATCAGGCATGCAGAGATGGGAGGGCAGGAGCAAGGAATCCTGCCTCACTTTATAGCTCGGAACAGTCTCATTTGTATGTTAATGCCACATGGTGACTTCCAGATAAATTTTTAGTGGGTTGCTAAGGGACTTATCAGTACAACTCAGAAGCTCACCAGCATACCTCGGTGAGTATTTAGCCTATGCATCCCTCTTACTGTGTTCAAAACACAGTGAAATTCTGAATTCTGAAATCTACTTACACCTAAAGGGGAATTAAAGTGACAACTAGGAAGGGCCAGAAGGTAGAGTAGAGTATACTGTAGTTTGGATAAGCTGCCTGTAAAGTAGTGCTACACACTTCATTAGTTGACCCATTCGGTTATTAAATCGCTTCCCCTCATCTGGCTTTTCCACTGTTCTGTATATGCTCCAATTTTGTTACCTTTTATTTTGGAAAATGGAAATCTCTGGAACCTTTTGGAGATGTTATGATCTTTGGAAAAGCATGACCTTGTTAGAAGTCACAACTTTTTGAAAAATGATGCCATAACCTCTTGGTAAAAGCATGACCTGTTAAAGTCATAACCTATTGGGAAAATGGCCTTCACCAGCATTCATGCAAGCTTTCTTAGCTGTTAAACTGATGTACCTAGGTATGTCTTTGAACTGTTAGGGACAAAGATATGCCAATACACATACACATATACATAGCAGAGTTTCAGAAGTGTTCTTTTTAGTTGCCCAAAAACATCAACTCTCCCTTAAAATATATTTGCCTTTAAATCATGCTCTCAAGAGACAAAATAACTAGACTTCTTTAAAAGTAAAATAGTTGATTTACTTATAAACTTCATATATTCAGCATACATACTTTGCTTATGAATCCAATTACAAGTAGATTTGAAGTAGTTTCTCTGTGTAGATAACACAGGGAAGCGTTCTTATATAGTTCAAAGCATCTCTCTGTTCTGAGAGTCTAATAGAGTCTCTGTCCACTCTGAAAGTCCAATAGAGTCTAATGACTTCTGTACAGCATACTGTTCCTATTGAAGTCTCTATATTGAAAGTCTAATGGCTTCTCCCTTTCTAAAATGGAGTCAGACTCTGAACAAATCTAGACCTGATCACATGGTCCTTGGCCCCTCCCACAAAAAAGAGTTAAAGTCAAATTGCATATCAATTTTATTTATTTATTTATTTACGATATTTCTATCCCACCTTTCTCGAACCCAAAGGTCACTCAAGGCGGCTTACAACACACATATACAATACAGTAAGCAATTATAACAAGTAGTGGAGGCTTGAGATGGTTGCTATTTCCAACATTTTCCTCCAGAGTTGGCCAGTGGTTTACTCTTACTGTTTGACCAACGTGCAAGTTAAATTTGCCACCTGGCTGCTTTTACGCTTGGAAGAGATTTTGGACCATCTGGCCTCTCTCCTTCCATCCCTGGCCATGTTTAGTTCAGCCTCCGTGCCAGACAACAGACATTATTAATTTTGCATATGTTTCAGTGAACTAACGTTTATTGAAATAATACAAACAAATGAGCCTGTACAGAGATATGCAACTCTGGGTATGTTTCAGTGACTACTTCTTGAACGTCTAGTAAGGCACAACTGAAAACTCCTTTCCCCTTCCTGTCATTCCTGTTATACTGCTATACTCTTCATAGGCATAAGGATAGCATGGGCCAAAAGGATCCCTCATGGATTAGTTGACACCAGGACATCCAAGAACTGCAAGCAATGAAACTGCAAACAATGTTGAATACATTTTAGAGCATTTCTAATCATCTTGAGTGTGTAGAACAGTGGTTCTCAACCTGTGAGTCCCCAGATGTTTTGGCCTTCTAGAAATCCTAACAGCTGGTAAACTAGCTGGGATTTCTGAGAGTTGTTGGCCAAAACACCTGGGGACCCACAGGTTGAGACTACTGCTGTAGAATTTTATTTTATTTTATTTTTGCCCTCCTAATAACTTTTTCATTCATGATCAGCTTCATTGGGTCCTGCAGTTCATTACTGGGAGTGTGGGAAATGCCAAGGTTTGTTGAAAACTTCAAGTTCCTACCACTCTTCTGTTTGGTAACTTTCAGCTAACTCATCTCTTTTGTTTTTCTCTGTAGTCTGTTCAGCCAGCGAGTTCCAATGCAGCAACAAGACCTGTATAGCCACAATCTTTGTGTGTGACGGTGATGATGACTGTGGTGATGGAAGTGATGAAAGGAAATGCCCTCCCCTCACATGCAACCCCAACGAGTTTCAGTGCAACAACAGCCAGTGCATCCCACAGATCTGGGTCTGTGACAACCATCCTGATTGTGAAGACCAGTCGGATGAGCTCATGGAAAAGTGCGGCCACAAAACCAAGCCACCAGTCACGAGCACTTGTGCAGCTCATGAGTTTCAGTGTGGCAATGGCGAATGCATCCATCTGAACTGGAAATGTGATGGAGATGAGGACTGCAAGGACAAATCAGATGAGCAGGATTGCCGTGAGTATCTAGAGAGGATGAGTCAGAAACTGCGAGCAATCATTCATCCTACAAAAGGTAGACTCGGCAGCCAGGCACTGAGCATATTTTCTTGGATATGGCTTCTTCTGAATTCAGTGTCTGCATATGAATCAGAACTTGGAAAACAATTTTTAGACTAAACTTCCAGAATCCTCCAGCCAAAATGGCCACTACTCTGTAGGAACTATAGTTCTAGTTAAAACCTTTGCTAGCTGTTGTATATACAATAGGATACTTAGTAATATGTTCAATTGACTAGCTAAATAATCCTCCCAATACTGTCCATAAAAACACATTTTCAGTCTCCTTTTCTGTCTGTGAATCCACACCATACCAAAGAACACTTTCCCTGGAGCTGAAAAAGCGATCTGTATTATAAAAAAAGATTGAAGTTCTGCTTGTGTAAGTCGTCAGGTCGTTAAAGGCCCCAAGTTACTGAATAATGGATTTCCTTTCAGCTACGTTTGTGCTCTTTCACACATAGCCGCAGAGTTGGGGAATGTTTCATCCATTTTTCAGATGCTAAGTAGCATAAGCTGGTCATTCACCCAAGAACCGAGAAAGAGAGAAGGAAACGGAGAAAATGTTTCACTGAAATATTTATAATTGCAACATGGAAATGAAATGAAATTTTAATACTACAACTACATGTAACCAGGATGTCTTTAAAAAAACCGCCACGAGCAACAGGTGGACAGCTCTTTTATATGGGGACTGAATCGTTTCAGATCCTGCTAGGAAGATTCCTGGAATTTGCATACCAAATGATGGCAAATAATTAACTAGCATGTGAATGCATCAGATGCACTACACTCATACATTTAAAGGAAAGTCTCAGTATTTATATATTGAAGGTGTAGTGCTCATTTCTGCATGTGCACATTCATGCTATCTGTCAACTTTTGGCAACCTCATCCATTTCATAATACTTTGATTCTGTTTTTTCCTGCCTGGCAGGGGATTGGACTAGATGGCCCATGTGGTTTCTTCCAACACTCTATTGTTCTATGATCCCATGACAATGTTTTCTTAGGCAAGGAATGCTCTGAGGTGGTTTGCCATTGCCATTCTCTTCTCCCTTAGCATTCCCATATCTGGGTTCCCAGATTAGCCTTCAAGATCAGACAGGATGTATTGCTTCCCAGTTATATATTGCTCATACCAGAAACAAAATATAACTCTGGATTGATGTTCTGTTCTGTATCTTTCTAATTTCAAATAGAGTGTTCAGAAGCTAAAGGTATGCCATGCAGTATCTTATCCAGCATAAGGCATCTTGATGACCCAGAAGAAAATACATTTGAAGTTGATTTTGACTCACACCAGAAAATGAGATGTATGCTTAATTCCCCTCCTGTCCTTTTCCCTTCCCTTGTATGTCTTAATTCAGTTTATCCTGATCTCTTAAGACATATTTTCTTTGATTTAGCTGGGAATCACTAGTATGAGCATTCCCTACAAATTTTGATACCAAAACATATTTTGATCTAAATGTATAAATATGTGAGAGGAAGCCACAGGGAGGAGGGAGCAAGCTTGTTTTCTGCTTCCTTGGAGACTAGGACGTGGAACAATGGCTTCAAACTACAAGAGAGGAGATTCCATCTGAACACGAGGAAGAACTTCCTGACTGTGAGAGCCGTTCAGCAGTGGAACTCACTGCCCTGGAGTGTGGTGGAGGCTCCTTCTTTAGAAGCTTTTAAACAGAGGCTGGATGGCCATCTGTCAGGGGTGATTTGAATGCAATATTCCTGCTTCTTGGCAGGGGGTTGGACTGGATGGCCCATGAGGTCTCTTCCAACTCTTTGATTCTATGATTCCTGGATCCTAAAGTATGCTCAAATCAGAGAACGTAAATGGTTCAGTAAAACAAGAAATGTTGAGTCAAAGAGCAATATTTGCTCTTTGACACAATGGGAGTGAAAACAATGTGGATGCACAGAATTATTAGATTTAAGAAAGGACACATTGAGTTTTTCCTCACTCAGAAATATGCTGAAGAAATGCATTTTAATGTAGCATATTTTATTGTGCAAAGTTCAAAATTTTCTGTTACTAGTCACTCTAAGCAGAAGAATATTGTGATAACCCTCAGTCAGTTGATGAATCAGCTCTTATATTTTAGTCTGAGATTTTGGGGGAGGGATTAGCTGCTTTAAAGTTCATACAAAAACCCAAAAAAGATTCACTGACAGGAAAACTATTACCTGCAAATAGCAGATCTGTTATTCCTTTTGATATAGAACACAAAACACCAGCATTTGAAAGTCCACTTTGTCTATGTGTTTCACATAAGAGAAGGACATTGGCAATTTAAAACAAATCTGTCCCAAGGCCAATATATATCACTTGTCGTCATAACGTAAGAACATTAAAGGAATGAAATCTGCATTCAGGCTGTACATTAACGGTGACAATGAGTGAAAATCTTTTGGCAGACAAAGACAAAGAAGACAAGATGAGCAAAAAAGGAAAAAGAAATAAAACATTTTATTAAGAAAACTCATTTATAGCAATTGATTTTTATTGATATTGATATACAGGTAATATGTGTTCAATTACCAGTAATGTTTCGCATATAGGTAATAATAATTTATGTCCCAAAAATGACATAATTTGCTTGGGACACTAAAAAAAGACTTCTGATCAAAACAGGTAGTATTGTGCTAGAAACATTCAAGATCAGGTGAATCTTTCTGTCCGTTGGATTATTCATATAAATATTATAAAATTAGAGATGGGAATCATTCAGCTCTCCAAGTCTTTGACAGACTGCAACTCCCAGTTTCCCTTGCTAGCTTGACCCATAGTGAGATGTTATGGGAGTCCTGTCCAACAACATGTTGAGGCAAACATGATTTCCATCTCAGCTTTAATGACATGAAGCACTTCTAGGTCTGTATAAAATCAGCGTGAGGAGTATTTCAGGGAGGGATGAAAGCAGAGAGATTAGATTGATTAGTCTAAGTATTTGGAAGCAGCCCTATATAAATGCACACCTAATAGTTTCCATTTGTGTTACAAGCTCCCAAGTGTGATTTTGGATTAATTGCTCCAAATGTGTCCCATCTGCTGTATTATACTAGTTGGCACCTGATGTTGTAAGCAGTTTTATGGGTGGATTTCACTATATAACAGAACATGAGGACAAACCAATCGCTGAATCCTTCTAGTATCCACATTTCTTGTTGGTGTTTGTGTTGAATAACCCTATGGGTTCCCATCCTCCTACTTTGTCAGCTTACTATACTCCGTATAATGAATTGTGTTTCCACATTTATGTGTTGTATTCCTATTTTATATTGTCAGTGAAATGATACTGTCACTCCTCTGATTCCATGTGCAAGTACTAAGCAGAAGTTTATTCTTTTGTGTCCGGTCCCCATCAATGGTTTCATGTGAACATGCTAAATATTTTCTTAGTCCTGAGAAGCATTTGTGGAAATACAAAAACAAGTGTGGTTCCATGACCATTTGGATCCCCAAGTGGAAACAGTCAAAATATTGTTTTCATTGGTTTAGTGCCATCAATGTTACTGGAATTGTAGTAGCTTAAGTTGAAGTGGGTTGTTGTTTGACAGTTTGCCACTTTAGGTCTCATTTAAGAGAGGAAAGCATGATTTAAAATGGTTGTTGTTGTTGACAGTTGGCCTCCTAAAACAAGGAAATGAAATAGAAATCCCGAAAATATAGGAAGCATTTCAAACAAATGCTCATGTTGCAACATACATTTTTTATTGTATCTTATAACATCTAACCATGTGGGAGTTGTAGAGGAATCTTGTTAGTAGAAATGGGAAATGTTACCTATTTGAAATATAACTCCCAGAGATATTCAGCTAGCATTGTTGCTGGCCATGCTGATTCTGGGCCTCTATAGTCCAAAAAAAGTAACTTTTCCAAATTCTGCTCTTTAGAATCCGCTGAGGTCAAAGCCTTGGTTTGCTCATGCATCTCTACCTTTCAGTGAATACTATAATCTACAAATATGCATGTGTACATGTGATAAGATACAAATTGCAATAAATATATAAAGCTTTATGGGAGCTTTCTGTTTGCGGAAGCATGGCTCACCACAGAGATCTGGGGTCCCTCTAGTGTGTTTGTCCTGCATGATGAATTACATTAGTGCCATTATAAGTGGTGCATTCTGGTACCTGCTATATTCTTGCTTGTAGCCTCCAGGGTGTATTGTAGAGCCATAATTCTGATGTTGAGGACAGTTTGTTGAAATTGTCAGGGCGACTTTGCTGTGAGATTCTTGGATCACATGTGTTGCATTGCACTAGCTAGTCAAGGGCAGTGATTTTCTGTCATTTAGAGTGAGGAGGCAATTCCCAGAGGGTTGGGGAGTGACGAAGGGAACAGTCAAATCAATGTTTTCAGAGAGGCTGCAATAATTGTACAGTTCGGAATAATGCTTTGAAGTAGATATTTTGCATCACCTGAAGTCTTCAATGTGTTCTTCTGACACCTGGGATGTGTTCCTAGGCAAACAGGCTCTGAATAAAATGGATGGGAGGCAACTAGGATGGAAGAAGAAATCCAAATGGTAGGGGAAAGTGTTATTAGCAGAGTCTGCCATCCCCAAACTGATGGCTTGTGAAGTGGAAACAGAATTTATCTGAAACCTAGATTTTTTTTTCTCGTGTCAGGAGTGATTTGAGAAACTGCAAGTTGCTTCTGGTATGAGAGAATTGGCTGTCTGCAAAGACATTGCCCAGGGGACACCCAGATATTTTGATGTTTTGCCATTCTTGTGGGAGGTTTCTCTCATGTCCCCGCATGGAGAGCTGGAGCTGACAGAGGGAGCTCATCCATGATCTCCCTGAATTCGAACCTGCGACCTGTCGGTCTTCAGTCCTGCCAGCACAAGGGTTTAGCCCATTGTGCCACCAGGGGCTCCTTGAAACCTAGATTATCAATGAGTAATACCAGAGGATCAACAGTCATCATTGTTCAGTCTAATGATAATAATAATAATAATAATAATAATAATAATAATAATAATAATAATAATAATACTTTATTTATATTCCGCCCTATCTCCCCGAGAGGACTCAGGGCGGATTCCAGCATACACAAAAACAAAGACAAACATTCAGTGCTTAGAAACAACGAAGCACAGATAAAGGTAACAGCTTCCCTTCCAGCTTCTAACTCAACTAATGGGATGGTTTTGAGGATGAAAAATAAAAGGGTCACCACCAACCTTCCCAGAGGCCCTGAAAGCAACCCTGGTGATTATTTAATCTCATAGGCGTATCCAAACACACAACAGCTCATAAAGCTTCTTTCTATTCCTTTGTTTTCCAGCCCTGGTGACCTGCAGCCCCGATGAATTCCAGTGCGGCGATGGGACTTGTATCCATGGAGCCAAACAATGCAACAAAGTCCATGACTGTCCAGACAACAGTGATGAAGCTGGATGTGTTAATGGTATGCATGACCGCACCTTCATCCTGAGTACAAAGTGTGGAAGAAATCATTGCTCAAAGAAACTTGAATATTGGGGACAGCATCCAGACAATTTCCCAGAGCCAGTGTATGATTGCTCCTTATAGTGAACTTATAGAGTTCCCCATCAAGGATGTTTCTTCAGGGAACCCCTAGAGCTTTAACAAGCATCGCTCTTCTCAAATGTTGCAACTAAATATCCCATTGCTTAACTCCCATCTCGTTTCTTTTAAATTACACCAGTCCTGCATGTTAATCTTCTATCTTCATTTTCATGTGCTTAATCTAACTTCAGCTGCTTTCCCTTCCTTGCCTGACACAACAGAAGCGGCGTGCGAGAGTCCCAACAAGTTTCAGTGTAAGAGTGGAGAGTGCATAGAGGAAGTCAAGGTGTGCGATTCACACAGGGACTGCAGGGACTGGTCTGATGAGCCTCTAAAAGCATGTGGTACAGTACACCCTTCTTCTTATTTCTACCTCTGTGTGTTTAACAATCCTTCCCATTCACTGTGTGCTTAGGATGATAGGAAATGGGAAGACCTGATTGTTAGCATAACTCTGGGAGTCAAAGGAAGTGGTATCTCATTCTGTGAAATGGAGATTTCGCCTCATTCTAAGTGGAATTCCTCTTCCACCTCCAGTCTGGCCCAATCCAGTCTGATTCCAGAAGAGGTTTGATGGGCATCACAGGATCAGAATTTCCTCGGTCACCCAACCGCCTCTGATAGTTCATACTGGTGACTGTAAGGTATAAGGATTTGTGTGCTTTCATAGAATCACAGAAACATAGAGTTGGAAGAGATCACAAGGGCCATCCCATCCAATGCCCTGTCATGCAGGAACACACAATGAAAACATCCTAACAGATGACCATCCAACCTTTGCTTTAAAATAGCATTTCTCAGCCTGGGGGTTGGAACCCCTGGGGGGGTCACGAAGGGGTGGCACAGGGGTCACCAAAGACCATCAGAAAACACAGTATTTCCCATTGGCCATGGGCATTCTGTGTGGGAAGTCTGGCCCAATTCTATCATAGGTGGGGTTCAGAATGCTCTTTGATTGCAGGTGAACTATAAATCCCAGCAACTACAACTCCCAAATGTCAAGTTTGTTTCCCACAAACTCCACCTGTGTTCACATTTGGGTATATTGAGTGTTTGTGCCAAGTTTGGTCCAGATCCATCCTTGTTTGAGTCCACAGTGCTCTCTGGATGTAGGTGAATTACAACTCCAAAACTCAAGGTCAATGCCCACCAAACCCTTCTAGTATTTTATGTTGGTCATGGGAGTTCTGTGTGCCAAGTTTAGTTCAATTCCGTCGTTGGTGGAGTTCAGAATGCTCTTTGATTGTAGGTGAACTATAAATCCCAGCAACTATAATTCCCAAATGACAAAATTAATCACCCCCAACTCCAACAGTATTCAAATTTGGACATATTGGGTATTTGTGCTAAATCTGTTCCGGCGAATGAAAATACATCCTCATATCAGATATTTACATGACAATTCATAACAGGAGCAAAATTACAGTTTTGAAGAATCAACAAAAATAATGTTATGGTTGGGGGTCACCACAACATGAGGAACTGTATTAAGGAGTCGCGGCATTAGGAAGGTTGGGAAACACTGCTTTAAAACCTCCAGCAAAAGAGTTTCCACCACACGCCAAGGCAGCATATTCCACTGCAGAACAGCTCTTACTATCAGGAAGTTCTTTGTAATGTTCAGGTGGAATCCCTTTTCCTGCAATTTGAATCCATTTCTCCATTTCCTAGTCTCCAGAGCAGCAAAAAAACAAGTTTGCACCTTCTTCAATGTGATAGAGATGTTCATGGAAACACACTCTGTAGAATTTATAGGACACTATAGTTCCAGTAGTGTTAGAGGGATAGCCTCTTTGCTGTCCAGACCTCAGATTGTATTATATACTGTACAGGAATACACAGTACTAGGCATGGTATACATGCATGAATATACAAATACACCTACTGTAAGAGTCAGAAATGCAGTGGGACACCAACATGATCATCCACAATACATGCAACTAGATCAGTGACAGGAGATTCACCCGTTTTTTCTGTGTGAAACTTTGTTGCCTGGGTAAGAGCTTCAATGAGGTTGTGCAAATTAGCCAAATTTCCTACTACTGTATTTTAATTTCAGCAAGATGTGTTTATAAGAACACTACTATCAATAGAATATCTAGATATAATTCCCATAAAATGTGTCTTGTTCATGATCTGTCGCAACCCTCAAAAACACTGAAAAATATATTGTCAAAGGCTTTCACAGTAGGAATCACTGGGGTGTTGTGTGGTTTCCAGCCTATATGGCCATCTTCTAGCAGAAATTTCTCCTGATGTTTCACCTGTATCTATGGCTGGCATCTTCAGAGGATCCTCTGAAGATGCCAGCCACAGATGCAGATGAAAGGTCAGGAAAAATGCTGCTAGAAGACGGCCATACAGCCCAGTAACCATGTAATACCCCATTAAAAATGCTTTTAACATATGGATTTTTGTAAATGTGCATGACCCGGAAGTTTATTCTGAAATAGCAGAAACCTGCTTACTTACCTTCAGCAGCCAAAATATATTGATTGAAGGATTTCCAGATACCTGCTCTTCCTTTTTGGCATATTTCTTCATCAGTCAGTGGTCTTGAATTGAGTATAGTGATTTCTTTCAAACACAAAGTGTATGAAAACTCCAGGAGCTGAGTGAGTGTATCAGCCCTTTCTAGGAAGATCAAACAAAGCCATTTCATTGATGTGAACATGACTGAAGTGTTACATTGCCGAATATGCTCTTGGGCGTCAACAGAATTTGACTCTGTTGCTTTGAATACTTTTTCAAGGAAAAGGTAGAACAGATTTAAGGAGAGGTGTTTAATTCGGTATCTGTCTAAGTATCCTAAAGGCACCAGAGCCTGTCTGATCTTAGAAGCCAAGCAGGGTAGGCCCTGGTTAGAACTTGGATGTGAGACTGCCAACAAAAACCAAGTACTGTAGGCTTCATTTCAGAAGAAGGAAATGGCGAAATCATTTTCCACTAATGAAATCCATGCAATCATCACATGTCAACAGGTAATTTAAATTCATATACACATAAATATTTCATTTATTGGAATTTTACCATCATGACTGGCTAAAACAGGCATGGACAATCTTTGGCTCTCCAGGTGTTTTGAACTTCAACTTCCACAATTCCTAACAGGTATTAAGTTGGCTACCATTTTTGGGAGTTGAAGTCCAAAACACCTGGAGGAGGGAAGTTTCCACATGAATGGCTAGAACCATGTGGCCAGTGTTCCTGTGCTGTTATATAGAGTTTTTACTGTGTCTTTAACAAACAGTGAGGTACCACACACATGGTCTAAACAGGTGGAGTGTCTTCTCCACCCCACCCCACCCCCCAAAAAACCCTTTTTTCTTGTTAGAGGGATAGCCTCTATTTTTCTTTTCTTCAGTGCATTTTTGTACAAGTTTGCCTTACTATGTTAGTAACAATAATCATATGAGGTGTGGGGAATGTATGATCCTTCAGTGTTGTAATACTGACATTTCCAACATCTGTGACTGTTGGCCCTGTCGAATAGGTCTGATGTACCACATTTAGAAGGCCCCTGTTCCACACTCTCATTCGGACTGAATCCATGAACTGATAGATCACTGTTAGACAAGATATCAAGAAGCAAAACCATTAGACAAAGATGTTTGTGGTAGATAGTCTGTCTGGATAAATATTGACAGTACTACAGGAGTTGGGCCACATCCTACATACCTGTTTGGTGGCAGGGAGCTTTCTGCTCTCATATATGCTTAGGGAATCTGTGTGTTGGCGTGTGGTTATTTGTTCTACCTTGCTCTGCCTTTGAAACTTCATTCAGTCCAGAATGTAGCCTCATGATTCTTTTGCGCATGTTCTTTTGCTCTGGGAGTCAGTCATGCTAGTATGAAAAGCATTCCCCTGGCTTCAATTTCCTTTCTGGGTTCAGTTGAAGCTGTTGATTTTGAGTTTTTAAAGGGATTAAGTCAACATGGATGTCTCAAAAATTAGTCATGCCAGGCTAATATTATTTCTTTTCTTTATATATATATATAGTTACAAGCTAGGTAGATGCAGGGAATGCTGTGTATGTAACATATCTTGATTTCAGTAAAGCTTCCGACAAAGACCTCCACGACCTTCTTGCAAGCAAACTCGGCAATACTACTAAGTGGATCTGTAATTGGTTAAGCGACCAAATCCAAAGGGTGCTCACTAATGGTTCCTCTTCATCCTGGAAGAAAGTGACTAGTGGAGTGCCACAGGATTCAGTCCTGGGCCCAGTTTTGTTCAGCATCTTTATTAATGACCTGGATGAAGGTTTAGATGATAAACTTATCAAGATGACACCAAATTAGGAGGGGTGGCTAATACTCCAGAGGACAGGATCAGAATTCAAAATTACCTTAACAGATTAGAGAGCTGGACCAAAACTAACAAAATGAATTTCAACAAGGACAAATGTAAGGCAGAAAAAAATGAAATGCAAAGATACATAATGGGTGATGCCTGGCTTGACAACATATCTTGAGAGAAAGATCTCGGCGTAGTCGTGGGCAAAAAGTTGAATATGAGTTGACAGTGTGAGGCAGCAGCTTAAAAAGGCAATAAGATTTTGGGCTGCATCAAAAGGGGTATAGTGTCTAGATCAGTGGTTCTCAACCTGTGGGTCCCCAGATGTTTTTGGCCTTCAACTCCCAGAAATCCTAACAGGTGATAAACTCGCTGGGATTTCTGGGAGTTGTAGGCCAAAACACCTAGGGACCCACAGGTTGAGAACCACTGGTCTAGATTGAGGGAAATCATGGCGCCTCTCTATTCTTCTTTGGTTAAACCTCACCTGGAATATTGTGTCCAATTCTGGGCACCACAGTTTAAAAGAGATATTGACAAGCTGGAACGTGTCCCAGAGGAGGGCAACAAAAATTATCAAAGATCTGGAGACCATGCCCTATGAGTAGCGTCTTAAAGAACTGGGTATGTTTAGCCTGCAGAAGAGAATGTTGAGAGGAGACATGATAGCCATGTATAAATATGTGAAAGGTTGTCTTAAGGAAGTGGGAGCAGGTTTGTTTTCTGCTGACCTTGAAATTAGGACTAGGAGCAATGGGTTCAAATTGCAGGAAAGGAGATTCCACCTGAACATTAGAAAGAACTTCCTGACTGTACAACAAGTTGTTCAACAGTGAAAATCTCTGCCTCAGAGTGTGGTGGAAGCTCCTTCCTTGGAAACTTTTAAACAGAGGCTGGGTGACCATCTGTCAGGGATACTTTGCACTTGGCAGGGGGTTGGACTATATGGCCCATGTGGTCTCATCCAACTCTGTTATTCTATGATTCTAAGTCACCATGGTCTAGGTTGACTGAGGTTTAACCAAGGATAGGCTGAATTTTCTTGGGAAACATGAAATAGTTCGGTTATTTACAGTATAAACAGTAATCTCTTCCACCTCCTCAAATTGGGTGAGAAAGCTGTAGGAAGCACAAGATTAGATTTTCCATGAAAGGATTTGTGTACAGACTCAAATTCTGGTACTGAATAGGAATCCCTTGGCTGAATATGTAAATCTTTGTTTATCTGCATGAACCACTAATTTGCACCTGTCTTAGATTGTTAGCATTCCAATGAAAACTAGAATTCCAGTGAAAGCTGTGCTGCAGAAACCTGGCTGTACATACTTGTGCCGTAAAGCCCTGTTGAAAACAAAAATACCTATTAATGTGGAAAACTGTCCTTTGGCTTTCAACCGCCTTCAGTGGTCTTTCGAATTTGCATATAGCCTAATTGGCTCATGTAGGGAAAGTCACGGGCAAGAGTAATCCGAATAATGAGCAACAGCCGGCAAACACCACTATAATACAAGCAGCTATTCTGGTCTTTGTGTTGTGCTGTTAATGTTGAAATGTTGAAATTTCTGCTTGGAATTAGTGAACATGCTGCACCAGGCTGGTAGAGAAGTCTTTCCAGTGACTGGGGTGTTCTGGGAGCTATAGTTCACATTTGTATTTGATTTCCATTTGTTAAATTTTCTTCTAAAGTTACCATATATTCTTGAGTGCAAGCTGACCCAAATATAAGCTGAGACACCTAATTTTACCACAAAAAAACCTGGGAAAACATATTGACTTGACTATAAGCTGAGGGTGGGAAATGTAGCAGCTACTGGTAAATTTCAAAATAAAAATAGATACCAATAAATTATGTTAATTATTTAAATAAAACTGTAATTTAAGATAAAACTGTCCAACTCTGATTAAACCATTATTCTAACCTTCTTCAATGTAAATGTGCTTATGTATCCTTCCAATAATAATAGAGTAAAATAATAAATGTAATAAAATAATAGAGAAAAAAATAATTAATGTAATGATAACAATAATAGAGTAAAATAATAAATGTAATCTATATAAATAAAAAAAGGAATGTTAGTTTGTGGGATTAACAGAACAAAAAAATAACTGAGTGAATTGACACCTAATTGGGACACAAGACACCTACTAACCCAAGGAGTGACCATCACTCAAAAATTTGATTTTGTCTTTGGGAGTTGTAGTTGCTGGGATTTATAGTTCACCTACAATCAAAGAGAATTCAAACTTTCCACACAGAACCCCCATGACCAACAGAAAACACTAGAAGGGTTTGGTGGGCATTGACCTTGACTTTGGGAGTTGTAGTTCACCTACATCCAGAGAGCACTGTGGACTCAAACAATGATGGATCTGGACCAAACTTGGCAGGAATACTCAATATGCCCAAATATGAACACAGATGGAGTTTGGGGGAAATAGACCATGACATTTGAGAGTTGTAGTTACTTGGATTTATAGTTCACCTACAATCAACAAGCATTATGACCCCCACGAACTGTTTACCCACAAGCATAGAGAAATTACATATATTAGAAACCAACACTTTCTCATTACTTTATTTTCTAGATCACCAAAATGGGCCACAGCAATGCGTGGCAGGGGACGGCTAGCAAAATAATAATATAGTAAAATAATATACCAAATGTAATAATAAATAGAATAAAATAATCCATGCAATAAAATTAATAATAACAGCAGAGTAAAATAATAAATAACCTTGACTCAAGTATAAGCTGAGGGGGGTTTTCAGCCTATACAAAGGGTTTAGGCTGAAAAATATACTTTTACTCAAGTATATACGGTAATTCTCACCTGCTAGACAGAAGCATAGAATAAGGCGGAGTGATAGGGAACGAAATATACCATCAGCCTTTCTCTTATTTTATCCAATGCAGCCTGTGATTCAACTGTACAGCACATCTCACACCAAAAGAAAAACATTGTTCCTCACTTTGTGTAGGTTAATTGAAATGGCAAATGAAATATTGTTTCCAGCATTGATATGACCTCTTTCAACCTCATCAGCAGTTTAGAGTTTCCAGGATAAAATTGTACAGGATTTTCAATCTCAAGTTCTGCCAGTGGGAGAACAAATGGTCCAGGCTTTCCTTCCATAGCTAGTTTCCCTTGTTTGGTTCTTCAGAGCCTTGAACTGAGGCTTGAAAACAAAATAATTCACTGCATGTATTTAGTTAACTCTCTTGTTATCAAGAACTTCCCTCCTGCCCTTGAGTAAAAATAAACCTTTAAAAACACAGCAATAAAAGTGAAGTGGCACAAGAAAGGAAAGAAATGGGAATTGAATTGAATTTTTGTTAGTAGGTCTTAAGAAAATTCCAATGACTGCTCCAAGGGAAAGAGATGTAAATATGGTGTTTGTAGTGCAAGACACCATTACCCTTGGAGATTGTTTTTATTGATACCTGGGAGCCAGTGAAGACATTTGTTGCTTTACCTTTTTAAATACAACAATTTGGGGTTTTAAGACTACGTGGCCATCTAGAGTAAATAATCCTTCTCTCTTTTCTAGGGGTGAATGAATGTGCTCTCAATAATGGTGGTTGTTCCCACACATGCAGAGATCTGAAGATTGGCTACACATGTGAATGTCCTCAAGGATACAAGCTTCTGGACAAGAAAACGTGTGGAGGTAATTTGCATGGAAACAGCAGCCCTTTGGTGTTTCACAGCAGAGCAAATAATTACAGTTGCTTCAGGCTGACTCTTTGTCCTCTTGATCGACTGATGTAACATTACTGATGATGTTTAAACTTTCCTCCTCAGACATAGATGAATGTGAAAATCCAGATGCTTGCAGCCAGATCTGCATTAACTACAAGGGAGATTACAAATGTGAATGCTACGAGGGTTACGAGATGGATACCCTGTCCAAAAACTGCAAAGCTGTAGGTAAGGAAATCTGTTGTGTACCATCTTTGGAAAACATTATCTTTAGAAGTCGTTTAGGTTTGACTGTCAGAAAAAGTGACAAAAGAAAAACATAGCCGTTCCCAAGTTGATGGAGTTGCAACAGTGACAGTATGATATTGTATCAGAAGCGAATTGGGAATACAGTTATAATGTATGGAAAAAATCACAAACAAAGTTAAGAACTTCGCATTATACCAAATTTCCTTTGACCAGAAGCTGGCCACTTGGAGTGCCTCTGGTGTCGCTGTAAGAAGGTCCTCCATTGTGCATGTGGCAGGACTCAGGTTGCATTGTAGTAGGTGGTCTATGATTTACTCTTCTCCACGCTCCCATGTTATGGACTCCACTTTGTAGCCTCATTTCTTGAGATTGGCTCTGCATCTTGTGGTCCCAGAGCACAAGATGTTTATATATTTGTACAAGTTAATGAGTACATTGTGTGATTCCCTCCCTATTTCAGTGCGGTCTGTAAGTTGGGTGTATGTGCCTTCACATCCAGATTCATGTAGTACAGTCACTCTATTCTAAAAGGTCAGGCACATAGTCATGGTACACTGATAGATCAAGTATTGTCACTGATTGCACAAATGTCTTTTATGTGTCTGCTTATGCTGATAAACAAGCTGTGAATTCATGGAAACTGGACAACTTGCTACCTTTATCCATGCGTTGGTATCTGAGCTCTGGTGCTCAGGGGGGAATTTCTCATCTGGTATCAGTCACTGATTGAGGTTCCGGGTCTTAGCCTGCCACTTTTGGACTCTCACTTGCTGAGATGTTCCTGCAAGTATCCCTGTAGATTTTAGAAAGCTATTTCTTGCTTTAAGATGTTGGCTTGCTGACTGATATCTGAATAGAAGATACAATCTGAAATGGATCAAAAAAGGAAAATGTTTATAGGTGTTAGTAAAAATAGTTCACTGTGGGGAAACACTTACCAAAACAAGCAATCCATGAAAAGTAATTACTACAAAGTTCAGGAATGAAACTTCAGACCTTGGGGCCAACTCTATCCCCTCTTGGCTTCCTAAACCACCGCCCTGGGGTTCCTCAGACAGACAACTAAGCTTCCCTTACACAGTTATTTTGTGATTTCTTGACTTTTGTATGCCCTTTCCTATTTTAAAATGTTATTGAATCTCTTAAGTCTTCAATACAAGCAAAAAGCGCTTTAAGCAAAAAGAGTTCTAGAATATTTGACATTAGTTCTCCAATGAAATGCAACCTGCAAAACTTTTCTGAAACTGAATTCAACCCTCAGGCTAAATGAGGCTCCCTGCATTGTTACACAGCTGGTTTAGTTGTCTTCATCTCCATTGCAAAGAGGCAGGCATTCTGGAAAGAATGCAAACCATTCCATTTGGAATCATTTCCAAGTTACAGGTATTCAGAAATAGGAGCTGTGCAAAGCTTGAAAACACAATGTGAGTGTGTGTGAGCCTTCAACTTCTCTTGTCAGCTTAAGACAACACTATGAATTTCTGAGAGTTTTCTCAGAGCTTATTTTTCTAGTTTCTTCCTTTGAAATATACCTACCTAGTATTTTTGAGTAAAGAATTACCACGAATCATACCTATCAAACTCAGAATTTGTAAAGAATGTTTGCAAGATTTAATTTTCTTTAGTGTGTTGTTTTAGCCTTTTTTTTCATGCCAGATAAATAGAAGCATTCTTCGGGTGCTGAATAATACCTTTCGAAGGCATTCCCCAGTGAATAAAAGGAGCTTCTACATGCTTCATTTGAGTCTGAGTTGATGTATCTGAATTATTCATTCAGATATATAGCAGATATGTAGCTTTATACTACAATTCAGAAGAGGACACACAAAACATATGTTAGAGAGGGTGTTTTTGTTGTGATATGTATACCTGATTCCCTCTTAGGGTATATCTACATTGTAGAATTAATGCAGATTGACACGACTTTAACTGTCATGGCTCAATGCTATGGAAATATGGGAGTTGTAGTTTTACAAGGTCTTTAGTCTTTTCTGCCCAAGAGTGCTGGTGCTTCACCAAATTACAAATCCCAGAATTCCATAGCAATACACCATGACAATTAAAATGATGTGAAACTGCATTAATTCTACAGTGTAGATGCACTCTTAAAGTCTGAATGCTGCTGGAATCTAGCTTTCGTTGTGTCAACTTCCACCTTCCTTTTGAGATGTCCTATTGTATCTGCTGTAACTGAATCTTTATTATATGGTTTGATTCTACCTTGAATTTCATTTGCTATTTGTTTTATGGTTTCATGTTGCTTTTGATTTATGGCTACCTGAAGGCAAACTTATCAGGGGGTTTCTTGGCAAGATTTGGTCAGAGGGGGTTGCTGTCTGAGGCTGAAGACAGCATGACTTACCTAATAGTTTTCCTTTTGAAAAGACATACACAGCACTGCTTTAATCCACATGAAAGAAACATCTTCGGTCTTTTTTAAATATCTGTCTGGAAAAAGAATTAACGCAATCTTCCTAGGTTTTTCATGGTCACCCTAATTTGTACATTTCAAAATAAGGGGTCTTTTTTGTAGGAATTTACCTGGATTTTAGTATATTGATGTAATTAGAGGAGATTCTGAACTGACTTGCAGCCTTCATCCTCAATATGCAGATGAGCAAGAAGTTTCTCACTCAGCCAAGTTATTGTGAAGTAATGTGTAGATTGTCATTCATTTATAGCAAATGGGACTGTGATGTGCTGGCAAACACAATAGTTGCTGTAGGAGTTTCCTGTTCTTGTAGTCAGTTTGAAAGAATTGCAAAGCTGCTGTTTGCCTTCAAGCTCAGGGTTGTCTTTATAATCAGGCATTAAGAAATGAAATCTAACCCTGAAATGAAGAACCACGCTGTTCCCTAAGCTTCTTAGAAATGAAAGTGACTTGCTGCTTCTCTCCTGTGGCAGGAAAGAGCCCGTATCTGATTTTCACAAACCGTCATGAAGTGCGCAAGATCGACTTGGTGAAAAGGGACTACTCCCGCATCATCCCCATGCTGAAGAACGTGGTTGCTTTGGATGTGGAGGTGGCAACAAACAGAATCTATTGGTGTGATTTGTTCTACAGGAAGATATACAGGTGGGGAGATGTCACTTGGCTGCCTTTTTTTAAATTGTGACAGAAGTGACTTGAGAAACTGCAAGTTGCTTCTGGTGTGAAAGAATTGGCTGTCTGCAGAGATGTTGCCCAGGGGACACCCAGATGTGTTACCATCCTGTGGGAGGCTTCTCTCATGTCCCTGAATGGGAAGCTGGGGCGGACAGATGGGAGCTCAGCCCGTCTCATGGATTCGAACTGCTGACCTTCAGGTCAGTAGTTCAGCAGGCACAAGGGTTTAACCCATTGCGCCACCGCAGTTCCGTACTTGGTTGACTGAGTGGCTGTGTTTGGGGTCACTGTTTGGTAGTTAAGATTTGACTTTGGCTGTTATGGTTGAGTAAAAGGGCCAAACTCTCAGCTAGCAAATGATATTGTCATTTGGCAAATCGGTTGGCTAAAGCAGACTATATGATATGGCAATTTGTCTGTAGGCCTGTCAAAACCCATTGCCTTTGATAATGCATCTATTGTACATGTTCATCTTTGGGCCATGATATCCTGATACATATGCTGAGACTGTATTTATTTTTGTAGAGGATTAGCACTTACTTTTTGCAGCAAGTGTGGCTATCTTTCTTTTGCTTTTAGGTCTGAATTACTGTTGGTCTTGCAGCTGCCTCAGCCCCAGGTTGTCTATCTACAGACAGTGAGAGGCAGACTTCCTGTGAGCGATAAGCTAGAAAGGGTGCCTTTTGGAAATCCAGTCTCAAACTAAAGTTTTTCCGAACTTTGACCATTTAATTACACTTAAGCAGCTAGGAAGGAGTGAAAGGATATTCTGGAACCTTACCAAAAAGAAAAAACAACCAGAAAACTAGGGTCCAGGTGGCTTACCTATCAGCTGTGTACCTTTCAAATTGTATAAAGGAGCTGCCCATTAACACCTGAGAATAATTTAATGTGCCATTTTTCCTAAAGCTTCTTGGCAGCAAATATCTTTCAGGCTTAAGAGCTAAACATCTGTTATAGTTGAGAATTTATTTTCCCCATCACTGCCAACTGTGACAGTCTCGCCCTGAGCCTTAGAGCTATACTAGCAGGTTGGTGTTTTGTTCATTTTTATCATTGAACTGCAGCTTGAGAAGTATTGGGGAGAGACTGCTGTTTCCACAGTGGGAGGTTATTCCATCTACTTTTGACATCATCCTGCTTGGGAAGTGTTGTTGGGCATTTGATGGAGAGTTAGGGGAAACTTCTCATCCCTGTGACTATGTTTCTTGTAGGAATTTGCTGTGGAGTGCGGATGTATTTTAATTTTAGAGTTTTTAGTTTTGAATATTGTGATTTAATTTGTTCAGTTGGACTTTATTATGTTGTTTCAATGACCTATTTATAATTTTATGAACCATCTTTAGAGAGCCATAACAACATAACATAAAGCATAATATTAATATCACTTAGACATGTCAGGGAATGTGGTATGAGCATCAAAGGCAAAGGTAAAGGTTTCCCCCTGACATTAAGTCTAGTCATGTCCATCTCTGGAGGGTGGGCTCATCTCTAAGTCAAAGAGCTGGTGTTGTCCGTAGACACTTCCTAGGTCATGTGGCCAGCATGACTGCATGGAGCGTTGTTACCTTTCCGCAGAAACGGTGCCTATTGATCTACTTACATTTGCATGTTTTTGAACTGCTAGGTTGGCAGAAGCTGGGGCTAACAATAGGAGCTCACCCCATCCACAGATTTGAACTGCTGACTTTCTGATCAGCAAGTTCTGCAGCTTAGCAGTTTACCCTGCTGTGCCACCACACCTCTAATTAATGTCATTTTTCCCTAGAAGCACTTGGTCCAGCATAGGAAAGAGTTGATCCACGGATCATATGTAGGCCATGTGCCCCACTTTATGTCCCACCTTCTCCCACAATTATTTAAAATTCTGGGCCATGTTTTACCTGAAAACAGCCAAGAACTATGTACAAATGTACCTTTCATTCACTCATTTCTAAAAGATTGCAACATCCTCAAAATACAAAAAAAAGAGGAGGGGAGTTAAAATCAGATTAATCAAGCAGAAGAGATATTGTATTTCTTTTGGCCCACTTGGGAAGTGGGTTTGCCCTGTGGGTAAGGGGGAAATTTGGCCCTGTCGCACCAGGCAATTTTTTACCCCTATTTCAAGGGGCAGAGCCAGGAGGGAGATGTTTAATACTAATTCTGAAGTGTGTGCCCGTGAGACATTTCCCATCTTCGCCCATAGGAATGTGTACAAGCAACGAAACATATGTGCTATAAGTATTTCATCACTTACTAGAAATGAGTTATCCTGTAGTGCAGCCCCACAGCAATTTCTCACTAATAAGTGTCAACATATCATGTCTTCTGCTCCAGCATTGTTTCTGCTACTACAGATTCCTGATCATAATCTGAAAAGAAAGTAATTGAAAAGTGTCAAGAGACAAATATTTCTGATTCCAGACTAGTCTGGTGTCATGTGAAATATGAGGCTGTCAAAAGACTCAGGACTTTCTACATTCACCCACCCATGCTAATTTTGCTCAGATTTGATCATTCCAGAAAAGATACAGTGTTTTATCCTCCTCCTCAAATAGGCAGGTAGTGCTTTGTTGGAAGCAGAGCCTAGTAGAAGGTCAAACAAATAGGGCTAATATAAAATACTGGTGATGGTAATCTGTTTTGGAGGGAGGTGGTGTTTATACTCTGCTCTTTCCCCACCACAAAGTTCTCATTGCACCTGGCAATCACAAGGACCAAATGAAAACATCCAATAATTGCATTAAAATAGTATGTCTCTAATCCTTCAGAGTGCTTAAAATATATCACAAATACTCTTAATAAGTCTTTCAACACCTTCCACATTATATGACAGTGTAGATGAGGTCCGAGAAGGTCCTCATTTATTCTGTGGTCAGCATAGAGCCCCTGGTGGTGCAATGGGTTAAATCCTTGTGTTGGCAGGACTGAAGACCGACAGGTTGGAGGTTCGAATCCAGGGAGAACTCAGATGAGCTCCCTCTGTCAGCTCCAGCTCCCCATGCAGGGACATGAGAGAAGCCTCTCATAAGGGTGGTAAAACATCAAAACATCTGGGCATTCTATGGGCAACATCTTTGCAGACAACCAATTTTCTCACACCAGAAACAACTTGCAATCTCTCAAGTCGCTCCTGCCATGAAAAAAAATATGCTAGTAATGAATTTGTAGCTAAAGTCAAAGCCAACCAGGTAGTTGTTTGCACCTACTGGTATGTTTTTTGGGATGAATGTTGTGCTTGCATTCCTTTCTTTCTGATTCTCCTCTGTTCCCCACCAATAGTTAACATATTTCACTAACCAGACCTATTCCCTACTCCCGTTCTCTCTCACCAAATCCTTTGGCATGTGAGGACCACTTGAAGAGGAAAGGATGTTTGCCCTTTTGTAGTACTTCATGGCCATATATTCCCTGCCAGATTCTTGCTGCTTACCTCCTGCAAATGCTCTAGGAAGAGGGAGAGAAACTGCCCCTTTGTTTCACAGCATGTGATGGGAAAGGGAAGTTACCTGCTATCCCACAAGTTCTGTTTTTTGAGAACATACCACAGGAGGGGAGGGAGCCCAGTAAGAAGAAAGAAGTTATGAATCTCTCCCCCTCCCCATATCTCCATGGAGAAAAGAAAAGGCTTCTTGGCCTTTGAGATTCTGCATTGGGCCCATTGGGATTCTGCAAGAAACAGACACAGCAAGGCACCACTGCCATAAATAATACATTTTAAAAAGAAAGTATTTCTGCAGGAGTAAAATTTCCATGATAGTGACCACCTTTCCTATTTTTTTTTTTACCAAAGAAGAAATGGTCTCATTCCTGCCATGAGACTACCCTTTAAAAAAGTGCTCAGGTGTGCTTTCTTACTCTCCTGTAATAAATAAATAAGTAAACAAACAGGATTTGAAATCAAACACTATTTTTGTGGAGAAGAGGGAAAGGAAAGGTGGTTTTTATCTTTTCCTGCTTGGTACTTTCTGCAAAAAATAATAAGCTGTGTTTGGAAGAGGAAAAAGAGTTGGTTTCCCACAAGCAGGACTCTTGGTGAAATCACAGGTACTCGCTGGAGGGACGACAGGCAGACATCTGAAACAAGGGACTAGAAATGCAATGCTTGCAGTGTTTGTAAAAACGATTTCTAGGAAACTAGTTTAATCTCTGACTGTAAACCAGAGCTTGTAGCTGGAGTTTTCATCACAATTCTCCTCTTAAGGCATAGCAAGAAACTGTGATATCAGATGATATCACATTAAAGTGCACCAAGGAAAGGAAAGGAGACCACATAGGTAAAATGCTTATTCAGGAAACCATTTGAACTGGGACAACTCTTTGGAAGGAACTCGCAAAACCACCTCTGTGGATTCCTTGCCTAAGAAAATCTTATGTGATTCATGAGATCCACCACAAGTTGATATACAAGGTGAAGTCCCATATACACTCTTAGCTGTTGCTTTGTAATAGTTCTCATATAATCCTCGAGTCCTCTAGGAGGAAAAGGGCTCCCTCTCCTGCATTCTCTGAGCAGCTAGAGTATGTAATCAATACAATCCAAGGAAGGAATGGCACAAAACCAAATAACAAAAGGATACAAGTGACATTCACTTGTCTACCTGCCATAATAGATTTTATTTTTCTAGATGCATTCAAAGTGAATTTACCAAGGAGTAAAAGCAAGAATTGCTTCAGCATAAACATGTATTTACTTACTGAATGCATTTTTTATCACTGCTCAAGCCACCAAAGCAATTTACAATGGATATAAACACTTAAAATATTAAAGACATTACTATAAACCAGTAAACACACTCTGCAATAACAGTTCTAGGTCAAGATAATTAAAAACAGTTTTAAAACAGCCAAAGCAGAGACCCCAGTTTTAAGAATTAAAATCCAATCCAAATAATTCACTCTTCATTGCCTGCTGAAAACTCAGATTGGAGGTATGGAAAGAGTTCCTTGGTTGGGTTACTGTTCCATGAAAAATGCTGTTACCTGCATCTACCAGCTCTCTACTCACCAATATTTGTAGGCCTGCAAGCCAAAACTGCCTTCCACTGATCCCCTTTGCTGTAAGAGATCAGTGGCATGAACAGAGGGTCATCCAACCCAAGAGAAACATGAGACAAACCAAGCATAGTGAAGGCCCTTCAGCACTTAAACTTGACATTTGAATTTTTCCTTTGAAAACCCATAGAAGCTTTTTCATTTGCCACTATCAGTAACTATTTGGGTCTCCTGTCCTCAGTGCCTACATAGATAAAGCCAGCAATACAGCAGACCAGATGGTTCTAATTGAAAGCCAGTTAAACTCTCCTGAAGGCTTGGCGATGGACTGGGTCCACAAGAACATCTACTGGACAGATTCAGGAAACAAGACCATTTCTGTTGCCACTGCTGATGGGAGTAAGAGAAGGACACTTTTCAGTACTGATTTAAGTGAGCCCCGAGCAATTGCTGTGGATCCAACACGAGGGTAAGTGAGAGAGAACACTCTTTGTATTGCCGAATATAGTCCAAATTCTGCCTTGATCTTTCTTGTTCTTATACTATAGCATACACAGTAATCAGAGCTTCCACTATAGGTCATTTGGTTAAGGTAGTTGTTCTCAATTTGTGGGTCCCCAGGTGTTTTGGCCTACAACTCACAGAAATCCCAGCCAGTTTACCAGCTGTTAGGATTCTGGGAGTTGAAAGCCAAAACATCTGGGGACCCACAAGTTGAGAACCACTGGGTTAAGATAACTATAATATTATAACATACAGGAACAACAATTGCCGGATAGTAGTACCATTAAGACACTGGACAGATTACTCCATGATTGAGTATTTGGAGGTTATTGGTTGTGGGGGAATCATCTCCTAGAGCAAGGTGTTTATATTCTTTGTATTTCTGTCATTTCTAGTACTATTTTCTTTTGAGTTCCACTTGTCCCATTCCAATGAGGTTTTGTTTGTTCTTTGATTTATCCAACCAATCTTAACCAAGAGTGGGAAACAGATGGCCCGCAGATCATGTGCAGCCCTTTCTCTCTCTTTATTTTTGTCCCCCTATCACTACTGCCACAGCCGATTTCATGATGCAGAAAGTGATGGTCTTCCATTTTGGTTCTGAATGAGGGTTGCCAAATTGGATTTAGGTCCTCTAACCTTAGGAACAGGTGGGTATGTAGGAGTGTCCTGTTTTGTTCTTGTCATCAGCTCCTCCATACTTCCTCTCCTCTGTCATCATCAGTAAAGCAATAACTGTGTTGGATGAGTGTGGCTGAAAAATTGAAAGATGAAGGAGGATCTTTGTCCCTATGGTACCTTGTCCTGCAAGATCTGTCAAGGATTTAAGCTACAAGAGCTCTATGCCAGATCCAATCTTGTTTGTGAATTCATCTGCATGAATCTACTCATAGGTTTTCCCCTGACATTAAGTCCAGTCGTGTCCGACTCTGAGGGTTGGAGCTCATCTCCATTTCTAAGCCGAAGAGCCGGTGTTGTTCGCAGACACCTCCAAGGTCATGTGGCCAGCATGACTGCATGAAGCACCGTTACCTTCCTGCTGGACCTATTGATCTACTCACATTTGCATGTTTTCAAACTGCTAGGTTGGCAGAAGCTGGGGCTGATAGTGGAAACTCACACTGCTTCCCCGATTCAAGCCTGCAAACTTTCTGTCAACAAGTTTAGCAGCTCAGTGGTTTAACCCACTGCACCACCAGGGGCTCCTAATCTACTCATAAAGGTCCACAAAAGGTGCAGAAAAAGTGTGTACCTTGTTTAAAGAGAAAAACAACACTTTAAAGTGACAATGAAGATTTTCATGTTTTCCTACTTCTGAATTCCAGCAGCAAAAGTGATGGATATAGCAGCAAAGTGTGGTCCACTCTCCATTCAGGCAGAGAAATAGAGAAATTGTCCATTCTTGCTCCTAACAAAGAATTTTCCATGTTTATAACACTTTTTTCATAACACTGAGCAAAGAGTACTTGATTTTTTGCTTCATGGGTACCAAAGTTCCTTAAATACTATTTTATGGAGGCATAGCTGTCCTCAAATAAATAAATCCTCTTTACAGAATCCAGTTTACTAACCATACCTGCAATGGTTTAAATGGGTTTAAAGAAGCAATAGTCTGTAGCATTGCATCTTTAAATTTAAAGAAAGTGAGTGTCAGAGATCACTTGGTCATGCCACAAAACCTTCCAGCATCTGCTTTCTTTTCTGTTACAGGTTTATGTATTGGTCTGACTGGGGGGACATTGCAAAAATTGAAAAAGCTGGCTTGAATGGTGTAGATCGGCAAGTGCTTGTGACAGACAACATTGAATGGCCCAATGGCATCACACTGGGTAAGTTTCAAAACTTTGGACCAAATAATTACAAAGTTCATAGGTACAGAAAGTTTCCTTACACCAAATCAGAACTTCGGTCCAATTATTCAGTAAATTCTATTTTGTTTGACAACAGCTATCTGAGATTTCAGACAAGTACCTCAAAGTTTCAGGTGAGGAGATCTCTGTATCCAGGACTATTTACATGCAAAGTATGTCCTCTATCACTGAACAGTGGCCTTTTCCAAGGAGTTTGTAATGCTAACTAAGCAAGGAGGGGAAAAAAACCCAATTATACAAGTCTCAGATGGGTTTTTCACCACTTATATATATGGCAAGTCAGTTCAGTCTAATGCAAATGTTTGCTGAGGCAGCTTATCCTGAGATTTTCCTGCTGCTTCAGCACTTTGTGTGCCATGTAAACTTCCTTCACAATCTTTCCATGAGGCCAAACTACATGTGGGATGGATGATCAATCTGCACACATTCCCCAGTCGACCTTTCTCTTATTTTTTTACTCAGAGATTCTGCAAATGGAAATATAAAGGACTGGGTTGAAAAAAGAGGCAGGATAACCATTGCCCCAATCCCCACAGCTGCTTTTCCACCCCCAGGAAAAAATGATACAGCTCCCCTTCCCTCCTAAGAAAAGTGAAAAGCAGTTTGAAAAAAGATCATATATTTTGTCTTTCCAAATTAACTGTATATGTAGGTAGCACCTTAGTTAAGACCGCATTAGATGTAGTTTTAAAACCTGATAACTGCTTATGTCAAGATTAATGCAGCTAAAGAGCGTTTCACCTGTAAGACTCGGAACAGCTTCTTTCATGTCTTCTTGGGATCTGCTTGGTGACCCTGGCTTGGGACTGAACAAGGCTTGCCAAGTTACTGTTCTGGACTACCACTCTCAGAATCTTCGTGCTAGCATGGGCTTTGGAAATATGGGAGATGTTGGCCAAAAAAGTGAATTTACATGCTATGGTGTAGAAGTGCTAAACTCGCATTTGCAGAGAACAGTCTCCCAGAAAGATGAAGAATGTACGACACTGGAAAGCTTTGTCTTAGCATTGCTCTTGCAGTGGTTTAGATTATGCAAACTCTACATTAATTGATTGCTTCCTGAATGCAGCACAAGTAGGCTAAGGTCTGAAAGACCATGTTGCTCGGGAGAACTACCAATACTGAAAAAAATAACTGGGGTGAATCTTCCAACTTGTCACACTTGAAACTCATGCTCAGCCCTCCATGAGTTGTTTAGGAAAATGATGAAGAGTTTTTCAAGATGTCAAAACAATACAGCACCTACTACAATATTTATTTATTTATTTACAGTATTTATATTCTGCCCTTCTCACCCCAAAGGGGACTCAGGGCAGATCATAGAACACATATATGGCAAACATTCAATGCCGTTATATACTAACAGGACAGACACAGTACATAGATAGAGGTATATAGGCTTTTCCCATCTTTGGCATCTTGGAGGTTGTGTTCGATTCCTTCCATGGGAGTATGCTATCACTCCATCCATGCTAAAGAGCCCTGTTCACAGACTTCCTCTTTTGATCAAGTCGCCGGCATTTTTCTGGTATTTCCTTATGGTGCCATTAAAATACCTCCCCGTTTAAGCAGTACATATTTATCTACTCATAGCTGTTTTCAGTCTGCTAGGTGGGCAGTGTGCTGGGCTGATGGTCAGGCGCTCACCCCCAACCCGGGCTTCGAACTGCCAACCTTTTGATTCGCAAGATTTATTACAGCTGGTGGTTAACCTGCTGTGCTAAAGCCCAGCAAGATGTCAAAGCAGCACAGCACCTACTACAGTACCCAGATATGACGAGATAAAAAGGCATTCAGATGTAATTCTGTCTTTGTATGTTTACTCTTCAGATTTGTTGAATCAGCGTCTCTACTGGGTGGATTCCAAATTGCACTTACTTTCGAGTGTAGATTTCAATGGCAACAACAGGAAAGTTCTCATATCTTCTGCGGATGACCTGAGCCACCCGTTTGGAATAGCAGTGTTTGAGGTATGAGAACAGCACAGGGACCCTGTGTAAACAGAAAGTAAAGTAAGGCAAAATTGCACTAAAGAGGCACAACCAACTGGTACCAATACTGAATAAAAAGAGTAATGGTCTGATTTCATTATGATGATAGATAGATAGGATTGCCAGAGAAAAAACCAAGGACAGCTCTCACATCTTTCGTGGTTGTTTAGATGAGGGAATTCCAGTAGATGTTGCTTGTTACACAACCAGATATCATCCAGCACTTGATGAAATTCTTCTTCTATTCTGCCTTTAAAGACACAGGGAACCTTCTCCAATTTTCACTCTGGCAACCCTAATAATAGGATATGTGCATGCCTCAGCTATAATTCTTATTCAAGAAATATGGTGGTGGGATATTATGAGAAGAATTAGCTATGGTCAACTTCATGAGCTCACCTCAGGTAGGAAAATACCTAAACAATTTTGAAACAGTGTGAAGAGGACTAATTGAAAAGGTGTGTGGTTCTTTTAATCCTAACAAATGTAGTATAGCATAAGCTTGGATGGGCAAAACAGCCTATTTCCTCAAATACAAGGAATTCAGCCATGGAATATCCAGTTCTATGGCTGAGTGTGGGACGCTGCTGACAGTGAGATGAGAGTAATTTTTAGACAAAGTTATTTGCAATGGGAATTATAGCGGCATAACTGTCCTGTCCTTGGTAATGTGATATTGTACACAAACCTCTGATGATATGTTTCAACTTATAAGTGAAAAGGTTTTCATTTGATGTTTCAAGACTGCACTCCATGTATTAGAGAAAGCTAAGAGATTTAATAGCAAAAGCATTTTGTCTGTATCATCCATTATACATTAGAAAACAAGATAAGCTCTGAATCCATTTTCTCAAAAACTCTGTTTTTCACTTCTCCACCGTCAATTTTGCAAAGAGATTTTGCCATTTCACCTTTGTCTTTATCTTTCTGCAAAGAAAGTGAAAGCTCTATAGTTAAAGATAACCTTTCAAACCTGCTTTGTCCTTTTACGCATCTTCTAATTGATAGACGTTGTTACTAAATGTACCTCACTTTGAATCACAAGGAAAGATATCTTTCTTAGCCCTTGGATTACCCTTCTCTACTGTTTATCCCAAACTACAAAGTTCACCTCTGTGAAACTGTCAGGGACTTGTTATACACAGAAGCTAGCTTAATACAGGTCACACCTTTGGAGGGAGAAGGAAGATTAGCCTGGAATGCTATTTTCACTGGATGCCAAGGGATCACTCCACTTTTTAATAAATCCCTGCAAATCCTATTCAGCAACCATCATGACCACACAAGTCAGAGAAACTCGAAAGCATAAGCAGACCTTTAATAATAAGACCAGGCATGCCTGCCTTTCTGTTATGGCAAGTTCACAAGTAGCCTGAACCCCTCCCTTGGGTATTTTTGATTGAGACGGCATCCTTTGTTCTCATACAGAACACAGTATAGGACGGAGATGGAAAGAGTTCAGCTTATAGTCAGTTTAAGGGTGGCCTGGAAAGAGGTTGAGGAGTTGACAGCTGAAACAACAGCCTTGAGGAGCTGCTCTCTGTCCAGTGCCATGGAAGAGGAACTTAGATTTGTCCATAGGCTTCCCCACATGGAGGAGTTATCCATTGTTTCTGACTGTCATCCACATGTGAAGATGTAAATGTTTTTCTTGTGGATGATGGTGACTGATGCATTGGCTGACACCCAGCAATATTAATTGGTGATTCCCATCCCAGTGGGATGTTGAGCCCATTCTAGGTTTAATCTACATCAGAGCTTTCCAGACATTTCATGCTGGTGATATACTTTTTTTACATGCATATTTTGCAGCACAGTAAATCAGTTTTGAAAGCAAACTGGAGGTTAAACCCCAACCCTTTATAAAAGGTTTGGATATATGCATAAATGGTAATAATCATATGTCTGGGGACACAACATCTATATAAATAAAAATTGTAATGTTTGTTTGTGGGATTAACATAACTCAAAAACCACTGAACGAATTGACATGAAATTTAGACACTACACCCCTATCAGGCCAACGAGCCAAAAAAAGCAAAAAGATGCTACAGCACATGCGCAAGATGACTCCCCCTGGCAAACAAAACACACAATAGCATATCCACACTCTCTTCTGGACTACAGCTCCCAGCACCCCCTAGAATAGGTCCTTTAGGAGAGGAGGATGATCCAAATGCACTGCTTCCAAAAAATCTGCAAGGTTCTGAACAGTAGTGCTAAATTGATCCAGGACTTTGGATAACTCCTCTAAGGCTAACTAAAAACTTGAATGGATTAGTAGCCCAACTAATGCAGTTTCACCACTACCACCACTTTCTCTTTGGGCAGAAAGAGGTAAGAATTTGTTGGTTCTTCCCTGCTGTGATGGTATTATCTTTTAAAAATCAGGTGGACAGAGTGAGGCTGTCTTAACCACAGATTTAGGTCAAGTAAACAGCTTAAGGAAGTACCACCATGAAGGCAGAAATTGTGTCTAAAAGGAGCAGAAAGATTTGTGTGTTTTAGTCCTAGAGATGGGGTGGCAGGGTGCTGCCACTTGGGCTTTCATTTAGGTAGCAAAATTAGTCCTAAGCTTGCAAAGTGTTGTATACATTCATTCATTCACTGACAGTTCTTTCCAGTGTATTTACTTAGTCGTTAAAAACTTTGAAATAGATTGATTATTGGGAAGTACAAAGTGCTCATTAGATTATAGTTTGTACATGACATGGTATCTGTTCTTGCAGGACAGGGTGTTCTGGACTGACTTAGAGAATGAGGCCATCTTCAGTGCCAATAGGCTGAATGGTCTGGATATCTCCATTTTAGCTGAGAACCTCAATAATCCCCATGATATTGTAGTCTTTCATGAGCTGAAGCAACCTAAAGGTAAGTCGTATTTTCCATTATAGAGCATAATTTCTTCCAATACAACAAAGCTAACAAAATCTAAATCCACTATCTAGCATAACAATGTTGCCAAATCTTAATGGGAAAACCTTTGGTTTCTTAATTTGTTTTTATGATACTGTTTGAAATCCCTTACACTGATTATGGTTGTTCTGTAGTAAGATAGACAAGATGAGCTGACAGAAACAGAAAGCAAGCTCATGAGAAGGTGCCTTGGCTCTCATGGGTCTATCATTGTTTCCAAACTTTTGTACAGTTCAATAGAGTATTATCACATCTGCATTGAGGAAACATAATTAACAAACCATTTAACCTACTGAAAACTATAATATCCAGGTGGCTTTTGTTAGGCCCCCAAAATCTGCAGAAACTTTTGAGGGTTGTTGTAGGTTTTTTGGGCTATATGGCCATGTTCTAGAAGCATTCTGTCCTGACGTTTCGCCTGCATCTATGCAAGCATCCTCAGTGGTAGTGAGGTCTTTTGTTGAGATTCCCCCAGGCACTAACAAGCCACACCTAAAAATTGCCAGGTCATCAAATGCTAATCAAGGTGGCCAATTGAAACATTCACATTTGGCTCCAACAGACAAGAGTTCTTTCTCCCACCCTGGACATTCCACAGATATATAAACCTCACTTACCTAGTTTCCAGCAGACCTCACAACCTCTGAGGATGCCTGCCACAGATGCAGGTGAAATGTCAGGAGAGAATGCTTCTAGAAAATGGCCATGAAAGCCTTTAACAATACAATAATTTTTTGATTTCAAAAATATTTGTTTGTTTGTTTGTTTATTTACTGCATTTCTATACCACTTTTCTCACCCCTAGGGGGACTCAAAGTGGTGTATAGCATAATAAATGGCAAAAATTCAGTGCCTCACATACGAATAAAAATAATACATTCCATATCATAAAACAATAACATATAATTATAAATTAAATCATTTTTAAAAGCTATATAAAAAGGTGTACCATATTATACTTGTACATAGGTCAAGAAATTTTAGATAAAATTTGACCTCGAAAACCTGCATTGCGTTAACCACTGGTCAGTTAAATACCATTCCTTCATTCTTATATAAAAAGGGACCATTGCTTTCTCTGGACAGACTATTGAAAGTCAAGAAGCACCAGCCCCCCTCTACTCTCTCCATTGTGATACCACTTTTAGATTTTTTTAATACCTGGGTGGGTTTGTGCAACAGCAGCGGCTCTCTGGCACTTCCCCTCAAATAGAGCAGCTTCAGGGGTCACTTTCTGGGGGATTCCCAATAGTCCACTTCTCACGTCAAAATCCAAAAACCCTCCTTGATTAAACACAAGTATATATAGTATTAAAAATCCCAACCCATTTCGGCTTTTTTGCACTGTTTTCTGCCCTCTACTGTTCATATACTGTATTTCTTCCATTCAAAGATGTGCCTCCCCTCTTTAAACATCACTAAAATGGGATGCATCTTTGAATCGAAGAAATACAATAGTATCTATTGCAGTAGGAGGAACAAAACATGCAATGAGATTTTGTAACATCTTAAAGTTTAACAAAGAAAACGAAGCTGGTAGCACAAGGTTTCGTAGACCAATGACTTGTATGCCGTGGTCAGAAACCCTGAATCAGTCACGTGTGGACATCCACACTCCAAAGATTTCCAATCAGTAACATGGAATAATACCAGTTAATCTGGTTTTATTTTACATTAGCAGAAGTCAAGGAATGCTCTGGAGTTTCCCCTAAACTGTTGAGCAGCCCTACACTTTGTGATTGAAGTAGACAGCTGGCCCATTTCTAATTCTAAACAAGGTCCTTAGAAGCCAGTGCGCACCATCCCCTTTCTCTTGCACTCCTGGAGAATTGTCCTCCTTTCCCCTGGTTGCACAGGCACCTTTGCTAATGTCTTTGCAGCGTAAACACCCCAATTTAACCACCCATCTTTGATTTTGTGGCTTGTATAGATGAACCCTCAGTCTGGTTCCTCAGTAAACTTAGTCTATGAAATATTACACTATCAACTTTGGTCTCTAAGTTATTCTCTAACATGCTACAAAGATCTCTTTGCATACTCATACTCAAGACTAACATGTATTTATTTATTTATTTATTTAAAACATTTATATTCTGCCCTTCTCACCCCGAAGGGGACTCACGGCAGAGCATAACATATATATGGCAAACATTCAATGCCGGAACATAAAATAAACTATAAATGTACATAAACACTAAAATCAGTTAACCCATATTAAAATCAACTGTTTAAAACTGTCTCAAATTATCCATATCGACTCTGGTCATGACTGTGTCTTTGAATGTTACCTCTGTAAGAAACAGCATCCTTTTTCTTGTTTTTATACTAGGATACTGCTTTGGAGTATTTTATGTAAACCTTTACAGGCATTCTTAAATCTAAAAGAATAAAAATATTCCCACCACTTTATTTATGTAACATTCATTGTTGAAAACGCCTTGAGAGTGTAAGATTCAGAGACTACAATAGTGGCATAGTGGTACTGAACATATTTCATAAATTACTAACGAGAGCAGTCGATATAAATCCCTGTTATTTTCTTTCCCTCCTTAAAGCTCCAAATGCTTGCGATCCGAGTTCCCAAACAAATGGAGGCTGTGAATATCTTTGTCTTCCTGCGCCCCAGATTTCTCCACATTCCCCAAAATATACATGTGTTTGTCCTGACAATATGTGGTTGGGGCCTGACATGAAAAAGTGCTATCAAGGTAAGAAGAACTGCCTTCACTCTATGAACCTTCTCATGCCCAGGGTTTGGGGCATGCTTGTGTATGTTGTCAATAGAAACATGTGTTATCTACAATTCTGGATTCAAGTATTTCGTATTTATTGTATTTTTCACTCTTTATTTCCATAATTTGCCTTCTAAACTCCAACTATAAATCCTTTTTCTGAATGAAGTAGCAGCCAATCCCTTTTTGTATCTTCTCCCACTCTAATGTATCCTTAGAAACACATAGCATATCATGTGGCAATGACTGGGGATTGACAGTGGGAATTAATGGGGATGGGAGAGGGAAATGGGTAGTTATTATAAGTTCTGTGTAGCTAGTCATATAATTGGGAAGATGGTTACTTCCTGTTTCGTCAACATTCTGATATTTTCAATAAATGTTTGAGTAGACAAATTGGCTATCTTAGCCAAAATTTCATAATCTTCTAAAACTTTTCCTATACTTTTAATGATCTTATCTGGTTTAGAGAAGCCCCATTAAGTAGAAATTGTCTGGTGCAGCTGTTGCTGACTATATATTGCTTATGCTTTCAGAGCTTCCACCTACCTCAACTCATGTGCCTGCTACTACTACAACTTACTTGCCCAATTTTACTGATATTAGTACTGCTCTTACAATGACAACGACAACAACAACCACCACCACCACCATTGTTACAACCAATAGCACCAGAAACATTAGTACAGAAGGCCAAGAAACCACAACACAATTTGTTCTTGGCACTACAAGCCTCCGTTCAGACACAACCACAATCACAACAACAGAATCCAAAATGACGACAACTGGAAACAGCAATCTCTCCCAGCATTGTAAGCCAATATAGTCATGTTTTCCTTCCCCCTTGGAACTTAATTAACTTGTTTGTAATGGTGTGATATGTTTGAGTTGGCAGTATACACAGCTGTGAGAAGGTAAAACAAGATGCTTTTATCTGTTGTCTTCTTATTCAACCATATAAGTGTTATCTCAACATTGACTCCATTGTGGAGGATCTGGTTTCATAAGTATCTTTTCAATCACCCCCTTTGTTCTAATTGTACTATAGCCTATTTTAGGATAGCAGAATTTAGGATATCCTTGTAATCCTGAGATTGATCCAAAAATCCCAAACTGATAGATTTACCCAGAATTTTCCAAACCAATTTAATGCTACTCCTTTTTAATGTCCCTTAAAGTTTCCCTTAGTTCTCTTTCCAATAGCCCTGCCACATAGCAATTGCTTGTCTTTTTCATTTCTGAAATAGGCCTCCAATAGGCCTTTTTCACAGCATTATAAAAGCTTCATTCATATACATGACTAGCCTCACTTTTCCAGCTGTGTTCATCATTGTGTAAGAAATTCCAGGCCTAAAAAATTGCAATCCCAAATCCACTAATGGCTAACCACTGGAGGACTATGGGTCCTAAACTTGGGGGAGAATAGATAAATATCACCACATTATTTCCAAATACAGGTAACTGAAGCAAATAACACTAGACATTAGAACAGTATTTCTCAAACTGTGCTCCTCCAGATGTTTTGGACTCAGCTCCCACAATTCCTAACAGCTGGTAAGCCACCTGGAGGAGCACAGTTTCAGAAATGCTGTTCTGATGCAGAGCATTCAAACTCCGTGTCACAATATCTTAATGTGTTGACTAAAGTCTGTAGGTGTGTCATGCAAATGTAACAAGAAATAACAAAAATCTTGGATATGTATGTTATTATCTTACAAATCATAGCTTTAAAAATATAAATGAAAGGTTTTTATGAGATATGTTGTGTCTCTGTATTTCATTATTGCAATTATGTATGTGTTCAAATCTCTTATAAAGTGTTGATTCACCCTTCAGTTTTCTAGTGAAAATGAATTACTATGTCACAAAGTGATGCATGTCTAAAAAGTGTGTTACCAACATCAAATGTTTGGAAAGCTCTTCTCTAATGAATCCTAAAATCATATCAAAACTCCGAGGTTACTGCCACTGTCCAATAAGATCTAGTCTGATACATTATACCCATACATTTGTCTGCAAATTCTTCCTTTTAGCTTTCGGACTTCCTAGACCAAGCAGTTAATGTTGACAAGGATGTTAATGTCTCTAAGCTTTTTATTAAAAAGTCATACTTGTTTAAAACTTCAATTTTGCTCTGAGTCTGATCTTCTATGTTTGCAGATACTAATGATGGGCAAGGTTTTGGATCAACTGTGATGGCAGCCATCATTGGAATAGTTGTTCCTGTTGGTACGTATGTTTTGCCTTCTTTACTGCGTGAATTTTCCTGTACATTTCAGCACTTTTGGCCTGGCCTGACATTAAGAAATCAGAACATTGATACCTATCAGGAGAACTATCGTTCCCCAAAGCAACTAGAAATGTTGATTTGTTCTCTTTCTGCCTCCTTTTTGCCCTAGTGGTAATTGGTCTGTTATGTATGGGAGGGTACTTCATCTGGAGAAACTGGAAACGGAAAAACACGAAAAGCATGAACTTTGATAATCCTGTATATAGGAAGACTACAGAAGAGGAGGATGAAGATGAAATTCATATTGGGAGAACAACACAGATTGGACATGTGTACCCAGCAGTAAGTCTCTAATGATGCCTTTCTCACCAATCTTTTAGAATCATGTTATGCAAACAGAAAATCAACATAAATCAAAGGAAAACCATCATGCTGATCAAAGTATTTTAGGTTATGTCACAATTATTACATAATTTAGTTTCACAACATGGAAGCAGGACATAATGAATTAAAACTGCACAACTGATGTCCATTCTGTGGTCACCCCTATCGGTTGTATGGGCAAGTAAAAAAGGAAGCAAAAGGTCAGGAACACATGAACTGCTGTGATCTTATTGATTTATTTTAATTTATTTGAGTTGATTTTTACCCCGCTTTTCTCCCACACCAAGGCAAGACTCAAGGTGGCTAACAATACAATAAAAACATACAAAGTAAAAAAATTAAACAGATTAAAACCCAGCAAATTCCTTACAGCAACTCGATTATCTAAAACTGTCAGAGATAAAACCCTATTTACAAATATAACATGCACATTTAAAACCATTAATTAACCCCATTGGGAGCCAACTTCCCATACTCTTGGATCTAGAGAGACACGTGATCCATCTACAATTTTAATTTCCTCCAAAGGCCTTATGTGTGCTATTTCATCATATCTGTACCTGAAGCAAGTGCTATGGATCCTGCCTACAGTTATTTGGGACATAGAGTATATCATATCCAGTTGTTTGGTGCATCAGAAAGTAGGCATGAGCAAGTGTAGATCACCTTTTACTTGTCACAAGAAGCGGGGAGTCAGCTACTGCCTATTAAGCAGATTTCCCTGAGTCTCTAGTCCATGTGTAGTTTTAAAGTATGTGATAGTTTCTTATGCTGAACTGGTACAATTGATACAAATGTCCTGAGCCTTCTTTGAAGATAGCATTGGTATAAATGAAGGTTTGATTTAGAACAGTAAAACTAAGCACTTAAACAGTTTTAGCTAAATTGATTTCAGCAGATTTATAAAGGGTGCCTCTACACTGTAGAATCAATGCAGATTGATACCACACAAACTGCCATGGCTCAATTTTAAGGAATCCTGGGAGTTGTCGTTTGGTGAGGCACCTGCACTCTTTGGCAGAGAAGACCAAGGCCTTCTAAAATTGCAACTCCCTATAGCTCAGCAGTAGAAAGTCACCAGCAGTTTTTCATTCAATTGTTAGTTCCTTAAAAGTCTCTGATGGGCCCTCTTAACCGACGCTGCCATATGAACATCCTGAGTGAGATCCTCCTTAACAATAGCACCCAGAAACTTAAAACTGGTCACCCACTCCACTCGATCTCCATTTATAACTAAAGGTTGAATTTCTGATCTATTCCTTCTGTACTCTACTATAAACTCCTTGGTCTTATTAACCAAAATACTGTCCCTGCACCACGAGAGTAGCTGATCCACCTCACTTCGGGAGGTAGACTTGCCCCCTCAGAGATAAGTCCCTCCACTGTTGTATCTGGAAAGTACCAGGTTGCTTATTCCCAGATCTAAGTTACGGTCATATACAATGTAATGTCAGAATGCTAACAATACATCTGCAGCAAAACACAATATAATAAAATGAGTGTTAAACCAATTATCCAGATTAATCCATCATCTTAGAGATCCTGGCGTGCAGTAAATGCATGACTTAAACAAACAAATTTTAATAGAGCCATCTGCAGAGGTCAGTGTGCCGGCTTTTAGTTTGTCTTTCTGTAACTTCTGGCCACTAGTCTGAACTGTTTGAAGTGCCACTCTGCTGACACTCTTGCCCCCAAGATGCAGTTCCTTTTGTCCACCATGGTCTACAAAAAAGTTGTTACAAACTATGGTTTACAAAGACAGTTGTTAGCAGCGTTGTTACAGTAATACCCACTCTAGCCTCACAGAACAGTTTGCAGACCAATAAAAATATATTTCCTGCCTTCATGCTTACAGACATCTGGTCAGACTAACCAATGTCTCTCTTCTTCCCCCACAGCGTGTAGCACTAAGCCTAGAAGATGATGGGTTGCCCTGAGAGGAACCACAATTGCTCCTTCCCTACAGCCAGTGGACTGATAGATATGCACTGAACAGATCTGCTGTGGATCGTGGAATCCACCTTCTTTTATCCCTTTCCCCTGTCCTTTTAATTATTGTTTATGTTGCAGAAGGGTAACCACAAAGTTGTAATGAACTACAAACATCCAAAGGATGTGAGAGTTTTGTATGTATAATCTTTTATACACCTTTTTAACTTCTTGCACTATCCATCTATTAATAGTGAGGAGCCTGCTCTACTGCTCAGCTACTAACTCGATGTATACAACCAGCCAGACCCATGGGTCAGTAGCTTACACGTCATTTTTGAAAACTATATTTATAGAAGTTTTGTAAATATATCAGACATACTTTGTGGCGGTCCAGCAACATGAAAAAAGAGATCTATACATGCCATTTAGGATATTTATTAACAAACTCTGGACATAAGATTTATTCTGTAAATATACCTAGAGCATAAGAGTATTTATTTTTTGTATGTTTGGCTCGCTGTGCATAGATTATCTGTCTATGCCTATCAAAGCTAGATAGGTATATAGACATCTCCATATATAAATAAATCTCTATATAAAATATAAATATATATATATATATAATAAATGAATATATTTTAGAAAGACTAACCCAGCAGTATGGGAAGTAGAGTAACAGAATTCTTATGGGAGGTTTTGTGGAAATTTTGCTTTGATGTTAGAAACTACTGAGTAAGAAATGCAGCTGTTAGAATAGAATAGTTGATGACTGTCAAAAGAACAAAGTAGTCATATGATGAACAAACCAAATTTTGTCCAAGCTTATATGCAGTTCTTAGCAAATTTACAGTGTATTCATCCCATCAAGCTCAGTGAGATGTACTTCAGAGTAAGCATTTTTTTTTTCAGTCGGCTCGTTAGCCTTATTGGAAATTTTCACCTTAAAATATTCTGGGTCTAGGAGTGCTCCTTTCTGCTCAAAAAAGAAGTGTTTACTAATAGCAGGTTTTCTCCAATAATGAAAATGACTGAATACTGTTCTCACACTAATACTAGGGGTACCAAATAATTCTAAATGTGCATATTTGGAGTTAAGTCCCTCAGGTTCAGTGGAAAACATTCCTAAAGTGAATTGGGTTGTAGAAACAGTAATTGCGGAATGCAGGGTATTGGTATCAATATCCAAACATATATACTATTATTCTTTGTTAATGCATACTGAAAATCTCACTCTCTATTACTTGAAGACACTGTCCTGCTGACGTTCATTGGTGGCTAAATCAACTACAATAATTGAAATGGCTTTTGCACAACTTTCAGGAACTGGAAGTCCATCCCAACCCCTTAGAATCTTCTGGAGCTCTCTCCCTGCATTTATTTGGCCTAAACATGACCAAGTGTGGCCCCTGGAGCTTTCAAGGGGTGAATAGCCATTTTTGGAGAGTCATATGTCTTAATTTAGCCTCAAGGAGACAATTTTTAAAGACCTGGTCACAGCCTGAAAATGGACTTAAATGGTCAGTTGTCCACCAAGGAAATTCTGAAGATGCGATGTTAAGCCCTACAAAATTGGAAGGGTAATCAGATTGCAAGTAATCCAAGGGCTCTATCTTACTCCACCCCACCCCTACACTATCTATTTGCTGTTTGTTGGTTGATACTAATGACTTCTCATCATTACACTCTTATGGATTGGCCTCCTATGTACTTTAAATATAATGTATGGATTTTTGTTGTTGTTGTTGCTAAAAGACAGTTGGAGCACCAGCCTGTTCTGTGTAGAGTAAAAGCCTTTCATTGTATCTGTGCTTTCAATTAAGTGTTTCCAGTTTGCAGGTCCTACCTTTTTATTACTTCCTGTTGATTGCAACTGGATGAGTGTTCCTTGAATAGCCTCTCTTGATTACCTCAAGTCAGGTTCTCTTCCACAGCACAGTTTTAACTAGTCTTCCAATTTTTAAGAAGTTTGCATGGAAAAATAACACTATTTTACTATTGCAAGCCACCCAGTAATTTAATCTCTGTGAAAGCAAAATTGTTTAAGAGGCATTTTATTATTATTCCCCGGTTAAGATCTCCAGGAAGCAATTAAACCTGAAGGAAGTATACATTATAAAAGAATATCAGTCATGTGGGACGATTTTTGATGGATAGAACTTTCCTGTACTAATGCTGAACTATAACTAAACAGGGCTAAAGCAAACTAAGACATCAACTTTATCCTGCCTATACAGGTTTGACTAGCAAATGGCTACATTGGCCAACGTGTCTCACTCACTTGTTTGGATTTAACTGATGGTGATTATTGTGATTTGGTTATAACAGAAACCAGTACAAAGGTATCTAGAAGGATTAACGCTCTTCTGCAAACTATTTCTTTAACTTCAGGATGTTAACACAAATGAAACTGAAGACTGTATTCTACTCAAGACAACACAACCTGTTACATTCTTTTTCATTTCATTTTGGCTAGCATTATTTGCTCTGGTGTTACTTTTAGTATACATCCCTATACTTCTTGTGGTAGAAAGGCACCCTCAAGTCTCTCTCCATACCAATAGCTTTCATATGAAGAGAGGGGTGAGTAACTTTGAGCCCTGTGCCTGTTTTAGTCAGGAGTAAGTTGTATAATGATTACTTGCATTTAAAATTGCAACCTAAAATTTATTTGTGAGTAGTCTTCAAGAACAAAAACAACATTTGGCCTGGAGGATGGCATTATTTGTACACATACAGAGCTAAATATCATAGAGTATCACAGTTTTATTAATTTGAAACTTGGATTTGAATTGAATGATTATAAAGAACATGAAGGAGCCTCTTACAGAACTAGACTTTCTTACTAATACAGTTTAAGGCAGAGCTTTCCAAACTTCATGATGGTGTCATGCATTTTTGACATGCATCCTTTCACGACACAGTAATTCAATTTTACTGGCAAATCGGATAAACCAACCCATTATAAAAGTTTCATTGTGTTTGTGTGTGTGTAAAGGTTTCCCCTGGACATTAAGTCTAGTCAAGTCCACTCTGTGGGGTGGTGCTCATCTCCATTTCTAAGCCGAAGAGCCAGCATTGTCCATAGACGCCTCCTAGGTCATGTGGTTAGCATGACTGCATGGAGCACTGTTACCATCTCACCGAAGCGGTATAAGTGTATAATATATATGTTTCATATTTTGACTGTATAAATGAGGTTTGGATTTTTTTCTTTTACACTTTTGTCCTACGGTTGATTCTTGTGTAGTTTTCTCTATAGCCTCTCCATGTGGTTCATCACAAACATAATTACAAACAGATTTTCTTTTCCTTATTAGAACTTTGTCCACTTTAGTGGCAATTACTGCAACTCAATCAACAAATTGTGCAAATTATAAAAGTTATAACAGTAACTACACTTGAACTGCACCAGCCTTTGTTTGTGGGATCGAGGAACATTTTTCATGCGACACACCTAGGGACTACAGCGCCAAAAGAGTGTGTCCCAGCACACAGTTTGGAAAGCTCTGATTTAAGGTATTAATGGATGTCAAATATTATTAGGAAAGAGAAGAAGACATTGCTTCCAAACATAGAACCCCTAACATTAATGATTAAAGGGCATTTTTACAGCTATCTAATTTTCCTTAAGAGATTATTTTCTGGTAAGAGAAAGAGAAGGAAGAAATAGCAAGAAAATATGGAAAGCCAACCAATTGAAGGTAGGTGTGATCTGAGTCCACTATACAATTCCAATAATGAGGCAGTGTGACTATATAATAAAAAAAACTAATTTGGAAATACCGTACATGACTTTGCAGAGTCATAAGAGACTTGCACATATAAATCAGCCATTGTAATTTTGCCACCTCAAACACAATGTTTCACACATTGAGCTGCAGGCTTCAAGTACCTACATGAGCAGTGAACCAAATACATGAACATAATTCTTTTTTTGTATCAACATCTATTCCTGAAACCTCAAAATAAGTGCTTGAAAGTGAGATCATATTCACTGTCCCCAGCATAAGCTTGTTTTCCATTATTTCAAGAATATGTTTGAAATATGTTACACCTTGCACCTTTGTATCTCCATTTTTATTGTAATTTCCATGTTTTAAAAACAGTTTGTTAAACAATTATTGAAAGGCAAGAGCACCTACATCACAGTTCTGGATTCCTTGTTGCCCATATAATGATCAATTCTTAGCTTCTTTTTTACAGTCAAGCAGTAGGTTCTCATTGATTAATGTGAAAAACTTCCAGTTGGCTCTCTGAAGTGTCTCCACTGAAAATATGGTATGCTGTGGAGGCTGTGTTCATGATGATGTATCTGTAACAGTTCATTCACTTGGGTAAATCATCCCTTGATGACAAATGACCAATAAACCCATATTTTTGGACTAGTCCCACATGTCTTAGTTAACGTTTAAAAGTTTAAAGGATGTGGTATATTTGCACCTTGGATGTAATATTACTCTTATCTTTATATCTAATGTGTACTACACAATAATTTATTTCTGCAAGATTTAAGAACAAAAGCCCATCAATAAATGCATACTTCTGGAGAAAGCTGGGGTTGAGGATGCAGTCTGATCATTGTTTCAGCTGCTCTGCTCAGACACTACATGGCCATGCACTATGTGTATGAAGAAATAAATGGAAAGGAGAGAAAAACTTTTGTTTGTAATAACTGTAACTAACCTCAATCTGTAAATAGATTTGAAGAATCTACAGTTTTGATACTTTTTTAAAAAGCAAATCCTTGTACAAATACCATGTGTAAAAAAAAAACTGGGATTTTTCCCCAGACCATTGTAAAATACTATGCCGTGATGTTTTCCTGCTTTCCAATTTCAGATTTGTAAGTCAGTAACCAAATTTTCCTTTAAAAAAGATAAAATGGATTATTTTAAGTACGTAATTGGGTACATTAGAATCTTGTTTAACATTGTAACCAGTTCTGACCTCTGTCTTGTCATATTGAAGTACCATTGGGATGCATACATGCTTGGTGCCTTTTGTGTTTCTGTTTTTATTCTGAGCAAAAGGTCTAGGGAGCTGGGATGCGGGAGGGCTGTGATAACATTTGCTGTACTTACATCAGTAGGGGGTACTGAAAACCAAATGAATACATTTGTAAGGCAGTGCACTGTTTCTATAGAGATATTAAATTTTTTATTGGCAACTTGCAATGTAGTCTCTTATTTAACAACACCTGAGCCCTGAAGTGCGTATAAAAATGCTTACAGTTAAAGGTAAGATCAAACCAGTCCATACTCCAGGAAATAAAGCTCGACTGCTCACTGGAAGGAAGGATATTAGAGGCAAAGATGAAGTACTTTGGCCACAATGAGAAGACAAGAAAGCTTGAAGAAGACAGTGATGCTGGGGAAAAAGGAAGAGGGGCCGACCAAGGGCAAGATGGATGGATGGTATCCTTGAAGTGACTGGCTTGACTCTGAAGGAACTAGGGGTGGCCACAGCTGACGGAGCTCTGGCGTGGGCTGGTCCATGAGGTCACGAAGAGTCAGAAGCGACTGAACAAATAAACAACAGTTAAATGTACAAAAATTACAATACACATGGTTCTAGTGCCTCATTTTTTTAAAGTTATAAGTATTATGATACGTTAATAATTTTAATGAGAGATGGGGAGGGGGACAGCACCTCTTCAAAATTTGCAAAAGCATCTTTGCCTTGATGTAATTGTCACTTATCATGGGCAAGTGACTTATTAACAGTTGTTTTAAGGAACTTGTTACCTTCCTACTTTAGCCTTTATCTCATTAGTTTTGAAACTTAAAACAGCAATTCCAAATGTGGAATGCCATGCAGAACAGCATTGTTTGGGCAGCCTACTGGAAGCTTAAAAGTAATGGAATCAGCTTCCTTGAGTAGGGAGTCAAGGTGCTGCTACAGAGAAAGTCCTCTTGTTCTCATCAGCCTAACTTCATGAGACGTTGAAACACACAATAGGGCTTCGTCTGAAGATCTGAAATTTCTGGCAGGTTTGTCTGGGAGTAGGCAGTCTTGACCCCACATCATTTATGGCTTTATAAGTCAACACCAGTAGATAATATTGTATTTGGTGCAGTTCTTTCAGGACTAGTGTTACATGTTCTCTAAAGTGTACACCTGGCACCTATCTGCTACATTTTGCTCTAGCTGTAGTTTTGGAACACCTTTCAAGGGCAGCTTGAAGAGAAATAACTAAGACATCAATCCCTATGGGCAGCTCTTGTCTTCCCAAAGGGAGCACCTGCCATGTCAGCCAAGTTGGGCAAAGATGTTCCTGGTTACCACAATAACCTGGCTTTCCAATAGCATGACTGAGTTCAAGAGCATCCCCAAGCTAAAATGTCGTCTTTGATTCCCACAACTGCATTCAAAACAGTCTATGATCCCAAACCCAGGCTGATTTAAGTAATGACCAGCAGTACTTCCATTTTATCTGGTTTAAGCCTCAGTCTATTCACCCATACTTTACTTCATTGAGACAATGATCCGGTACTACTACAGACTCCTTGGCATCAAGGAGAGATAAAGTGCCAGATGACTTCTCCGAGTGGCTTCATATAGATCAGTGGTTCCCAATCTGTTGTCCATGGACCACCAGTGGTCTATAAGAACTAAAATCTGGTTCACGGCCTCACCATTACATTGAAACGAGAATGTCTGGTCTTGCAAAACCCTCTTACATTGCTGAGGCTTATTAAATATGGTTTTCTGTGGGTGAGCAGATGGCAACTACTAGATGGCATATGTCCTGTATCAGAAACTAGAGCTGATGTGGTCTATCCAATGCAATTTTCTGATTCAGCACCCCAAACAATCAAACTGAATCTAAAGTTAACCAAAAACTGATTTGTAACCCTTTTGGTACTAATGTTGGATAGTAGTCCCTGACCAAGTGGTCCCTGGTCAAAAAGAGGATGGGAACCACTGATATAGATGTTGAAAAGCTCAGCAGATAGTATTGACCCCTGTGGAATCCTATAGACTAATAATGACCAAAAGACTGAACCACAGTTCACCACCTGCTAGGCATGGAATCATAGAAACATACATGTTGTTAGAGACTTCATAAGCCATTAAATCCAACCTCCTACTCAATGCAGAATCTCCACCTAAACATCCCCATTATGTAGCCATCCAGAACTCTTTTTCAGGTCACCTAAATAATGAGACTCCATTGTCACTCTATGAAATCAGTTCTATTGACAAATATGTCTTACTCTCATTACATTCCTTCAAATCAATCAAAATCTGCTCTCCTGTAACTTCAAACTATCTAGGATGGCAGAGAACAGGCCTCCTCCCTTGAGGTATGCAAACCCTCAGCGAACTTCACCAAGCTGAACATGCCCAGTTCCTTTAACTTTTCATCATACCATACCTTTTGTTCTCTATACCTCTTGTCAGCCTTGTTGCCCCTCTCTGAACCTCCTTAAATGTGTCTGTATGTCCTTCTTAAAATTAGATGCCCAGAACTGAAGTCATTATTCCAGATGAGGCCTGACCAATATAGAATACAGTAGGACCTACACTTGATGTGGAAACTATGCCTCCGTCTGCACTGATCCATTTAATGCAGTTCAAAGTTAGCTTCTAACTGGAAGTTTGAAGGGGGGGGGGGAGAGAGATTGAACAAACTTCCACAAAAGCATGTGAAATAAAGCCCTTAATGTGCCTCAGTGCTGTGTGGTTTGTGGAATTGTAGCAGCAGATAATACCAAGAGCGATCCTTTCTGGAGGTAGAAAAGGTACGTTTTTATTTTCAGCTGAGACTCTGGTGAGAAGTTGCGTCCAAAAGCAACCAGAGTAAGGATAAAGGCATTGACTTTTATATATATATACATTATCAAATGCAGGCAGAGAAACATGCTTCTACATATGTTAACATCATCACTACGTCACCTTAAGCATCATAGAAAAATCAAATTATACCTTCTACTTGCAAGGGGCATGTCTCAGTATTTTTTCTAAAGCAGTTTACAGCGTACACCAATCCATCAAGGGGCCTACTTTGATCTGTCAGGAGGGAGAGGGATTCCTTACTTAGAAGTATGAAGGTATGGCCTGGGCTAAGCCGTATTTGAATAGTGTATTAGCAAGGTAATTGTCTTTTATAACATGTGCACGCACACTCACACAATGAATGATCTGTCTTGAAAAATCTTTTCGATATGCGGGGGGGAGGAGAATTAAACGTAAATTCTATTGGGGTTTTTTCTTCATAATTTTAGGCAAATATGTCCACATAACTTATAAAGCTATTAAGCTTATAAAGCTTCCAAGGAAACAATTTAGGAAGAACAGAATCTCTGTATAGATAACATGCCCCCTTCTCCTCCCCCTTTCACACAGATCTCCTTCAGCATTCTTTCTGGCCTGTCAGCTTGGCTTTCTAATACAGAGCGAACCTGATTTTTCTATATTTCAGTGCTTGTAATGTACATACAGCATCTATGTATAAATATCTATATTTCCAATATCTCCCCATCAGAATCTCCACCTGGGCTTCAGACTACTTCCAGGATTTCCAGTGTAATCATATGTACAGTGAAACCACGTTTTCCCACACCTGTTTCAAATTGTGTTAAATGGTTAGTGTAGATGAGGCCTAGGAGTTTATTCATCCAGACTAAAATAGCATTAGCCTTCTTTGCTGCAGCATCACACATCTGTCTCACATTCAACAGTAAGTAACATTATTACTGGCTGTCATTGCAACTTTGCCGGCACGTTTGGGAGCGGGATTTGCACTGAAACGTCCAAACCAACTCCTGAAACACTCCAGTAATAGTGGACTCCTCTCCAGGATTGCCTCTAAAGCAGGCCTAGGCAAGCTTGGGCCCTCCAGGTGTTTTGGACTTCAACTCCCACAATTCCTAACAGCCTCAGGCCCCTTCCTTTTCCCGGGAAAGGAAAGGGCCCGAGGCTGTTAGGAATTGTGGGAGTTGAAGTCCAAACCACCTGGAGGGCCCAAGCTTGCCCAGGCCTGGTGTATAGGCACTAGCAATAGGTCTGAATAGTATTTACAATGTTTCCCCAATTGTGGTCTTCCAGAGGTTTTGGACTTCAGCTTCAGATGCCCTCATCATTGTCCAAGGTAGGCGAGGCTTCCAAAGGTCTGAGTTTGGGAATCATAGTCTTTCAGTTCTGGTGAAAGCCATATAGACTTATAGGAATGTGAAGAGAGGCGGGCTTAATTCTAAAGCAGGAAGTGCTAAGTATAGTCTCTCCTGTAATCATGATGAGCGTGTCACTCTTGAGATTCCTATCTCTAGGTGTTGTTCTCGCTCACGCGAGTGTTAAGAAAAGGAAGCGCAACCCGACCCGCGCGCTCTTGTGACGTAAAATCCCACGCGACGTGCGCACGGAGAGCGGGCCATGGCGAGCGATTTCTACCTGCGCTACTACGTCGGGCACAAGGGCAAGTTCGGCCACGAATTCCTGGAGTTCGAGTTCCGGCCCGACGGTAAGAGGGAGCAAAGGGTTCTGGGGATCGGTGACTTGGTCCGTTCGGCTGGGAAAAGGAAACGCCGGGTACAAAAAAGACTGGCATTTGGCGCCTCCCATGCAGAGGCCTCCTCAGACTGCGACCTTCCAGCTGTTTAGGCTTCCAACTCCCAGAATCCCAGGCTATTGAACTACCTGGCTAGGGTCTCTGGGAGTTGGAGGCCCCGAGTTATCTACGGTGCCTGGTAGAAGCGGAGAGGGCCTTCGTGGACTAGCTATGTAGCCGTCATCCCACAGGAATTGCTCATCGGGGTGCTAAAATGCCACAAGGGTCGTTACAATAAGATGTCTGTAGGAGCAGAAGGAGGCAGACACTTCGATGTGGAGAAAGAACAAGCATTTCATTCGGTTTTCTTAAGGCCCTTCCACACAGCCCTATATTCAAGAATATCAAGACAGAAAATTCCAAAGTATCTGCTTTGAACTGTGATATATAGCAGTGTGGACTCAGACATCCCAGTTCAAAGCAGATATTGTGAGATTTTCTGTCTGGATATTCTGGGATATAGGGTTGTGTAGAAGGGTCCTCGGACAGGGAATACCAAGAGGCTTTTTTCCAGTCCACTTCCTCTGAAATATAGCTTACAGTATCTGGTATTACAGTATTTGGTCTCCCATCCAAGTACTAACCAGGCCAGGTCCTGCCTAGTTTCCAATGCCATTCAGGATATGGTGCTTTAAGGAATATAGGCACCTAGTATACAGTCTTTCTTCCACTCTCTTGACTGGCAAAGTGAAGAAGAAAGTGACTCCTAAAGAAACTCAGAGCAATTACTTTGAAAGAAGGATGGTGACTTGGGAACTGTCAGCTAACAAGAGGGCCTAGCAATTGGGTATAGTTGTAATACCACATATGAAAAGGAGGAAATTAAGCACGGTATGAGCTAGACATCTTGAAAGAACTGTTTAGTAATGTCCTATTTCTCCTAGCCTAGGTATTACTTAGGGTGCATCTGTAATTTATAAATTAATTTAGTTTGATACCATTTTAACTGTCATGACTCAGTGCTATGGAATCATGAGAGTTATGCTTTTACAGGAACTTTAATTTTCTCTTTTAGGTAGGGCTGGTACTTCATCAAACTACAATTCCCATGATTCCTTAGCATTGATCCATGGTAGTTAAAGTGGTGTCAACTGCATTAGTTCTGCAGTATAAACACAGCTTTATTTAATTGCCCCTTCTTGGTTCATGGGACTGAAAAGACTGCCAGACACTAGTTTAAATAATCTGGGTTAGAGAGAAGTTGCAACAACCATATTTGTGTGTGAGAGTGTGTATCCTGTTAGATACACACACTCACAGACTTGGTGAACTTCTTTAAAGTGTAACATAATGTTTTCATTTCAAAGAAATCACTAAATGTATACCACCTTGTTTCTTAAGTAATTTTTAGTTTAATTTTTTTCAACAGGTAAACTCAGATATGCAAACAACAGCAATTATAAAAATGATGTCATGATCAGAAAAGAGGTGAGTTGTGATGCTTTTTTAAAATACATCTTAAACGTTTTCCCAGTAAAGGTTTTCCCAATTCCCACGAAATTTTTCCCATGTTCAGCGAATATCAGTAGGTAGGAAGAAAAAGTGTGCGATTATTTTCCACTTCACCTAGGTTTTTTGGTACCAGTTTGCTTGTTTTTAAAATAAACATATAATTTTAGGCCTACGTGCACAAGAGTGTGATGGAAGAACTAAAGAGGATAATTGATGACAGTGAAATTACAAAAGAAGATGATGCTTTGTGGCCTCCACCAGACAGAGTCGGTCGGCAGGTGAGCAAATTCAGTACAAGTTTTAAGTTAACTAGCTATCTGCATCTGCTTCAACAACATCTGTAAGGCAGCAAGTAAGATTTGTGGTTATGAATGTTCTGCTGTGTAGTTTTAAACACCTTATGGTTACTATCATTTCTATAAACAGATGGATTGATATCTAGGATTTGGATTCGGGTTTGATGGCAAAAATGTATTATTTTAGGTATGGAGAAATGTTTAGGGATGCTTGGAAAAATTATAGCCAGAAGTGAGATAGATTTATAATGATCTTGTAGATCTTCACACCAGTAATATATATTTTTGTTTGGTTTTTAGGAGCTTGAAATTGTAATTGGTGATGAACACATTTCATTTACTACTTCAAAAATTGGTTCTCTTATTGATGTAAATCAGTCCAAGTAAGTGTTCTATGAATCATTTTTAATGCTTTTCTTGATAGACCAATAAGAGCAGTATAAAGCTCTTTTCAAAGAACATCGTTGTCTATATTTGTTAAACTACTAAAAGTCCTCAAATTAAACTGGCCATTCTGAATATATATTTGCATCCCTAGTACTGCCTAAAACACAGTAGATTGTATCCAAATGAATTTGTTTTGATGTTGTCCCTGTACATGATTCAAATGAGAGTAGAGTCTAAATCTTGTCATTAGGGCTATAAAAATAGAATAACTCAGTAGAGCGGATTTGAGAAGCAAACATAGGTTCAGCATGCAGTTTTGTTTCAGTTTCCTTAATAAGCCACTGGAAATTTTGAAACATAAATACATTTCTCAACTGAAAACAATATTATGATACCACATTGTTTAATTGATGAGAATTTAACTCAATTTGGAGATGATCAGCCACAACATTTTATTTATTTTATTTCATAACATATTGTCTTTAATCAGTACACAAAAACAAACATATATAAAACAGCATTGTGATAAAGCAAGAGATGGAGAACCTTAAACTCTGAGACCTTAAACTTTCACATCCGAGGCCCAATATTGGTCACAATAAGATACCACCGCCCCCTACAAAGAAACTGTCTGGAAGTCTAGGTCTGTTTTTAGATTGTTGACTTCCAGTGGTATTTGTGTGGCCATGTTCCATATTCTAAGCGAAAACCATTGCTGCTTGAGGCATTCTGAAGATGGAAAGGGGTTTTTTTTTTTCAGACTAAAGTACATTGCAGGGTGTGAAAAATACAGCTTAGTGGCTGCATGTGGACCATGTGTTGTAGAGTGTTCACCACTGTCCAAAAGAAATTCTAAACAATTTATCCTTGGATACAAAAAGTCAGATCAAATAATTCTTGCAGTACTTCTAAAGTATGCTTGAAGTCTTGTTGAGTAGCTAGAATTGTCACACTAGTTTTGTTGTGTAAATAATGGACTAGGTTATATAGGCTTGTCTCAAGATTCAAACTTGAAATATTTAATACCTTTTCCTTTTATATTTTAGGGATCCAGAAGGTCTCAGAGTGTTTTACTACCTTGTCCAGGACCTCAAGTGTCTAGTCTTCAGTCTCATTGGATTACACTTCAAGATTAAGCCAATTTAAATTGTATGGATTTGAGTTTGTACTGTAAAGTTTCTTTGGGTGGGGTCATTTTCATTCCTTCTCTCTCCTAAATAACTTTTTTGTGTATGTCAGGTTTTTTTACAGAAACAATGTAATAAATGCTGTAAAGCTTCCTTTTCACTTTGATAGTGCTTGTATTCCACACTGATTTTTCTGAGGTGTAGATTTATTTAAAGGTATCATAATTTCTGGTAGTCAATAACAAGAGTGAGAATTTAGACATCTGGATAGTTCATAATCTCTGCATTAGTTGGGTGAAAAATAAATTTGCTTTTTTAAAAGTTACTTTGATCGGAGTTAGTAGCAATCCACAACTATAATCAAGTATTAGGTACTACAACTATTTTTATGCAGCAAAGTTCATTTTTTCATTTTAATGAACTGTGTTCAAGAGAAGCGCTGCTTGTCTTGTGCTGCACTGAGGAGGAGGCACTTAGAAGGCTGATATTCATTGTGCCTCATGGAATGGGAAGTTAATCCTTGCTTATCCTAACATTTGCTCTCATTTGTTTTGGGGGTAATCCAGTAGCAGCACACTATACTACTACTCTAATGTCCAGGATCACACTGTTGTGTTTCAGACACTATTCAGTGTGCCAGTTATCCCTCATTAATCCCAAAAACAAACCTTCAAAGGCTTTAAATCTTTGATGTTATTTTATAATCACAGCTCATTTTCAAAACCATGAGTATACACATACTGACATTGCAAAAGGAAAGGAATATCTTATATAACTGGGTTTTTTTCCCTTGCTTCTCAGTCCTAGGAAATAAAATTAATCAAATAGAACTGGTCACCTCTAACAATTATCCCAGCTTTGTTACTTCCCTTCTAAAAGTAGAAGGGCATTTTTCAGTGTAGGTTAAAGCTGTAGCCAGGTGAGAACATATAGTAGACACTGCTTACTAGAGTAGTGGCACTCAGAAGGATTTCTTCAATACTTGTATGGTGATATTCTTATGCATAAATTTGGAGGAGAGACCAGTGGAGTTGGCCACCAGATAGTGAGAATATGTTTCAAAAGCCTGGAAGGCTACATGCCCATTGCTTTACTCCCCGGTTAGGGCCCCCCCTCCTGGTCTGTACCAATTTGAAACCCCATCTGCTCCAGTTGTCTCTACACAATCGGCCACGCTTTCCCGCCCAAGAACAATTCCCTTGTTCAGCCCACTCAGCTCCCTTGATGGCTCTCTTTCCAGCTTGACATCGGAAACACCCCTACCTGAAACCCAAGGGAGATTATATCCTCGCCTTACTTCTTCCGGAAGCTGACTAGCCACAGATTCCAACCATGTAGGGGGGGAGGGGGNCCTTGATGCCTCTCTTTCCAGTTTGACATCGGAAACACCCCTACCTGCAACCCAAGGGAGACTACACCCTAGCCTTACTTCTCCCAGAAGCTGACTAGCCACAGATTCCAACCATGTAGGGGGGGAGGGGGGACCAGAGGAGGGGGGTGCCATTCAGGTCGTGTGGGGGAGGAGACTGGTTGGTTACCATCGTCCCAGGGAGAAGCGCAACAGAGTTCTTGCGACCCTGGAGAAGGTAGGAAGTGGTAGGCCCCATGGCAGTTCCCCCGGTCTTAAGGTCCTGCTGATCAATGCCAGATCTGTCAATGGTAAGACCGCTGCCATTCAGGACTTGATCCTGGATGAGGGGGCAGATCTGGCTTGCATCACTGAGACCTGGTTGGATGAGCTGGGGGGAGTAAATCTTACCCAGCTGTGCCCACCGGGTTTCGGAGTGCATCAGCAGGCCAGGCTGGGGGGGCGGGGAGGAGGGGTCGCAGTAGTCTTTCGGCAATCCATCGCCGTGGTCAGATGCGCTGTTCCGCAAACATCTGGGTTCGAGTGTGTCCACCTGAGGGTGGGGAACCGTGAAAGTGTGGGGTTTCTGCTGGTGTACCGCCCACCCCGCGACCCAGCAGTCTCCCTGTCTGAGTTAGCAGAGGTGGTCTCTAATTCGGCCCTGTCTTCCCAACGCCTGGTTGTGCTGGGAGACTTTAACATTCATGCCGAGACCTCTTTGACCGGTGCAGCTCAGGACTTCATGGCCGCCATGACGACCATGGGACTGTCACAAATTATATCTGGACCCACCCATCAGGCTGGCCACACTCTTGACCTAGTTTTTGTAGCGGACAGTGGAATGATCAGAGTGGAAGACCAAAACATCCTTCCAGTGTCATGGTCTGATCATTATCTGGTCAGTTTTAGACTTTCGGAGACCTTTAACCTCCGCAGGGGTGGAGGACAGACTAAGATGGTCCGCCCCAGGAGACTGATGGATCCGGATGGATTCCTGAGGAATCTTGTGGTTCTTCCTGCCATGGAGCCTGGCGATTCGGTCGACGCCTTGGTTGATCTCTACAATAGGGAGATGGCCAGGGCGATAGATATGATCGCTCCCGAACGCCCCATCACGTTGCGCCGTGACAGACCGTCCCCCTGGTTTACGAGGGAGTTGGCTGTGATGAAGCATACGAGAAGGGGGCTAGAGCGCAAATGGAGGAGTTCTCGAGACGTGTCCGACCAAGCACGGGCTAAAGCCTCGCTTAAGGCATATTCCGTGGCTATACGGGTGGCCAGGGAATCTTTCACGACCACCCGTATAGCGTCTGCAGCAAACAGATCATCGGAGCTGTTTCGGGTTGTCGGGGAACTCCTTCACCCACCTGTGGGGGAGGAGACCTTCGACGACCCAGCAACTCGGTGTTGCGAACTCGCACACCATTTTGCAGGCAAAGTTGCTCAGATACGTCTTGAGCTCGACTCCAATTTCATCGCAGTACCAGGTGAGGTGACTGAGGCATCTGCTTGTCCAATCTTGTGGGATTCTTTTAGGCTTGTTCCTCCTGAAACCATGGAGGAGGTCCTTGGGGCTGTGAGGGCGACCACATCGGCTCTAGACCCTTGCCCATCTTGGCTAATTAAATCGGCCAGGGGGGGGGTTGGTTGATTGGTTTGTGTTGATCATTAATGCATCGTTGGAGCAAGGGATTTTTCCATCCAATCTGAAACAGGCTGTTTGTGTTGATCATTAATGCATCGTTGGAGCAAGGGATTTTTCCATCCAATCTGAAACAGGCTGTGGTTCGGCCACTCCTTAAGAAGGTTTCTCTTGACTCCACGGTGCTGAGCAATTACAGACTGATCTCCAACCTCCCTTTTTTGGGTAAGGTGCTGGAGCGGGTGGTCGCCTCCCAGCTCCAGGGATTCTTGGATGACATCAATTACCTAGATCAGTCACAGTCCGGCTTTAGGCCTGGTCACGGCACCGAGACAGCCTTGGTCGCCTTGGTGGATGACCTCCGTAGAGATCTGGACAGGGGGAGTGTGGCTCTGTTGGTTCTCTTGGACATCTCAGCGGCTTTCGATACCATCGACCATGGTATCCTTCTGGGTCGACTCTCTGGGATGGGTCTCGGGGGCACGGTTTTGTCGTGGCTCCGGTCCTTCCTGGAGGGACGAACCCAGATGGTGAAGCTGGGAGATGCCTGCTCGGACCCCTGGCCCTTGACCTGTGGGGTCCCGCAAGGCTCCATCTTATCTCCCATGCTTTTTAACATCTACATGAAACCGCTGGGAGAGGTCATCCGGAGTTTTGGAGTTGGGTGCCATCTCTACGCAGATGACACACAACTCTACTACTCTTTTCCACCCAACTCCAAGGAGGCCTCTCGTGTGCTGGACGAGTGCCTGGCCGCTGTGTCGATCTGGATGAGGAGGAACAAGCTGAAGATCAATCCCGACAAGACAGAGGTCCTCCTGGTCGATCATAAACCGGATCGGGGTATAGGGTGGCAACCTGTGTTGGACGGGGTTACACTCCCCCTGAAGCACAGGTCCGCAGTTTGGGAGTCCTCTTGGATTCATCGCTTACGCTTGAGGCTCAGGCGTCGGCGGTGTCCGGGAGGGCTTTTGCACAATTGAGACTCGTGCGCCAACTGCGACCGTACCTCGCGAAGGCTGATCTGGCCGGGGTGGTCCATGCCTTGGTCACCTCTAGATTGGATTACTGTAATGCGCTCTACGTGGGGCTGCCCTTGAAAACGGCTCGGAAATTCCAACTGGTCCAACGGGCAGCAGCCAGGATGCTAACTGGGGCTCCTTACAGAGAGAGGTCAACCCTCCTGTTCAAGGAGCTCCACTGGCTGCCATTTATTTTCCGAGCCCAATTCAAGGTGCAGGTGCTTACCTACAAAGCCCTAAACGGTTTGGGACCTGCCTACCTGAGTGACCGCATCTCCATCTATGAACCCACATGTTCACTTCGGTCATCTGGTGAGGCCCTACTCGTGATTCCGCCTGCGTCACAAGCGCGGCTGGTGGGGACACGAGACAGGGCCTTTTCTGTGGTGGCCCCCCGACTCTGGAACACCCTCCCAAAAGATCTTAGACAGGCCCCTACATTGGCAGTCTTTAGAAAGAACTTGAAGACCTGGCTGTTCCGATGTGCCTTTCCAGAATAGGAATCTCCAATAACAAGTCCCAGAAGCACTTTAGTAGAACTAAGATTGCTGCACACTGCACACTGCACTTACCCTATAATCCTTATATACCACCTGTCACACATCAGCACTTTTAATCCTGTACCCATTACTCTGGCCCGGCCCAGTTTTTATTGTGTCTTGATATACTGTCTATTGCATGTCGTTAATATTGCTTTAACTGTTTTTAATTTGCTTTTGGTGTTATATTGTTTGTGTTGTGTTTTGTGGCCTTGGCCTTTGTAAGCCGCATCGAGTCCTTCGGGAGATGCTAGCGGGGTACAAATAAAGTTAATAATAATAATAATAATCTAGAGCTCACAACACACCACTGCAGTTGCCATTTTGACCAACTAGAAATAACATTGCATTAGTCTTTGGGGCCTTTCCTGGAGTAGGGATGATCTTGTTGTTTCTGGGTACACATTTTATTGATTTATTTACTGCCTTTCTATACCTCTCACCCCAAGGGAGACTCAATGCCACCAATATACATATAAAAGCAATACATCACATTAACTAATTTAATAACATATAAATATGAGTTACACCATTAAAACGCTATACATAAAACAACTTAAGATAAAACATAGAGCATATTAACATTGAATCATACCATTGTCATTATTTAGCTGTTTATATACATATTGTGATAGGTATACTGTAATGCTATCACTCGCCAAATGCCTACATGCATAGCCAAGTTTTAAGGGTTTTCCTAAACACCAGGAGGCAGGGGTTTGTAACACTTTGTTTCCTGATTGCAATAGGCCAGGCAAGCCTGTGTGTCCTATTTTTCAAAGAACAGTCCTAAATGTGAAAGTCTGCCAGAAGACAATCTTCTGTTTGAAGGTGCACTGTATTTAAAGGGCTCTCTAACCTAAGTCTGATTTAAAGATAAAAGTAAGGTATGAATAACACCTGTAAGGCACATTCTGCAGGCACACAAGCCACATGAGGTCATAATCCCCTATTTAGATGAGCTGTACTATTCTGTTCAGATTATAAAACCATTTATCTATTTTGATCTGTATAAGCTACCATGAGTAATTTATAAAAACTCGTTTTTGGCGATACACATCTTTTGGCAATGGTTAACTGACAGTGAGACTTTCCACGTATCTCCATCGTTGTCACCAAATGTCATGGCTTTCATTCATTGCTCACCTGCCATCAACTGTTAAGGACTTCCTCTCCCACTGCTGTGTGAAGACCTTTTAACTGCCCTCCTGTGCAAGACTTTATTTATCTTATCTCCCACCAGACACCAACTTTCTGTATCCACTCGTGTCATCAGCTATTGAACTTCAGCTTTCTAACATGTATTTTCAAAGGCTCAGCTGAATAATGTGAAAGTAGCACCATCCAACAAAAAATGGTTTCTTGGTGTCTTGGTCTGATCCTGGGGTTATTTGGTGTGATGATCCAGAAAACTGCATTTGGATAGAACACATCACCTCTAGTTTCTTAGATAGGGTTATATTTCTATGGGTGAACAGATGGCAACTAGTAGATGGTGTATGTTCTGTATCTCAGAAACTAGAGCTGATGGGGGAAATGGTTGGCATTTTTGGAATCATCATGTTAAATATACCAATAAACGGTTAAAATTTGAGAACCAAAATGTGTTTTGGCCAATATAATGATTTTATTAAACAGGATTGAAACTTATTTAATACATACCGTATATATCCTGACAGACACTCTTATTACAACTCTGTTGCAGCTCTAATCCTGACTGCTTTATCTCCGACCCAAACTCTTCTAATCTCTGACTCCTAATCCTGGCCAAACTCACCAAACCTTTCATTCTGTCATATCTGAGACATTTCAAAATCCCCATCAACACTGACACCCAGAGTTTCAAATCTCCTCAGGGAGATGGGGAGGGTTATAAATAAAGTTTTATTATTGTTGTTATCACTCCTCTCACACTTTCCTTATTGCATCTTCTATAATTTGCATGAACAATCACATTACCTCCTTTTATCTAATAAATGCAACAACATCCTCCTCCCCAAAAGGTCCACAGCATCACAGCCACATTATTTTCAGGCCTGGAGAATCTGCTACCTTTCAGAAAGGGTAATCTGAACACATTTAGTTGCCCAAGGCAGAGAACCATCCAAGGACTTTCTCTACAATGAAAGAAATTCCCACAAGCACCTCTTCATTCACTTTCCCCAAAGCAGAAACAAAATAATGACAAGTGTAAAAACCAACCACTGGCTGCTCTTTCGTGACAACCAAACATGCAGTCCCCTTATTCAGTCTGCAGAGTGTTAGCCTTGGATGCCAGGGATTTGGTTTTGCGTTTAGGACAATTCCCACAACCCATGCCTCCTGGCAATGCTGACCAGAACTTCTGGGAGTTGAACAGCCTGTCTACACCAAGCATGGGCAAACTTCAGCCCTCTGGGTGTTTTGGACTTCATCTCTCACAATTCCTAACAGCCGGTAGGAATTGTGAGAGAGGGCCGAAGTTTGCCCATGCCTGGTCTACACTGTGTTAATGCAGTTTGAAACCCCTAGGATTCCATAGAATTGAGCCATGGCGTCAAGTGGTGTCAAGCAGCATTAACTCTACAGCAGTGGTTTTCAACCTGTGGGTCCCCAGGTGTTTTGGCCTACAACTCCTAGAAATCTCAGCCAGTTTACCAGCTGTTAGGATTAAGCAGTGGTTTTCAACCTGTGGGTCCCCAGGTGTTTTGGCCTACAACTCCCAGAAATCCCAGCCAATTTACCAGCTGTTAGGATTTCTGGGAGTTGAAGGCCAAAACATCTGGGGACCCACAGGTTGAGAACCACTGGATTAATGGGAGTTGAAGGCCAAAACATCTGGGGACCCACAGGTTGAGAACCACCGCTCTACAGTGTAGAGATGCAGCAGGAATCCCAGTCACCCCCAGGACCCAATGTTTCCCCACCCCTTTCGTTATAACATTTTCCAGATAGCTTCCCCAGCAATAGTTCCTAAGCGTTGGTTCTCCAGATTTTTTTTGGACTTCACTTCCCAGAACTCCCATCGAGTGTGGTCATCGCTTAGGAATTCTGGGAGGTGTAGTCTGAAATATCTGGAGCGGCGAATGGTTGAGAACGGTAGGTCGGACGCCATCTTGGATCAGGGCATTTCCCGGCTGAGTATAACTTCATACATGCAGGAAGCAACGCGTCTGAAGCCTCGCGATGTTTGAGAAGCAGCTGTTCCCGTTCCTCGCCGTGGCTGCTCTGAGGTACAGAAGCCTTTCGCCCTGCATACTGTGCTTCGGAAACCCCTCTCCTCGCTTTCCCTTTCGCGCCATGGGGGTAAGAGAAGGCTCTCCTTCTGCAACAATATAGAGGCCTTGAGCGTGGGCTGGGGTGGGGCTAACTGTCCTGACCGCCTCTCTCTCTTTCTGCAGAAGATCGGGTTGCAGTTCAAGGCCACTTTGGAAAATATTACCAACCTCAGGCCTGTCGGGGAGGACTTTAGGTGGTACCTCAAGGTAGGCTCCGTTGAGGAAGGGCGTGCATGGAATCATAGAATGATAGAGTTGGAAGAGACCACACGGGTCATGTAGTCCAACCCCCTGCCATGCAGGAAAAGCACCATCAAAGCATCCCAGACAGATGGCCAACCAGGCTCTGTTTAAAAGCCATACCCTCTGCAATGCCAACTTAATGGTGTTATGTTAGAAAATGTTGACAATTTCCGCTATCTCAGCAGCCACTTCTCCACAAAAGTTAATATTGACATTGGAATTCAGCACCGCCTCAGCTCTGCAAGCAGCATTATTTTTTTCAAATAAAGCAGAGTGTGTTTGAGGATTAGGACATCTGTAAAAAAAGGTAAAAGTTTTCCCCTGACATTAAGTCCAGTCGTGTCAACTCCATTTTTAAGCCAAAGACCTGGCATTGTCCGTAGACTCCTCCAAGATCATGTGGCCGACATCAGAAAACACAAATATGAACAAATGATGGAAAATCCTAATAATTTATTTCTGTCCATTTCACAAAATGTTGGAAATCTACCAGAATTTTTCCCTTGTACTGAAGAAAACTGATTAAAAGTTTTCCCCTCATTTTTTCAGATTCAAAAGCATTTTAGCAGATCTGTAAGGCTACCACGGATCTTTTAGATCACCACCAGAGTGGTACCTATTGATCTACTCGCATTTGCATGTTTTCAAACTGCTAGTTTGGCAGAAGCTGGGGCTGACAGCAGGAGCTCATGCCGCTTCCTGGATTCGAACCTGCGACCTTTCGGTCAACAAGTTCAGCAGCTCAGTACTTTAACCCACTGTGCCACCAGGAACATCTGTAGAGAGACCAAAATACTTGATTATAACAGTATTGTCCTCCCAAACTTGTTATACACCTGCGAAACATGGACTGTCTACAGACGTCCCACCCAAGTCCCGGAATGATTCCATCAGTGTTGCCTCCAAAAAATCCTGCAAATCTTTTGAGAAGACAGGCGAACAAATGTCAATGTTCTGGAAGAAGCAAAAACCATCAGCATTGAAGCAACAATAATAATAATAATAATAACAACAACAACAACAACAACAGCTTTATTTTTGTATCCCACCACCATATCCCGGGAGGGACTCGGGGTGGCTTACACATGGCACAAGGTGCCTAAAAGCAGAACACAAAATGAAAAACAAAATTTAAAATACAATTATATACAACATATGGACATATAAAACATAAACTAAAACTCAATTAATAACAGCACTCTTCAGTTGATGTTGGTAAGCTACTCAACACATGGCCAGGCAGTAAACAAATGAACTGGGAATGGGATAAGTGCAAAACTGTAGCCATAGGAAGAAGGCATGGGAAAAATGATCCTTCGCCATCAATACTGCTGGACTGATCACTAATCTGAAAGGCTGAGCACCATCTCCCAAAGCGGTTACTGTACTCCCATCTCAAGAACAGAAAATAAAATGTTGGTGGAGAGGAAAAGAGATTTAAAGATGGGCTCAAAACCAACCTTAAAAGCTGTGGCATAGACACTGATACCTGGGAAGCCCTGACCCTCGAGCACTCTTAACGGATGGTCAGCTGTGACCAGCAGTGCTGCGGAATTCAAAGAGGCACAAATGGAAGGTGAAAGGGAAGTGCCAAGAAGAGGGTGCGTCAAGCCAACCTGTGTCGGGACCTGAAAGTCAATGTCCTCACTGCAAAAGAACATGCAGATCAAGAATAGGTCTCTACAGCCAAGACCCTACACTTGGAAGGCAATCACACTCAGACATGAGGGATCGCCTAAAAGAGAGAGAAGAAAAAAGGTTCCAAGGAAGAGAGTTCCATTGCTGAACAGCTCATACAGCCAGAAAGTTCTTGTTCAATTGGAATCTTTTTTTTTCCTGTCATTTGAACCCATTGCTCCATTGGGCCTGAGAAAATAAGCCTGCTCCCTTTTCCTTCCTTCCGAGTTCATCTTCAGTCACCATTTTATGGAAAGTGTTCAAAATGTTCATTTGATGGATTCAAATTGCAAGAGATTCCAGCTAAACATTGGGAAGAACTTCTTGACTGTAAGAGCTATTAGAGAGGGGAATGTGCTGCCTCAGAACCTGGTGGAGTCTCCTTCTCTGCAGGTTTTTCAGCAGAGGATGGATAGCCACCTACTGGGGAAGCTTTGATTGTGTTTTCTTGCATGGCGGAATGGGGTTGGACTGGATGGCCCTTGGGGTCTCTTCCAACTCTATAATTCTGTACTCAGATTGTCAAAGCACAACATCACTTAAAGTTTCCCTTGCAATTTTACAATACTTCTCTTATGTTGGAATCTTTTATCTTCTTAAAAGTGTATACAATTAAGAATGGGTATGTTGTTTTTCTTCACTTAACTAACAGCAACCACTGTGTTAGCAGGCTGCCTTAATTCTAAAGTCTAATGCTTGTGATTGCACCTATAGCCTCTTTGTAAAAGCACAGATCAAGACATTTTGTAATGTTTTATAAAGTCTTTAATGCTATTTCCCAAAAATATGATCTGGATTTTCATATTGATTAGTTGTTTTTTTTTTGTTTTTTTTTGGTGGAGAATATGTTACAATTGCCTCGTCATTCATATTCATGTATGTCTTGGCACATCTCAATCTGAGCATTAGTACTGGTTTGAAGTTGGCATCTTCAGTTGTTTGCACATTGGTGGTAATCTACATTTGATTTTGTTTTATTTTTTTCAGCTGAAGTGTGGGAACTGTGGTGAAGTTTCAGAAAAATGGCAATATCTACGACTAATGGTAAGTCTCAAAATGAGAATATAGGGATACATTTATTTATGATCTGTGTGAAAACTGAATGACTGTGTTAGGGTTGGGACATTTGCTTACATACACCATCAAACAGCATCATTTATCTGGATGATCCCTTATATTTGTTTTCAGGGAAAGATTGTATACTTGCACCATTCATAATGTGTGGAAAAGTGGACATTAAAAATAAAATTTGGAGCTTGGAAAGTTTTTTGGATTGTATGTCCCAGATACATCTGTCAAATGATGAGGCATTGATTGCATAGTTCAAGCAGGAATTTGCTATTATATGCCAAGGCATGCAGTTGATAGGCAAATGCTATACAGTTGGCCACAGATCCCTAGCCACAGATTCTGCATCCATGAATTGCACCATCAGTGGCTTAAAAATATCCCTTTCCCTCCCTCATCATTTTTTTCCAAAACCTTGGTTTTGACATTTTAAACAAGGAACACTATCTTGCTACACCATTGTATATAATGGGACTTGAGCAACAACAGATTTGCGGGGACCAAGAACCAAAAACCAGTGGATGCCACATCTGTTTGCTTAGAAATCACTGCATGTAATAGGATTTATTCTCAAATAAATAAATATATAAATAATTAAAAATAGCAATCTTAGAAATGATTCCATTGTCATTTTTAGAGGCCAGCTTTGTGGTGTGTCAGATATTTTAGCCTACAGCATCCCCATTATGGCTAAGTATTGGGGAGAAAAACACTTGAAGAGGTCTAGGCTCGTGAAAATTATTATTATTATTATTATTATTTTGCTGTACAAATCTTTTACCACCATATCCAATGGTGATCCCATTTTCTCTTCCTGGTTGTTGCTGAGCGTTGGAATAGGGAGCAGTATAGTAAATGTTCAGTGCTTCTCTCACACATATACACTCGAGCGACTTACAGCTGGCTGTCTGTAGCCCTAAACAAAATTTTCAACATGTTGAAGCCTGCTGTACTCATATATATGGAGATTAAAATATTACTTAGTTTCAGGGAGTTTGTGGTTATATACACATTAGTATATGAAATATACTGGTGAATGGCATGGAAAATTTGGCTGTTTGCTGATTGATATTTTTTTCTGCATAAGATAACTCAGAGCAAGGTTTTCTCTAATCATCCTTTGGGCAGCAAAGTCCCATAGCTCAGAGCTGGACTGGCTTATTGACAAAAGGATTATTGGATGTGAGTGTGAGCATCTGCTCCCTTGCATTCATAGTCAGTGGTTAGGCACTGCTATCTTTTTCATTTTTTTCTCCAAACCCATTAAATTTGTGACTGCACAGTCATAGTGTCTTGACTTCCTTGTACATAGTCATTCAGTGAAATGGTTGTCATTATCTTTAGTTTGGCCTGCTATAATTGGTAAAATGTGAACTTTTTTTTTAAAAAAAGCTTTTTTGGAAGAAGTAATTGACTATTTATTGTAAGAACAGATTTTACCTGCAGTGAAGGGCAATTCTCTCAGTTGTGATCTGTGAGCGCTTCTTAAAGAAATAATCTATATATGTATAACATTTTAGTCTTAAATAAAATAGGATTTCAATTACAGCACTAGACTTTTTTTCCTAAGGATAAGTACTCTTCCCTTCAAAATATTCTTTAGGACAGCCATCCTCTCAAAGGAGGCCGGGGGAGTGCCACAATGGTGCAGAAATGCAAGCTGTGTTCCCGAGAAAACTCCATAGGTAGGCTGGAGTCTGTTTATGCTTCTGCAAGTTAAAATACAACTGATTATTTTCAGTTTAGGGCAGAGCCTTACATTTTAAATGTGATTTCATTATTAGAGACTCACTACAGATTTCTCAATGGTTGCACCAAAATTAAATAATGCTTCGCCCATTAAATGCTAGTGGTGCTCTCAGTTGCTGCTTTTTGCCTACTGAAGACCATTTTATTCCACAGGTTTTGTTGGATAGGAAGATAATTATTATTTATTTATTTCACAGTTTTCTATACCGAGCTTCTCAACCTCATTGAGGGACTCAGCCCGGTCTCCAGCCATAAAAAACATATACACTCATTAAAATATCATATATCACAATTACAAAAACAACTTTAAAAACACTATATATAAAACTACAGTGGTCAGTCGTCCTATTAAGATGGATCTACATCAACTTCCATCCAGGGTCCTATGGTGTTGTCTCATTCATCGAAGGCCTGACTCCACAGCCACGTCTTCACCCGTTTCCTAAATGTTAGGATGGATGGGGCGGTTCTGGCCTCCAGAGGGAGAGAGTTCCAGAGTCGTGGGGCCACCACTGAGAAGGCCCTGTCCCTCGTCCCCACCAGGCGCGCTTGCGAGGCCGGTGGGACCGAGAGCAGGGCCTCTCCAGATGATCTTAATAATCTTGATGGTTCGTAGGGGAGAATACGTTCGGAGAGGTAAACAGGGCCGGAGTCGTTTAGGGCTTTATAGGTCAACACCAGCACTTTGAATTGTGCTCGGAAGCTAATTGGCAGCCAGTGGAGCTGGCGTAACAGCGGAGTGGTGTGCTCCCTGTACCCAGCCCCCGTTAGTAATCTGGCTGCCGCGCGTTGGACTTGCTGCAGCTTCCGGGCAGTCTTCAAAGGCAACCCCACGTAGAGAGCATTGCAGTAGTCTAAGCGGGATGTAACCAAAGCGTGTACTACCGTGGCCAAGTCAGACTTCCCAAGGTACGGACGCAGCTGGCGCACAAGTTTTAATTGTATGAATGCTCCCCTGACCACCGCTGAGACCTGGGGTTCCAGGCTCAGTGATGAATCTCATATGTTGGGTTTCATCACTTAGCCTTTCTGATTCCATTATGTTCTTGTTGTGATATCTTAATGTTTAAAATACTGGAGCATAACTTCTGCTTGATAAAGCAGGTTTTTGTGTGTGTGTGCTTCAGGAGCAACTTGAGAAACTGCAAGTCACTTCTGATATGAAAGAACTGGCCGTCTACAAAGATGTTGCCCAGGGGACGTCTGGATGTTTTGATATTTTAGCATCCTATGGGAAGCCTCCCATGTCCCCTTACGGGAAGCTAGAGCTGAGACAGGAGCTCATCCCGCTCCCTGGATTCAAACCGCCTACCTAATCCCTGCCCCAAGAGAAATATACCATAATCCTTGGAAAGAGAGATAAATAGTACTGTTCATTTTTCTTGTAATTTATCTATCATCCTATGGGTTTTTTCTCTTCTTTATTAAAAAGTGAGAAACCCCATTTATAAACCAATTCATCTAGGGATTTATATTCTAATTGCACTGAACTTATTTAAATGTAAGTATCATGGAACTTTTTTTCATGTCAGGAAACTGCAAGTCATTTCTGGTGTGAGCGAATTGGCCGACTGCAAGGATGTTGCCCAGGGGATGCCGGGATTTTTAATGTTTTACCATCCATGTGAGAGGCTTCTCTCATGTTCCCACATGGGGAGCTGGAGCTGACAGAGGGAGCTCAACCCGCTCTCCTCGGATTCGAACTACAGTCCTGCCAGCACATGGGTTTAACACATTGCACCACCGCGGGCACCATCACTGAATCGATATGTGTATTACATTGATAATTTTAAAATACTAATTACAGGTGATCTTTATTGCTCTTTTATATTTTGTTTTCAGACATTTTGAGTCATACAATGAAACCTTACAATGTAAGTTAAATTCCTTCTATTGTTATAGGTTATATGGCAAGTTTAATGATTTTTATATCTGATAATGTTTAAAAGCCATAATCCAGTTAGATCCTACACCAGCAGAAATCCTCCAGCCAGTTTTGGAGGAAACATATTTCCTTTTCCCCACAATACTCCCCTCCCCATGCCTCCAGAGCAGACTTCTAAGTGGTTTGGATAGCTATTTGTTCTCCCTTCTTACTCTCTGTGTAATACATATTTTCTTCTACCCTTTAAATTTTGCAGTTGAACATTTTATGGCTTTTACTAAGTGATGGAACTATCTCTGGGGATGTAGAAGTGTTCTTTGAAATTGTTAGAATAGATCTAATGCATCTTTATGGCATATGACGACCTGGGAAATATATTCTGTGTGTTCCTCCCAGTCCATATTTCTCTGATATGGAAGCTAACTACTGTTTTGGTTTAATTCCAGGCTGAAGACAATGAGACATTTAAGACAATAGTGGAGTTTGAATGCCGTGGCCTTGAACCAGTTGACTTTCAACCAAAGGCAAGTTCTTTAGTTTTCAGGGCATCTTTCTATTAGACCTAAATTAATATACAAACGCTATCCAGAAAGTAAGGTTACAAGGCACGTAGCTCTTGTGGGGAATTTTCTTGGGGAAAGTTGGTATCACTGCCATGTAGCAGCAAGCCAGTGGAAGCGAACGAGCAGTGGCAGTCATCAGTAGCTCATTGACTGGCATTGTGGTGAAGGTTAGAGATTAGCGTCCTTATTCCATTTCCCTCCAAGTGCGAAGTTCACACTGTAATACACTACCTAAATGCTAAGGGCATGAACGTCGCTGCGATTCATCACAAAATCGTTTCAGTTTATGGAGAGGACGTAATGTCAAGGTAGCGTGTGACAAAATGGATATGGAATATGTTGTGAGACTATGCAGAAACTTCACAGAAACAAACGTCGTGGGATACTGATGGTGGGAGTCTGTGCATGTCCTTACACCACTCATGCAACACAAGAGTTGTTGGCTTCATTTGGTTTGGATGTTTTAAGCCACCCCTCTCAAAGCTCCGATCTTACACCCAGTGACTACCATCTGTTCACTAAATTGAAAGAACACCTTGGAAAACACTTTTCCCGACTGATGAGGTGAAAATCGAAGTGACGAACTGGCTGAAAAAGGCAGAGGGAAACTTTTATGACACAGGCATCAAAAACTCATCCCATGGATGACAAAATGTATTGAACTGAATCGTGTTTATGTGGAAAAATAATGTAATACCTATGCTACAATCCATATAAGTTTACTTTTTGAATAACTCTCGTATCTTTGGCACCAATTTCTGTTTTGGGACAATATCGAGTGAGGAAGACAACTCAAGGGGGTTATGGTGGTGTTACTACATGTGTACATGATTTGAGTTTTGACTACAGCCTTGTAGTTACATATTACCCCAAGTATACATTTGCACCTTGCAAAGGGCATGAAAAATATGAATTTTGTTAAGACTAAGTTAAACTAGAATGACAACAGGGGAATTCACATACTATTGTTGATACCGATTCAACTTAATCCTAGTTTAAACTACAGATCTTGGGACTTCAGTGTCCATAATTCGCTTCCATTCTTCTGGTTTGTTTCTTACAACAATCTTCTTTTTTCTTCCTCTTGTTCTTTTCAAACTCCTTTTCCTCTTTCGTCGTATGGATATCTCTTCAAACTCCTTTTCCTCTTTCTTTGTATCGATATCTCTTCAAACACTTTTTCCTCTTTCTTTCTGTTGATCTCTTTCCAAAACCCTTTTTCTTCTGATCAGTCTCTCCGAGCCCCCTTTCCTTTTTCTTCCTATTGATTTCTCCAAACCTCATTTTTCTTTTTCTTTCTAGCCATATCTCTCCAAACCCTGTTTCCTCTTATGGATATTTCTCCAAGCCCTCTTTCTCTTTCTATCGATGTCTCACCACCCTCCTTTCCTTTTTCTTCCTATCAATATCACCTGTGTCTTCCCCCTCTCTCTCCACCTCTCCTTCATGTCTGACCCCATTTTAATTACCCTGACTCAATGCTATGCAATGCTGATATTTGTAGTTTGTTGAGGCAGCAGCATTATTTGGTAGAAAAGGCTAAAGAACTTGTAAAACTACAGCTCCCGGAATCCCATAGCAATGTATCAGGGCAGTTAAAGTGGTGTCAAACTGCATTCATTCCAGACCATAAGTGCACCCCAAGGAAGCTGGGAAGGATAAACAGGAAAGGCTCCTTGAGGGAAGGGTTATCAATTTCAATGGGAGTTTTCTCCCCATTGTTTGGAAGCTTTGTTGTTTCTTTAAAAGAGTTTCTAATCACACATAAACTATAATGTGCACCTTTTTTGGCCAAATTACAAAGAGTACATTTTTTTGCCTGACCTGTTCCGACTTACATACAAATTCAACTTAAGAACAAACCTATAGAACCTATCTCGCATGTAACTTGAGGACTGCCTGTAGAGCAGCAGTGGAAAATATTCAGCCTTCCAGATACTGAACTACAACTCCCAAAATTTCTTAACATTGGCTCCTGGGAATTGAAGTCCTGCAATGCCTGGGGGGCTACACTTTTTCCATCCTGGTGTACAATTTTCTTTTGAAATGCTTTTGGATGCTGCTTGTTTTTTATAGCCAGCAGAGGGCAGCCCACTCTCCATACAGTTTTTCTTTACCAGAAATAAGCTAAAACAAATGCATGTTGTGATACCTTAAAGTAGGGGTTGGGGCAAATACAGTATTTTAGAAGCTAACATCACCAAAGGGCATTGAAGTCCAACAATACCAGTATTTAGAAAATTGCCCTTTACCCACTCACCCCCACATGATTTTAACTTGAATGTGATGTTACCCTGAATTAGACAGCTATTAGAAGAGTGATTGTTTTGGACTACAAGTCCCATAACTAGCCTAGCTAAGGACTTCTGAATGCTATACTCAAACAACATAACTGTTTAAAGCACTGCTAAAGTGCCACTGTATTGTGTACTACAGCAGATTAACACAGCTGTGCATCTGGAAAGGCATCTCATCTGTTTCCAAGTTAAAAACTTGTCCGGTGATACATGATTCATAGCTCTCTCAGTCAGATTTATTTTGCTGTTGTCTTCCTATCTGTATAATGTAGACATGATGGTATACCTTTCTATATGTTTATAGGCTGGTTTTGCTGCCAATGGTGCAGAGTCTGGCACACCTTTCAGCGACATCAACTTGTTGGAGAAGGTACAGTTTCCAATTATATTAAAAAATACCTTCATGCTCTCTGGGGCTTGGGATCTGAAATAGAAGTTGAAAAAAGATGGCTTTGTCCTTCCATATTCTCTGAGGTCTTGGGATCAAAGGGATGCTGCACTGTATTGAGTGCTTTAATGTAAGATGGTCACATAGCTGTGGAAACAACGTTAACCAAGCTGCCTATCTAAAAGGATCAGGGCGCTTCTCTCTGAATTTTGTGGGTTTCAGTCTTTGCATTACAAGAATGCCACTAAATATATATTTCTTGTTGTTGTGTAAGTAGCACCTGCAGGGAAGCTCAGTCTTTGGATCACATATGTATATCTCAATGTATATCAGCTGAAGATTTTTCTTGTTGCTATATTCCAACAACATTTGCTTTCCTAGAGCTCATTTGAGTTTCAAGCAAATTTCCCATTCTCTTATAAATCAACTTCAAATGAATGATTTTCATCCAATGAAAAGGTTAAACTTCCAGTACCTAGCTATTGCAAACCAACTTTTTAATGAAAAACACAAAATATGGTGTATCTGAATCTTGAGACTTTAAAAATGTGTTATTCTTAAAAGTTGTCTCTTGTATAAATACATGAAACTACCTAGTATCACCAGATTTCCATTTAAACAGTATCAGTTACAGCTATATGGACTGTGAGCAGCTTTTCAGAGTTCACACATCTTTTCTAGGCCTGTCTAGATATACTGTACAATAGATGAAATCTGGTGTTTGTGAATGCAATAAGATACAGCAATCAGCCATTGTTTTTGCATTTGCAAATCTGTTTCTGGATGGGGGTCAGCAACTGCAGCTGATATGAGGGTCAGGTTTTTCCTTGGTGCCCTCCAGCAGACTGTGGTTGCCTAAAAATCAGCCATCTTGTAGCTGGAAATTAAATGAAATATGACTTCCAGTTCATGACCAATTTTGAGAGTTTTGGGAGAGGGTATTCTTTCCATTGAACCACCATTAAAAGACCTTCATGAGTAGCATTTTGCCTTTCATTTTGTTCAGGATGTAGAGGTCCCGGGGGTGCCCAGCAAGAGGTTAGAAGGGTGCAAAATGCCCTTCTGCTTCTCCAAGGATCCCAAAGGTTGCAGTTTCCCCACTCCTGCTTTCAGTAATACGCAGAAGTAGATGACTAGCAGTAAGAATCTACTAACGGCAAAAAAGTCTTCGTCTTGAGTAACACTGGGGTAGATGTAGCCTTGCAATAATTTTTGCAGTTAAAAGCCTTGGATTGCACGCAGTTCTCCTTGATTTACTATAATAGTCATTTGTGACAGAACTGTTATGGAGGATGTCAAGCAATCTCCTTGGGAAGCTCAGGATTCACCATCAGCCTTCCTAAAATCTGAGCATCAGTGACTATGTCAAGTCTGTTTCTTGACAAGAAACCCAGTCTGTCTCATGACCAATAGCTTAGTAAATGTAATCCTTTCATTCGGAGTGATAGTGAGCCTGTTTGTACAAGTGAAGGATTCACAAACAAAAAGTCCATTTCATTAAGCTAAAATGTTAGCTTAAGAGCCAATGTGGGTACTAGTCTGAGTGTTGGATTAGAGTTTGAACCCCTGCTCAGCCATGGAAAGCCTTGGGAAGTCACATATTTTTAACCCCAGAAGACAAAGGCAACCTCCTCCAAAAAAATCGTGCCAAGAAAACCCCATGACAGGCTCACCTTAGAGACATTATAAGTCAGAAATGTTAAGAAGTATAAGGATAATAAGATGAATTAAAGCTGAAGGTTTCCCTGTTCTTCTATCAAATGCAACACAGAATCCTTAATTGTGTAACTTGGAAGATCCCATGTTGTAGCTTCATCCCAACATATACATATATAGATAGATATAGATACATAGACACTCAGACCTAACATTGTGTATTTAATCCCACAGGATTGGAATGAGTATGATGAAAAGATAAAGGAATCAGTTGGCATCTATGAAGTTACACATAGGTTTGTGAAATGCTGAAACTTTTTTTTGTTTTGTAAGAAATCCTTTTCTATATTGCCATGTTGTTCAATTTATTTGTGTACGATCTGCAATAAAGTTATATACTTTCTACTTCGCGGAAAGGTGTGGGAGCATACAGAGGATCACTGCATTTTAATTAATGTGCTTGATTAAAAGGTTGAGATTTGTAGCAGTATGGTTGGGGCAGAAAATCCTTACCTCTTGTAATAGCTTTCATTGACATGAAATAATATCATAAGCCTAAGTTCTTGCCATCATTCACATTTAACACAGAAAGTATAACATATTATCAGCATAATTGAAATTTGAAATGTGTGCTTTCTCTTTCTTGAAAGTAATAGATTTTAAAAAGCATTTCAGAGAATGTAATAGACCAGGGTAACAGCATTAGACTTTTGATTAAAGAATCTCAACAGTTAACAGTGTATTTTTTATTAACGTGAAAATCTTGCTCTTCTGCAATTCCTGAAAAATGCCTTCACCTTTCACTAAGAAATAGAAGACCTCTTTGGCTGCAGTATACAGTACCTTACGGCAATGTAATAATCTTTGGGCTCTTTAGGCTTTGAAGATAGCCATAAGCAGGATCTGGGGGCAAAGTGCCAGTCCTGCAGTAGAATTTCCCCACCTCTATGTTTGTGCCATCTTGCATTCTATTCCTTCTTAGAGATCATGAAGGGATTTCATAAATTGTATGGGATGTGACATGAGACAGAAAAGAAGTTTAAAAAAATCAGAGGAACTTGGTCCTGATAGAAGTCCATTTTGTTAACATGACGGCTATTAACCATATCTGCTGTTACAGACTGTGTCTTAGACCATAAGAAAAATTCAAGTTCCTAGAAGAAAAAATCCTATTTCTCTCCTCCCCTCATCTACCACAATGCATCTACCACAATTTCATCCATGCAAATTTTCAGTGATCAGAAATAATCGGGATTGTGTAGAACATTTGGGATACAAATAAACAAACCTTCATGTTCAAGTTATGCATTCCAGCTGTAATTTCTCATCACAAAAGCATGAATATTTAGTACAGAATTGCTGGAAGTTCACATTTAAATTTCACTTGAATAAATGAGGCAAATGGTTTCCAACATACATATTTTAGACTGACGCTCTACTAAATATAATAAGAAAAGTAAGGCAGCTGTTCAAAGTGCTTATTGTCCTCAGTGCAACTTGTACATTTAGATTCTTTCAAACTCATTTTGTCCTTGGGGTGTTACTCTTATGAGCTTGCATGTTAAAAACACATTTTAGAGAAGAATTGCATTAATTAAAACGTTCAAAGTGAAGTCCGGCAGAACCTTAATGTTGGTAAGGGAGGAATGCAAAAATTGTAATAAAAGAACCAAAATGTTTTGTAGAACAAGTTTTTGAGATCCGACTCAAACCAGTTAAGTCTGAAGTCTCTAGTTTAGCCCTGTTGGACAAGTTACATGACGATAAATTTGGGTTTTCTAAATAATAATCTGCATAATTAAAGCTTACTTTAACTAGAACTCTTCTCAGTTGAAGAATGAGATTAGTTATTCTAGCAAATGTTGCTTCGATTCACCAAACCGTTTTCTATAAGTCACACAGTATCACAATGTAACTCTCTGGAGAAATCAGATGAAAACTCTGCTATTTTAGCAAGGGCTTCCCAGTTGGTGTGTAAGTTTTACTCAAAAAGATTTCATTCTTGGGATGTATTCCAACAAAGAGGCTTGATTGAGGATGTCTGAATTAGGCATGTGAACTGAACTCTCTCTATATGCATTCATATAGGGATCATATGTTTATTATATTATGATTATATATCAAAATTATCAAATTGATGTATATATTAGAAAGGAAAGAACCCTACACAGTACATCAGTCAGCCTAAATATGGCTTGTATGCTGTTGGTTAGTCCCCACCAAGTTGGCTCATTGAATCATCTGCTGAGTCAACACATCAATTCAACTGATTTACTGATTCTAGTCTTGTTGGGACTAAGAAAAGAATTTAGGCCTCAGTCTACAGTGATATGCCCTTGGCAAATACTTACACAAAATAAATTTCATTTTACAATCAATATTAAAATTAGGTATCTGTATGAGGTTGGAACTAGTTTAGCTTACCAAACTCTAAACATGATTATGTTGAGACCCAACCAAAACAATTAAACACATTATTTTAATTCTGGCATTTCCCCCCAGAAGTAGATGCTAACCTGAACATCCAGCTAGAATGTTAAAAATAATTTTCTGGCTGAAGATGAACTGGTATCACCCAAGTTTTTAAAAAGCCAGTCCTGTTGTGGCTCAGTTATTAACCTGTTTACCTTCCAGAACATTAAAAATATCATCCAGTGACTTGTGAACACACTGGACAAACTCTTGCACATTTCTCGCTGGATAGCCAGAAACATTACACCCAATCCAGTCATCATGTACTCCGTATCCTACACCAAAACCATCAGGCACCACTGGCCCAAATCCACCCATGGAGACAGCAGGGCTGCTCAGAGTACTTGTGGAGATAATGTTGTGGTTAATGTGTGCATAGGCTTGGTCCTGATAAAAGTCTGGCAAAGGAGTTCCTCGAGATTCCGCCAGACACCGCAAGCCATACAAGTGCCGATCAAAGCCTTGGCCTGCCAACACAAAATGCAATAATGAATAGCACTGCAAAAACAAAAACTCAGGTATGTTAAATAATTTTGAAGTAAATTAGCTTAAAATTTTTAAACATTAAAGCTGTTTTCCATGAATTTAGGCTGCATATGCAGAAGAAATCGGGTAACTTCTGACATTGTTAGTTTGGAGTCTTTACTGTTTACTGGCTATAAACCTTCCCTTTTCTCTACAAGGATCAAATTCACAGATAAATGGTACTTATTTAAGCGTTGTCTCAAAAATTCTTGGATGCTCTCAATGTTCATGAGAGTGTACATTGACATATACACTACCACATTTCCAAAATGTGAAGCAGGGATGAAGGATGGAAAGCCCCACTGAAAGTTGTCACAAAATTTGAGTGCGGTTATCCCTCCATATCACAGGTTCAGCATGCACAGATTTAACCTACCAAAGTTCAAAAATATTTTTGAAAAATCGCCATAACAAACCTTGATTTGTATGCATAGAGCACTACACTAATGTGTAGTCATACCCTGCTGTAGCCTCCCATCATTTCACACATCCCCTGGCACTCATTTGAGCTGTTTGACGTTTTATAAAAGAAATGCCATTTTATATAATTGGGTGCGTGGGACTGGGTCCCCCTGTTACGATCTGGTCATCGACCATAATAAAGTTAATTTACTATATAATTGGGAGTTCTGCACCTACAGAGATTAGTATCTACATGAGGTCCTAGAACCAAACCCCAGCATATATCTAGAGTCCAGTGTATTAATATTCCAGATTTCTAGTGAACTATTTCTTTTGCAGTGAAAGAAAAAGGCATTGTGTATATAATGAGCTTGTAAGAAATATCATACTCCACTGTGACTGGTTTCTCTGGAGGATCTATTTTGACAGCAATCTTTTTCAAACATTTAGGAGTTGAAGAGAAACTCAATAGGATTTAAACATACTACAGAGAAGTTGAGAAACTTTTCATTCAGGTCAAGTACTGGATATGTGAGATGATTCAATGTCTAGTGTAAATATCCTAAATGTTATCCTAAAAGGGTTAAGATGGCTGAGCACACTTGCATTAGTAAAAAGGTGGGCTTGCTTGATGTTACCATGCAAATTGCAGAAGAAAAACAGAACCGCTTACCCATAGCAGCTTCTCTTGTGAGCTGGTTGTGATACCTGGAGCACTCTGCAATCATCTGTTGCAGCTCTGCTACACTGTGCTTGGATGACTTTCTGACAATGGCCTCTGAACATGCCTTTGTGTGGACGGAGGCAGGACGAATGGTTTCAGTACGACCGTGTTTGAAAGCTGCAGTGCTGCACGATTCATAGGTGGCAACAGTTCGCCCATATTGCTGCAAGAAAGCCATCTGGAAGGCGAGCTGAGCAATAGCATCAGGACTGACTTTATGTTTTTTTAACATCTCTTTGCCTCCTCTTTCAAATTGTCGAGCCTCCAGAGTCAGTGTTTTCACAATAGCATCAAATTTTTGTTTGGCTTGGGTAATTCCTTCCTTTAAGGCATCATTCAATTTAAAGTTCAGTTTTTGTACAGATGAGGCAGAATCAACAGCAGCAGGCTGAGACTGAGGGGTAATTGCAGGTGTCTGAGTGCTATCTTTAAACACTTCATTTTGGAATCTAAGAACAGCAACACCATCTCCCCAAGAGTGTTCAAAGTGAATTGCTGCAGTGCCATCTTTGGCTAAAATGAGGTTGAATGACTTGTCATACCACCTATTGATGCCATCACCATGCAACATGGTATGGGACAAGTGGTTCACGCTGTTAATTGGAAAATCATCAAGGCACAGACAAAATATTGCTGAATCTACTTTTCTTAAGGTTTCTGCATTCCCATTTTCCAGTAGCTCCTGTCTCAGCTTTGCCCATATGTCCCGGTTTTCAGTAGTCAGACATGCAAGTGGGAACGCTGGAGCTGGGCTATTGTCAGAAAGGATGAATTGTAGATGTGCTTGAATTTCTGAAGGCTTCAGTATATTCCCATCTTTATCTATCACATCAAATACATAGAAGTTTCCATTTCTAATCACCAATAAATGCCTCTCATTTTCATCTGTAAACAGCTCATCCTTGTTAGGCTTGGGCAGCCGAGCAGAATTGAAAAGTCTGAAGTATTGTGACATGTCTAGTGGGTAGGCATTCACCATATAGGCACAAAACCATGACAGAGAAGGAGGCACAAAACGAACAAACTTTTTAAAAGCTTGAGTGTCACTTTTGGCTGGGTTCAGGTGAAAAACCTCTGGTTCTAAAATGTTAGCCCTGAGAGTCTTCAAGAATCGCAAAGCAGAAATGGTCATGTTAGTTGCCCTTGTGAGCTGGTTGTTATAATCCACTTTGGAGTCAGCATTGAAAACCATGAAAGGATTGTAGTTCAAAACAACTGATTCACGTGCTCGTAGGTACATGTCAAACCAGGGACCTAACATTGAGAGGTGGCAAAAGAAATAGACAGAGACCAAAGGGAGAATACATGTTATAGACGGGCCACAATCTTGAAAGAGGCAGGTGATTATTGTTGGCTCTGAGATGCTACATAAGATCGATTTGCAAAGATGAGAGCCAATTAAGTTATTCTGACAGAATTACGGCCTCCCTTCTCATACACCCTCAAAATCTGGAAAACTTGGGGCCTCTCGCAAAACTGTTTGGGAGCAAATTGAATGTCAACAATTTGCCTTTTCATGTGATTCAATTCTATTTCAGGTTCCTGCAATCCAAAATAGGATTGCTCATGTTTTCTTTGTGGAATGAACATACGACTTTCATAGTACATTGGTTTAGAATCCAATTTTACATTTAATTCCCATTCACAATTCATTCTCCTTTGGAACTTACCAATGTGCTCTTTTTGAAAGGGAAAAACAAAACAAAAAAATAGCTTCTTTACCTTCCTGCCTGACTGTCTCTCTTCTGGTCTTTCCTTGTCATCTTCCTTTATCTCTGCTGTCCTTTCCATCTTTTCTACAAGTCTCAATTCCTCAGACAAGATTCACTTCTAATCCCTGTCTTCATTCTATCCACTAATGTGACTGAGTTTTAGACTTGTCTTAAGAACTGTAGATTTTCTTCACAAATATGAGGGCTGCAAAGTAAATGTAAATAGGAGATGAAAGGTAACAATGTACTACTAGTTGCAAAACAAATATATTAGAATAATTTCCAGCTTATATTCTGAGAATTCTTAGTATATCTTAGTATAGTACTGTGCTCCACAAAAGTCAGAACGACAACAAAAATGCTTAGGGGAAGTGTAAAACCGAACACTGCCTGTACTTTAACATGTTCTGCTACCTTTTACTAAGTATTTTAGAGGAAGCAGAATTTAAGCAAATATAATCTCGGTAAGGGAACAAGAGAAAATGTGTGCTTTGTTTGAAAGTCACTCAGAGATATCAATTCATAGATCAAGATGTGTGTTCTGTCTCATATACTGGAATACAAAATATGATAGAAGACAAAATTAAAAAGCTCCCCTCTTGTGAACACTATGGAGCATTTGTTCCTCATACTCCTCTCTGAACACACTTCTCCATATCAGAATTGGCTAAGTTGGTTTACCTGCTCTTGCTTGCCTATCTAATCTTCAACTGAACAAATAAATACCTTGCAACATTTGTGCTTCAGGCTATGAGGCTTCATTTGCCTATCAATCTCCCAACCTTAATTTAGACAAAATTTTGCAACACTTATGCTACTTTCATATAATACTGAGTGAGAAAAAAGGAGAGGGCAACAAAGAAATCATGTCCCATCTATACGACAACCATTTTTCCTTCACACATTTGTTGTTCAATATTCTGTAAGATCTGGCTCATCTTAAGCACAGAATCATTCTATTTTTTATCAGCTGAACAGCAAGCAAGTACAATTTAATACAAAGTTATATTTGCTGTGCAATAAGAGCTGGCTGTGATTCATTGCTATCACACATCAAATAGTTGACTGGTTTAATAAGATTCTTAGCAAAAAAAAAATATTGGAGGGGTAGATTAAATTTATAACAACATCAGGTGTGTATAAGTACATCTAGTCTCTTGGATATTTTATAGGCACCAGCAAAATACATGCTAAGGGGGAACTTTTTTGAGGACTGAAATAACATTTAAAATGGAATAAGCTAAATGCTATATAAACCTTTGCTTGCTTGCTTTTCTTCTCTTTATTCACTTTCTCCTATTTGATTTGCTGACTCCCTTCCTTTGTTGCACTTGTCTTTTGTTCGTATTTCATGTTCTTGTTCTTTGGCAAAATATTTTTTTAAAAAACATTTCTTTTCTTAAGGGCTGAAGCATGTGTCCTTTCCTCTCTCTCTCATCTTGACTGTCTTTTTAGAGGCAGTTTTACTGTTGGGACTAAGCTGGATTCTCTGAAGACTGGTGCTTGCTTGAACACTCTGTAACAGATTTACATTTGTTTTGAATCAGTCACTAGTCATAACAGTCATTATTTTCCTTCATTACCTAATTTCCTTATCACAAATATATAGTTTTTTTATTGCAGCAATAAATCTTCCTTTACCTTAATGTTACTGAACCATTTTACCTTTTAAGAGAAGCAGGGCTATAACAGGCTGCCATATTGCAAGACCACTGGCCCGTTCAGTATAGTAATGTCTGCTCCAGATGAGGCTTTGTTCTGAATCGTGGGAATTTTGGAGTAAGTACACTGGCGCCACATGCCAACTAGTGGATAGAGCTATGCGTCTATGCCCTGATATGATCCAGTCTCCCACATAATCATATATCCATATTCTCATTCTCTCTCTCTCTCTCTCACACACACACACACACACACCACCTTCTGAAGTCAGGCTCTCAAATAAATGGATGGTTTTTAAAGCCTCATTTCAGTGAAGGAGAGGCAGTTTTCTGGGAGATGTCAGTACAGTATTGTGGATGCCTAACCCACTCTTCCACAGATGCAACCATTCTGCCAAAGAAACACATGTTAAAACTACAGTTTTAAAACCCTCGACTGTCATCAATGTGGGGTTTTAAATGCCAGATCTCCTTGGGATGAAGGAGTGGAAATCCTTTATCTCCTGTCCCCAAATGATCATCAAATCAGAAAGAAGCTATAAGAATAGATTCCTGTGGGGTGACTTATGTGTTTGTGGCCCCTTAGTTAAGGAGAATCTATAATGTAAAATTAATGCAGTCTGACACTACTTTAACAGCCATGCTGTGGAATAATGAGAGTTGTCACTTTACAAGGTGTTTAAGCCTTCTCTGCCAGAGTGCTGGTACTTTAGCAAACCAGAAATCCTAGGATTCTATAGTATGAGACATGGCAGTTAAAGTGCTATCAAACTGCAGTGGTTCTACAGTATAGCTGTACCTCAAGTCAAATCCAAGTAGTAACATTTCTCTCATAACCCATGTGATGTTTGTTCTTATCAAGTGCCTAAAATTCTTTAATACAAGCTGGTAGAAACTGAAAATTGAATTGTCTGCATATAATGAGTGTATATGATCTGCTACCTTTTCTCTTAGGCCATGTAAACATACACACACAGCGTATCTTTAGAACAAACATGAAATCTAACCCATCATAATAGTCAACAATAGACTTTGATACATTGCTTTACAAATTAGTGACTACAGCTTTAATTAGTGATATGCAGGAGTGACTGGACTAACAGGCATCCAATTTCCAGTTTGCTCAACATTGCCTTAAAACAGTGGTTCTCAACCTTGGGGTCGGGACCCCTGGGGGAGTTGTGAGGGGGTGTCAGAGGGATCACCAAAGACCATAAGAAAAAACAGTATTTTCTGTTCATCATGGAAGGAAGTTTGGCCCAATTCTATCATTGGTGGGGTTCAGAATGCTCTTTGATTGTAGGTGAATTATAAATCCCAGGAACTACAACTCCCAAATAACAAAACCAATCCCCCCATAACCCCACCAGTATTCAAATTTGGGTGTATTGGTTATTTGTGCCAAATTTGGTCCAGTGAATGAAAATATATCCTGCATATCAGATATTTACATTATAATTCATAACAGTAGCAACATTCCTGTTATGAAGTAGCAATGAAAATAACTTTATTGTTGGGGGTCACCACAATGTGAGAAACTGCATTTAGGGACTTCAGCATTAGGAAAGTTGAAAACCACTGTCTTAAAACATAGGGGGTTTGAGCCCAATTTAAATGAACTTAGAACTGATCCACTGAAAACCATGAGACAAGTTCAAGAAGTCTTCTCTTAGTTCAGATCCAGGCCAATCCTTCGTTGTTATTTCAATAACTAGGATAAGTAAGAATGAATGGACCAGCCTACATTCTTTTGGCCTCAATAGGAGCATAATCCGACCTTGAACTAGATGACAGTGATTCATAACTCAGCAGTTTGGAGAACTGAAATCAAGAAAATAAGTTTCACAATGAGCTTCCTACCTGAAATATAACTAGTATGTTTGCTTTGCTTGTCCTGTGAAATCAACTGCTCTTGTAATTCTCGGCCAATTCCTTTCTCAAATTTGGCAGCAAGTTCTTCAGTTTTCCTTTATATAAAAAAGAGAAAGAAATTTATTAAGGTTCTATGCCTCTTCCTGAGAGGTCAAGTATCTTGATAAATGCCACATGACAACTAATCCATAGAAATCCCGTGTGAATTTCCTTTCTGCATCCTAAATCATATCAAAGAAGTGATATGTGTCATTAGGCAGCAAAATTTGGGATGCAGGACTAGAGACCTTAGCTCTATGTGTTAGTAAACAGACATTATTGTCAACATTGTGGGTTAGATCCTTGGTTTCCCCTTTGTTCTTACCTGAATTGATCATCATCTAGAAGAGGCCTTTGTGCATTCAAGTATCTTCTAATTGTATCTTCAAGTTTTGGAATAGGCAAACTAATAAGGTAGTGAGAGAGAATTAAAATAATCAGAAATTGTGTCAAGCATTCTACTAAGCACTCAAGAAAACACTTGCTCATTCAAGATTAGACTACTGAGCAATTTATAGCTAAAATATAGGTTTGAAAGGGTTTCTAAGAATATTATTAGTTTGTTCATTTATATACTGTCATTCTCCTGATAATGGAACTCAAAGCTGTTCGCAACATATTAAAAACAGCCCAACACATCAATTTGTAAAGGCCTGGTGGAACAGAAATGCTCTAGGGCCTCAAGATTTTTAGAGAGAACACCTCTCTAGGACTCTCTAGGTCCTCCAATGTGATTCTGTGTTCAGCTTCTACCAAAAGTTGACCATAGAGTTATGCCAGAAGATCTAGAATTTCCTAGAGAGGTGTTGTTTCCGGGGAAAATATACAGTKTTTTTTTTATTTGCGATTTTTCCCTTTCATGGGGATCCTGTGCCCCCAAAACCTGCAAATTTGGAGGGATGACCATAATTTCACAAATCATCCTACCTAAATGGCTGGCTGCGAAGCCGCGTCCCCACCGCTCGTTACTACAATTCGAAGCCATTCACTTGCTGCCACCAAAATATGTGAAGTAGTCTCCAAAAATAAAATAATGGCGTGAAATCCCAACTAAATAGGATCACCACACAAATGTAATGAGAATTTGAGACTTCTAGGTTAAGCTGCCACCCTAATATAAAGAGATATTGGTAATATAATCTCTGTTTCTTCCTATCACCATGGCAACCTATCTCTCTCAGCTAGGTCATGGCTACAATGTAAAGCATAAACACAGTTTAAAACACAGTTATAATAGACACTTCTCTACACTGGCTATAAGTATAAATGAATAGCATTTGACCTGCATTTCTTTGAAATGAAGATGCTACATTAAGACATCTTTGAAACTAGCAAGACAAGTTTATATGCAGGTGCAGAACACTCCAGGATTAGGCAATCCAGCATTCACAACTCTACCATGCTTCTGTAGGCGGAATAAAAGTAAATGAAGGAGACAGTCCTTTCACCACATTCACTGTCATTACAAGTAATCAAAGGGAAAATATGTTATTTCCCCCATGCCATGAGACCCATGAACCAAAGTGGATTCAGATGGTATCCTTATCTATCCATGCCAAACCCTTCTGAGCCACCCTTTCTTCATTTGCCCTGACACAATATACATATATGCAGAATTTCCACAATAGGTCTGATCTCCCCTTTCAAAGTCAGACCCATAGAGCTGCAAGTTAAGTTATAGGAAGTTTCCATCAACTCAAGTCACAGTTCATGGTGGACACTAAGTCTTATTAGCTAAAGAGCAAGCTTATCCTCTGAGAATTCTTGTGCCAGTGTTTAACCATAATATTCACAGTATGATCCTAAGTATGTTTATTAAGAATTAAGCAACAAGTAACAATATGTAAGGTAAAAAAAAAACTGAAATAATTTCACTTCTTCTGATCTCTTTTTTTTGGTTTGGCACTCATTATTAAGGACACCTATTTAATGTAAACGTATATGCGATAGCAATCACAGAAATCACTTCTTCCTGTAGCACTAACCTTTCACCTACATACAGTACAAGGCTGAAGGCTTTCATTACTAGCTGCAACTCAGATTGTTCTCTCACTCTCATACTAAACTAATACATTTCTCATCATGGTATATTTTGAAAATTGTGTCTGTTTTGCACTTTATCTGCGCTAGGAATCAAAAGATCCACAAAACACTGTAGATCCAGTAGTGAATTAGGAGAGCTCTTACTAGTACGGAGTCCGGTGAACATACCAGTACAGCTGAAGAATCTTTTGCAGAGTTCACTGTAGACACTGTACAACAGACTTGTGTTAATGTCTAAAATGGCTATGAGGTTATGATCAGAAATCTTTTGCTGTTGCCAATTTTTTCAAGCGTTGCTCCTTATTTACTGTATTTACTTTATTACATGCTTGAAATCCACAAGCATATGGACAACTTCAACAGAAAGGAGGAAACCATGAAATGATGGGTACAAAATCTGGCTACTAGAATTTAAAAACTCTAAAATTAGGACAATAAATAAAAGAGCAACACTCAGAAACCAGAGGAATTCCAGACAGGAAACAATTAGGGCCAGTTAACACCTCCCAACAAAGGATTCCCCCAGGCAAGAAGCAGCTGGCTTTGAAGCTGCAAGGCCATTCAATGCTAATCAAGGTGAACAATTGGAACATTCACATGTGCCTGAAGCAGACAAATTCTTTCTCCGACCCTGGACATTCCACAGATATATAAACCTCACTTGCTTAGTTTTCAGCAGAACTCACAACCTCTGAGGATGCCCGCCATAGATGCAGGTGAAACGTCAGGAGAGAATGCTGCTGGAACATGACCAGACAGCCCAGAAAACTCACAACCAACCAGTGATTCCGGCCATGAAAGCCTTCATCAACACATATGTTGAGTTGGTTGAAACTCTTATGAGAAATTCACTTCAAAACTATAGAGAAATGTACTGCAGGACGTCCTGCAAAAATTGAAGTTTTTTTCCCACGTTTTTATGACAGAAGCAATTAGGAAATGACATTTATAACGCAGGAACAAAAATCTTGTTACATAGTGATATTGTGTGCATACACACACTAGCCGTCCCCTGCCACACATTGCTGTGGCCCAGTCTGTGTATATGTGTTTTGTATGTGTATATGTGTGTATATATTTGTGTATATATGTGGGTTTGCATGTGTGTGTGTGTGTGTGTGTGTGTGTATGTATGTTTTTGTGCATGTGCTGTAATATATATTATATTATATGGCTTTTCTGCTGTGTTTTTCAGTATTTTGATGAGTGATGGTCACTTGTTGGTCTGATAGGTGTATTGTGTCCAAATTTGGTGTCAATTCGTCCAGTGGTTTTTGAGTTATGTTAATCCCACAAACAAACATTATATTTTTATTTATATAGATAAATCATGACAAGATTATAATGAAAACAAAGTGTCACAATTCTCTCACATAGTCTATCAATTCCCACTTTGTTGTTACACTTGCCTCAGTAGGAGGCTACAATCAATTAACCTTAGGGCAGTGCAACATTGGATATTCTACAGAGGAAGCAATCCATTCCTACAAATGAATGAGTGTGCTTCTTGGGGTGCATCCACACTGTGGAATGAATGCGGTTTGACACTATTTGGAGCTGCCAGGGCTCAAGGCAATGGAATTCGTAAGGGCTGTGCTTTGACAAGGTCTTCTGCCTTCCCTGCCAAGGGCAGCTGCATTGATCCTCCTGAGCCGTGGCAGTTCCAAGAGGCGCGAACCCGCGTTCATTCCGCAGTGTGGATGCGGCCTCCAAGGGAGCCCGGCGTGGCCTTACCGGGGCAGGCTCTTCTGGTAATGCAAGGTGGGGACGAGGCTGCGGTGCAAATGCTGGCGAAGAGAGGCCTCCTGGCCGTAGCGCCTCCGCCGGGGCCCCGAAAGGAGAGGCGGGAGGCGGGCGAGGGGGGCTCCGCGGAAGGGCGAGGAGGACAGGCCCAGCAGCGCCATGGCAGGCCCCGAACTCGGCAGGAGAAGGAGAGCAAGAGCAGGCCGCCCTTGAGAAGAGGATGGACCAGGAAGAGGAGGAGGAGGCTGAAAGGCGTGGGCAGACTTCGGCCCTCCAAGGGTTTTGGACTTCAACTCCCACAATGCCTAGCAGCCTCAGGCCCCTTCCTTTTCCCCCTCAGCCCTTGGAGGGCCGAAGTCCGCCTATGACTGGTAAGCCACATAAAGCCTACAATGTACACGGAAATAAATGACAACTCTATCATCCAATCATCACTGATCAACCTCAAAGGGGATTCGAGTGACCAATCAGCGGAGCCCTTCCATAGCTCGCGCCCCTCCCTTCGCTGCCTCGAAACAGTGGACGGGACTTCGTTCTGCCGATAGAGGGCGCTGTCATCACTAAAATAGAAAACCAGCCCAAAACTGGAAAACTATATTACCCATAATCCATCAGGCCTCGACGCAGGCGCATAAGGCTGCTGTTCTTTTGACTGTGATAAGAATATGAAGAGGAGGGATGAGTACAGTGGAATGAAAGGAAGATGGACTGTGGCCTCATCTACACTGACTATTTAATGCAGTTTCAAATTGTTCCTGAAGGAAGTGGTTTTAGAGCTGATTCCATAGGATAGCTGGTACCAGTTTGTGGTCCAGATGCTGTGTACACAAACCCTTAAAACACATTAAGGCAGTGATTCTCAACCTGTGGGTCGCCAGATGTTTTGGCCTTCAACTCCCAAAACTCCTCTAACAGCTGGTAAAATGGCTGGGATTTCTGGGAGTTGTAGGCCCAAACACTTGGGGACTCGCAGGTTAAGAACCACTACACTAAGGGCTTTATTTTGTATGCTTTTATGGGTTTTTGTGTCTCGCTACCACATAGAGTTGGAAGAGACCTCATGGGCCATCCAGTCCCACTCCCTACCAAGAAGCAGGAATATTGCATTCAAATCACCCCTGACAGATGGCCATCCAGCCTCTGTTTAAAAGCTTCCAAAGAAGGCGCCTCCATCACACTCCGGGGCAGAGAGTTCCACTGCTGAATGGCTCTCACAGTCAGGAAGTTCTTCCTCGTGTTCAGATGGAATTTCCTTTCTTGTAGTTTGGAGCCAGGGCAGCAGAAAACAAGTTCATTCCCTCCTCCCTATGACTTGCTCTCACATATGGCTATTATGTCTCCTCTCAGCTTTCTCTTCTGCAGGCTAAACATGCCCAACTCTTTAAGCTGCTCCTTATAGGGTTTGTTCTCCAGACCCTTGATCATTTTAGTCACCCTCGTCTGGACACATTCCAGTTGTCAATATCTCTCTTCAGTTGTAGTGTCCAGAATTGGACACATTTGAAACTGGCTTCAAACTGCATTAAATGGTCAGTGTAGATGGGCCCGAGTATAGGTCCTCCACTGTATTGTCTCTCACAATCACCTCAGAAAGAGGAAAGAAAATGTGTTTGGGATATTTTTTGGTTCCCCTCTATAAGTTTCAGTGTTTTCCAAACAGCATGTTAGCTGGGGTCTGCAGGTGACTATAGAGACCTATTCTGGATCCAAATGTTCTTCCACAGTGAGGACATCGATTTCCAGATGGAAGGTGGTCCCAACAAGGGTTGGCTTGATGTGCATTCCTCCTGACACATTTCTCCCTTTCACCCACTCTTCATCCCAACATCCACAGCACTGTTAGTAACAGCTGACCTCCAGTGAAAAGCTCAAATGCCAGGGCTTCCCCGATCTTGGAGCCTATGCCATATTTTTTAAGGTTAGTTTTAAGCCCATTAAAAATTTGTTTTGCTCTCCACCGACATTCCGTTTTCTGTTCTTGAGCTGAGGGTAAAGTAGCTGCTTTGGGAGACGGTGATCAGACATTCGGACAAAATGGTTGGTCTAGCAAAGTTGATGGTGGAGGATCATGGCTTCAATACAGGCGGTCTTTGCTTCTTCCAGAATGCTGGCTTGTCCACCTGTCTTACCAAGAGATTTGCAGAAGCAGTGCTGATGGAATAGTTCCAGAAGTAGGGTGTGATGTTTGTAGATAGTCTATGTTTCGCAGGCGTATAACAGGGTTGAGAGAACAATAGCTTTATAAGCAAGCATTTTGGTATCCGTACGAATGTCCCGATGCTGAAACACTTTCTACTTCATTCGAAAAAATGTTGCACTCACAGAACTCAGATAGTGTTGTATTTTGGCATCAATGTCCAAGGTGACTGCTAAGGTCACAATTTTCTAGTGTTATACCATTATACTTTATTTCTGGCATTGCAGAGGGGCTGGTTGGTGCCTGCTGGTACAGCACTTCGGTTTTTCTCAATGTTCAGTGTGAGGCCAAGCTTTTCATATGCTTCTGCAAAAGTGTTTCAGGTGGCTTATAGGTCTTCCTCTGAATGGACACAGTCTACATTATCATCGATAACAGAAGTTGCTGTGGCCTTACTTTTGGCTTTCAACTTGTTGAGGTTAAAGAGCTTGTCATGTGTCCAATATGTGATTTCTGCACTGGTGGGAAGCTTCCCATCAACAAGATGTAGAATCATAGCAATGAAGATGGAAAGGGGGGGCGGGCTGAGCAATAATGCATCCCTGTTTGACACCTGATTCCACTTAAATGGGTCACTTAAATGGGAGCCATTGCTATTTAAAACTTGCCATCACGTCATCATTGAGTAGCAGCAGGATGTTCACAAATTTATCAGGGCATCCAATTTTCAGGAAGATCATTGTGATTCACTGTGATGAAGGCATTTGCAAGGTCAATGAATGCCATGTACACAGGCTGTTTTTGTTCCCTGCATTTTTCATGGAGCTGCTGAGCAGTAAAGATCATATCCACTGTTCCTCTGGAGGGGTGGAAGCCGTTCTGGGATTCAGGGAGGATATCTTCTGAAATAGATAGAAAACTGTTTGCAAGGATTCTTGTGATGGTTTTTCCAGTGAAGGTTGTAAGGGAGATACCTTGATCATTTCCACAGTCAGTTTAGGAAGGTGTCTACTGTGGATACTACAGTTCCTGAATTCAGTTTTGATCTGCAATCAGAAGATACCGGCCAGCATCCCAGCCTCCAGCCAGTTCCTGGGGTGTTTGTGTTGGTACTACGGAGCACAACCAGTTTGTTTTAATCCATTTCCAAACTGGATTATTGTTTCTGTGTTGAACTACCCTGAATAGCATGCAAAGCTATGGAGTTGAAGTTTCTCCCATTCCTGTGTGTTAAAATATAACTGCAATTTAATTTCCACCTAAATATTAGAAAGAACCATTTGGCAGTGGGCTATGCTGCCTCAGAGCATGGGGGAGTCTCCTTCTCTGGAAGCTTTTAAGCAGAAGGTGAATGGTCATATGTTGGTGGGGATTGTATTGTATGTTCCTTCATGGCAGGATGAAGTTGGACTGGGTGGCTTTTCTAATTCAAAGATTCTATTGTATTTTTCAATTGAGTCTGATGTCATGCTTGATTTCAACATGGTTCCAACAATTCTCAATGCTGGAGACCACTTTTTAGATTCCTGATTAGCTGCATGTGTCTGATGATATTGAGTGCAGCCTTCCACTCAGATCTCCATTCTCCCTTTTTGTATGTTAAATCATGAGCCCATTGAGACATCTTTTATTTTCTGCAAATGATGGAGTATATGACAGCATTTTTTATTTATAATTTACCAGAATGGCTAATATAGTAATAATAAATATTCTTTATAAGACAGGCTTCCTAAATATTAATCATTATAATGTGCAATGCAGATAAAAATACATGGAAGGAAGAGTAACCTTTATGCCTGATAAATTTTGCAAGATCTTCCCTACCCTGAATGAAAAGGGGGCAAAAATTGGGGGGGGGAGGTTGGATTCACAGACAAATAGCCTGGCATGTTAAAGCCAGAAGAACTAACATTTGGCATTTGTTATTTGTCATGCCTTTACAGGTGTGTGTAGTATATGCCTTCAAATTGCCTGTCGACTTATCCTGAATATGAATTTCATAGGCTTTTCTTATACAATGAATCCTCAAAGATGGTTTTGCCAGTTCCTTCCTCTTAAATACAGTCTACAGCACCTAATATTTGTTGGTGGTCTCCCATCCAAGTATTAACCAGAGGTGGTCCTACATAGCACCTAAGATCAGACGCCATATCTACACATGTTCTTTTTATCCCAATACTAAAGGTAAAAGTATGCTTGCTTAAAGAAATGCAATCTTTCACCTAACTTGCCCCCTTGTGATAACCTAAGTGTTACTCACCCAGCCCGCGAATGGGAAACACAGTGTCTCCTTAGGCTTTCCTCTTCTTATAGTTTACTTTAATTCTTTGATTTATTTCTAAGAGTGGAACAATATGATATTCATTTGTTTCTCGTGTTGGGTGTTGCCTCACTTTGAGATCACTCTTGTTTCAAAAATACAACTCTGCTCTGTTCTAATTTTCCAGAGTCTCTAATCTGCTTCCAGGTTCTTATTGATGTAGTCACTAATAGGATTGTTGGCATTAATTTGGAAATAATGCCAGCTACATGCTTGGTGGCTATTGGCAGAGGAGGTGACCTTGCAGGTCAGCTAAGCAGCACTAGAAATGCTTTGATCTAATCTATACCAATCCAGAGACAGCTATTCTAACAAGAGCGGCTGGAGAGGTCTCTCTGTGTATGGGATGCTGATTTGCTTCCAGAGAGCACCGGGGAAAGCATGGCAGTGGGCTTCGATGCAATGTTGGCTCGGATCAAGGATGTGTGTAAAAGAAATGGCTTACTTATTCTCTCGGTCCTATCCGTCATCATTGGATGCCTCCTTGGATTCTTCCTCAGGACCAGGCGCCTCTCCCAACAGGTGAGTGACCCAAGCAGGTGTGGCAGTGATGGTAAGAAAAAGTGTTTCTTATATAACAAAATTGGAGACAAAAAAGTCAACTTGTCAGCCTTTCAAGGATACATTTGAAGATGAGATTGAATTTTATGAAGCACGCTTCTTGTTCTTAAAGAATGGGACTTTTACTGTAGAGAAGAATGTTTTTCAGTATCTTTATTAGCTATATAAAATACACTGTTCCAGGGATCTGGGATCTCACAACAAAACCCTGTTTTAAAATTATACATGTGAATAAATATTAGGCTGTGAATTGTCTTGAGATCTTTAAAAGCTGATATTGTTGTGAATATTTTGACACTTTACAGAAAGATGGATAATATTTGAGCGAAAATTTTGTTGTCTTGCAGCATACAAAGAAGTGATTCCTTCTGACATTTATTCTGAAGCAGTTATGTTGTTTTAACTTAAAACTATTAAATATTTTAATTTACAATCAAAGCATAGCCCATGATACTAACTTCCTTTATAAAGTATTTTAATTATTAGAAAAAATATGAATTTATCTGCATAATTAATTTCATTTTCCCTTTCATCCAGAGTAGACTGTATAAAAGAGAAATAGAATCACTAATATTTTTGTGAAATAATGGTACCTAATCTCTTTTTAAAGCTTCCGGTATCTAGTTATGAACTATTTTTATTAGTAAGTGCCAAATTCATTTCATTCTAAATCCTGTGATCCATGGGAAGCAATTATTAAACCCAAGAAAATAAGGTATAATAAATGTCTTTCAGAAGCAGATGTTCTTTATGGCTCTTGGGTTCCTTTTTGGCTTGTTCAGCCCATTGTTATCAGTGTAAATTTTAATATAAATATTCACCAAACCAAGAATGGGCAACTTGGAAGTCCCTGAACAGACTCAAAAGTGGAATGGGCAGATCAAAAGACAACCTGGCAAAATGGCACTACCTAGAAGTATCCTCCACCTGTATGACTGTGGAGCAGAACAAACAACTCTGCATCTCTATGCTTGTCCACAATGCCCTGCATCGTGCACTCTTAGTATGCCAACCAGATTCAATATGGTTGTTTGGGACAGTGTTAAACAGAGGATTTTAATGTCAAGATACGTGATTTTAATGTTTTTGTATGCGTATAGTCTAGTCCAGTAGTTCTCAACCTGGGGTCCCTAGATGTTTTTAGCCTACAACTCCCAGAAATCCCAGTCAATTTACCAGCTGTTAGGATTTCTGGGAGTTGAAGGCCAAAGACATCTGGGGACCCCAGGTTGAGAACCACTGGTCTAGTCTGTTGTGGCATTGAATGTTTGTCGTTTATAAGTTGTGCTCCACCCTGAGTCCCCTTCAGGGTGAGAAGAGTGGGATCTATATGCTTTAAATAAATAAATAAATAAATAAATAAATAAATAAATAAATAAATAGTTTAAACTTACAGACAATGTGGTCACTGTAGCCCATTTTTGGTTAAAAAAATTAGCCACTTGTGTTGCCTCTGTTTTATCAGTTTTTATACTTATTTATACAATGCTTTTGACATGAAATAAATAAAAAATATTAATATCACCCTACAAGGGATTGACATATTGCTAAAGAAATAGGCAGATGTCTCTCTGTTGACAGACCCTTTAGTACCATTCTTGCCTTCTGCACTAACAGGCAAAATATTTCCTATATTGTGATGATCACATTAACATTCAATTTTTATCTGATAACTTTGGGCCCTTCCACACAGCCATATAACCCAGAATATCAAGGCAGAAAATCCCACATCTGCTTTGAGCTGGGTTATCTGAGTCCACACTGCCATACATTACAGTTCAAAGCAGATAATGTGGGATTTTATTCAGCTATGTAGAAGGAGCCTTTGAGTAATATTTTCAAATCAGTGCAATTAAGTTTGGGATCATATCCCAAATAATTGAAGCATAGGAAAGCCTGACTATTCTTTCCCAAACCACAGTATTATTTCATAATTATTTCCCATCTCACTAATTTTCTTCTATCTGAGCCATTTAATACACTGAGATAAAACTAAATAGACTGCAGCATTTTATCTGTGTGTTTTTTTTAAAGAAGACTAATAAATGTTCAAATAATTCATGCATCTCTTCATTTCACAGGAAATTAGTTATTTCCAGTTTCCTGGAGAATTGCTGATGAGAATGCTGAAAATGTTGATTCTACCTCTGGTTGTTTCAAGGTAAGCTAGTGGATAACAGGTTGTTTTGGAAAATCATACTAACACACTACCAGATGTATCTAAAGTGATTGTATCCTGAAAACAAATTTAATGGAGATGGTATGTATACAATGAATGCATATTTCTGATCTGCTGATTTATAAAAGATGAAAGTTTTAATCAAGATGGTCATACAGTATATGACCATCTTGATTATGTAGATAATGTAGATAAATATGTAGATAATGAAACATGGTGTTCACAATAGTTCCAAAGCAAACATGCCCTTCAAACATGAGGAAAAACCATAGGAAGTAAGGAAGGTTTTAAGCAAAGAAAAAAAGCCAGGAAAATATTGAATCCTCTTCTTTATATCATTTTTTATTTGTAAGCACAATGTTTTTTTACATTTTTAAATATTGGGAACACTAATAAATATAGCTGCACATAAAATGTACTTTACCATTAATGCTTCACTATCTGTGGTAATAAATAGAGTTGGGTAGCATCATTTTAGAGGCTTTCTGGTTACAATATCTAACTGGTAAAGTGAAGAATATCTGTTAATGGACACTTATATTGAAAATGATGCACAAATAATCCCCTGTTTTGGAAATAATGCTCGCAAGAAAACAAGTTATGTAATGTGTTACATGGGCTACAATGAGATTCTTACTCCCTACAATCGCTTTATGAGATAAATAAAATACAACTGTTTGCCTTTGTTTTCATATGACAAGATCATTTGATAATGATTGATTTACGGTATCTCCTATAGATAGTATATCTGATGAATAGGTAGATTTGTGCCCGGTGCAGGTCCAAAGTGCAGGTCCAAAGTTCTAGCACTTTGCTAAAGTCTGAGATAGCTTGTTTTAGTCTGATCTATAATTCTTTGAGAGTCTGCTCTCCCTTCCAAATCCTCACCTCTTGGAAGCTAAGCAACCCTGATTAGTTCCAGGATGGGAGACCACCAATGAATATCAGGTGGCCTTCACACCCTGAAATGGGTTCCCAGGCCAGGAACTTTACTTGGGGGGGGGGGGTACCTACCACAAAGGTTAAAGGCATTGTGATGCTATAGAGGAATTAGGATAAAGTAAGTCAGTTTAAATGATGACAGAAATGTAATATTTATATTTACAGAATGCTTCAAAATGATGCAGCATGTTACAGTTATACAAAAAGTTACACACAGTTTAATGAGTTATCAAGTTTGATAACCATTTTGGGCCAGAAACACGACTAAAACAATAAATCTGCAAGTGGAGATTTAATCCTTATATTGTGAAGTCTCAATTTTGCAAATGACTGAGGCTAGGCGCTGTTTGTGCTCTGGGAGAGGCATCTAGTAATTTAAAACTCTATGGCTCATCTTTTCAATGGGTCAAAGTTTCATTCGTAGGCTGTTTGTGGTTGCAGAGATACAGCAAATTCAAACTGAGTCTTTTTGTAACATCCTGCCTTTAAAAATAAGCATTAATAAGAACTTACAATAATACCAAAAAATATCTCAAAGTTTATTTTTAAGCTTTTTTGTCCATGTAAAGTTTTCAATAACTTCAATAAAATCATCTTGGTAAATTATTATCTCTGAGAGCCACCTCTCGTTTTTAGACTGCACTACCAGATATCAAATGACGAAAAGGAGAGGCCTACCCAGCCACCATGGCTTAACAACTCTGTGAATGGCAAGGCTTAGAATTCTCCCTTCTGGACCCTCTTGAATAGTCCTTCCATCTTCTCCCCTCTCCACACATAGGGTGGGAAAGTGGTCCTTTCCCACCTCTTCCCCCTGCGCCAACTCGCTTGCCCCTTTCACCCTCCTGTCCCCTTCTGAAGATTCCTTACTCTTGGTCTCTTCACTTTTCAAGATAATTTACACCTAGAGAATAGAAGGGCTGATTCTAAAGTTCTGGAAAGGACACCAAGGATGAAATATTAATGAAGGCTAGGGCACCCCTCCGCTTGTCTCCTCTCAATCTATCAACATGGCAGCAAATCCCAGGACTGCCATGGATCTAACACAGAAAGGTACTTCCCTCTCCCTAAAGCCCAGTTGGGAGTGAATCCAGTGACAGGGAGCAGGGTTGATCCCAGTGTAAAAATGGGGAAGATGAGAGGCCAAGAAGGAGGGTGCGATTCAGCTTCTTCTAACCCATCTCAAAGGCAAGAGGATTGACATGGGCCCCAAGGTCCTTGGGACTGAGCCATGTGGGAGTGCAGAACCCATCTGAATCCCATGAACCCTTTTAAGGCTTTGCAACTATATTCCTAGAAGGGCTGTCCTGGGAAATGAGATACATTTTTAGGAAATAAGTGGACTATTGGCCACTTTAGCTGTCTTTGTTTTTATATTTATGAATTTCCCTTTTACTTTTGTTGGCATCTTCTTTTAAATCTTGATGCTGTCTTAGAGTTGGTTTACAAGTGATGTCTTAACTTGCTTCTGTATTTATTTTTCACATACATATATAACCCATTTTTTTCTTCTGATGAGCACTTTCTCACTTCACAGCAACTCCTGAGTACTCAGGAGTTGCTGCGAAGTGAGAAAGTGCTCATCAGAAGAAAAAAATGGGTTATATATGTATGTGAAAAATAAATACAGAAGGTGGTATTATGTTACATGTTCAAAACAAGTAGAGGATTCCATTTCTTTATTATTCTTAAAAACATATTTCCAAACTTTGGTCAGATTGAGCAGGATACTCCATGTGAAAGCTTGAAGTAATTTTTAAAATGAGAAAAACATTTACAGGTAGACCTCAATAGTAAATCTAGAGGCATTCTCTCCTGACGTTTCGCCTGCATCTATGGCAAGCATCCTCAGAGGTGGCAAGCATCCTCACCTCACTACCTCTGAGGATACTTGCCATAGATGCAGGTGAAACATCAGGAAAGAATGCCTCTAGAACATGGCCATATACCCTGAAAAAACCTACAACAACCCAGTGATTCCGGCCATGAAAGCCTTCGACAATATATTGTGAAATAACTAGCAGCTCAAACCATAGTCTGCATGATGTATAGCATAGCCTAAAAAGAAAGACAGCTATGCTTCAACTCCTAGATCCAATCTTTCTGTGTAATGATTTATTACTAAATTGCTCAAAGAGTTATTATACACTTTGTGCTGTTGCTATTTGCCATTAGCTTTGGATTTTTGGTGAGATATTAATGAGATACCTCCATGAGTTACCTTATAAAGGATTAAAATAATATGTTCCTTGTTGATACAAAATGTTTATATTTATAAATTTAGCACATATGATTATACATATCAGCATTGGATACTCTTTGGTCCAAACCGAATGTAATGGGGCCATTGTTCAACTGCACATCCTGCTGACATGTAAAGTGATGGAGTGGGGAATATCACAGTAAAACAGTCTCAGCTTCTTACCTTGCACTCTTTTCTATTCATAGCCCATTGTGCTCAACATTTTGCTCCATTCTGAGGCCCACTTCAAATGTCAGAAATGTGCCTGGACCAATACATTTATGGAAAGTAGTATACTGGTCTAATCAATCATTGTCCTCATATGCCTGCTCACGTGTGTTTCTGTTTACTCATGCTGTTCCTTAAAGTTCTCTTCACTTCTAAATTATAGATAGTAATGCATGGCCATCATTGGATCTAGACAACCAGCCCATGTAGCCTCAGAAGCACCAAGTATCTTTGGTCACATAGAGACTCCTCCCTCTGCTTCCTTCTTTCATTTCCTCCCCTGCTTTCTTCAAGATAATGAGTCCCAGCTCTGTTGAACTACTTTTTACCTAAAACAGTTGTTAATCGGAATTTAGGTAATCAATGGATGAATAGACTGTGTGTTTCAATTTAACTAGCATTTTCTCTCCAAATGCTGCCTGCTTTCCTTTTTTGTTTGTTTACTTAAGTTAGTTACTTTCAAAGGAATATGCCAGAGGTCCAAAAGGAACTCTGCCACTTAGTTGATCTAACATTTTTTTCCCAAAGAGGAGCTACCCATAATTCAACAAAATTGAAGGGAATAATTCATAAAGAGAGCAGGTACATGTTTGTACCTCAGGAACAGTGCACCCTTGGTTTGGGTCCAGGTCCCTTCATAGATAACATATAGATTATGCTCATCCCCTTATATACAATGGCACAATTAAATAGTGTCCCTTACATTAAATGGCAAAATTAAGGTTAGATTTTGAATTTTGTTTTTTAGTATTTTCAGGTTATGGATGGTAGAATTCATAGACGCAGATTCCATGGATGCGGAGTGCTTCCTGCACTCCTTTTACTCTAAAGTTAGACTTCCACCCACTGTGTCTGAGTGAACAATATGTGTCGGCAGCAGTCATGTCCATTTCGGCTTTTGTGTATGATTTTAAATGTGCGGAATATAATGACTATGATAGAACCTATGATCACTTGATCATTTTTCTCTTTATGTACTGCTAAAGAATGAGGAAATTACTGTCACTCTTATGTATTAATAATAATAATAATAATAATAATAATAATAATATATTGCTAGTCCGTCCTCTCTCCCCAGAAGGACTCAGTTTACGTATGATTTCGTGTATGTAAATCGCCCTGTACAATTTTGACGATGATGATGATAATTATTATTATTTTTGTACCCCCTCCTCCATCTCCCCAAAGGGACTCGGGGGAGCTTATATATGACACGAAGTGCCTAAAACAATGCATAAAATGAACACATAGTACAATATAAAATGTAAAACCAATAGCATATAAAACGACAATTTAAAACTGAGAATAATGCCCAATAACCTATGGTGACAACTCCATAAAACATGGCCAAACTGTAAACAAGACAAGGGAATGGGATAATCCACAAAGAACTGTGTAAATAGTACTAATTTCCAGGAAAAATATTTTTGTATATTTTCAGAATAGATGAAAGCAGTCTACATTGCAGTGCAATTCTATACCTGTCTATTAAGAAACACTAATATATTTTGAGGTTGCTTTTGTTACTTGTAATAATTTTGCATGCTTCACTTCATGCCATCTGCCTAAA